TGGGCATTATGCCTGCATTATAAAGTCCACAAGTATGATGTCACTTATGAGCCCTCACTGAAGCTGTTTCCAGGATGCAGGGCTAGGCTTGGTGTGAGAGGAGCTGTGAGGCCTACACTCAGCCACTGGGCCAGCCACAGCACCATCCCCAGCCTCCTCTAGCCTCCACGCTGCCCACCCAACTTTCATTGGCTACGGCAGCCACCACTGCTGTCAGCCAGAGCAAGGCACACGTTGCTTCCATCTTGGGTCACACTCAGCAACACTGCGCAAGAGCAGCCACATCTTATACCTGCTTCGTCTAAAGGGAGTCCCACTGAGTTCAGTCAGGGATAGTCCACTCAAAGTAAATAATGGGGTATTTTTACTAGCGAGGAAGGAAGAAGAAGGAGAAGGAGAGAGAGGAAGGGGGAAAGAAAGGGGGATAGGAAAAGAGAAAGAAAGAAAAGGGAGGAAAGAGAAAAGAAAGACAAAAAAGGGAAAAGAAGAATAGAGGGGAATAGAAGAGGAAAAAGAGGGAGGGAGGGATCGATAAAAGAAAGGAGGAGGAAGGAAGGAGTAGAAGAAAGAGAAGAAAGAAAAATCTAGCTGGCAAAAAAGTATTTCCAAGCATCCTGTTGAAAGTGAGGCTTCCTTCCACCCTGCACCACCATATGCTAGGGGTTTTTGTGAGGGAGGGAGGCTAATCTGTTTTCCACCCACTCAAGCTCTATGGCCAAACAGGATCACAGTTTATAGACCGTGAAATGTTAAAATTGGCCCTAAAGACTGCTGCTGGGTGGGGCAGGTGAGCAAACTCACCCAGGAGGGATCCTTATAAAAAGAGTGGTGGGGACTAGAAGGCTCCCCCTCTCTCACTGTCCATGAAAGTGGCCTGTTATCATGCTGCACTTTTAAACTCGGAAAGTTTATGGCCTGCCGGGCAAATTAAGGACCAGACAGGCGTATGCCAGCATACATGGAAGCCTGGCCGGGAAGAACCTTGGCTGGCTCGGCTTTGTCAAAGAGACCCATTCATTACAGCCCCAGGATATGGAGCCAGCAATGATATATAGACTATAAATTTCCGTCCTGCCCACCCACTCTGCGCTTCTTCAAGCCCCCACAGTTCAGGCCACCCACATTCTTCAAGGATTGGGGGAAGGAAAAGAGAGAGAAAGGAGAAAAGGGTCCTATATCAGGAGGAGTGAACTGGGAGGGAGGGCAGGAGATGTCAAATGAGCCCAGATCTCTTTGAGCCAGGATCTCTCCCACGCACAATAAGGTGGAGCATCAAAGAACTGCCTCCATGCTCTCAGTCTGCAGGTGCCAATCAGCCCAGTCGGGACAGGAGGAATGAAAGGGAGCTAGGACCCTGATCCAAACCTGCCACCCCTCCCATTCTGCCACTGAAGTGCCCGCCTCACCTTGGCTCATTATAGAGTCAGCCCTGGGAGTACAAATGCCACAAACCAACGTTCCCTCCAGATGTTTTGAACTACAACTCCCATCAGCCCCAGCCAACACAGTCCAAAACATCTGGAGGGCACCAGGCTGGGGAAGGCTGCCATAAATGATTGTGCTCAAGAGTAAAGCAGAAACACTTTTAGCCATGGGTGCAACTACTGTCCCTTTTGCTTCCAACTCAGGCTGTGCACACACAGCAGTTTAAAGTGGATTCAGTGCAACCCAGGTGGATATAGAAGCAGCATCTGGAGCTCCAAACTTCATGCTGTACTTGATTCTGAAATCCAATAAACAATATTTCTGTATTTTATGCTTCGTGTTCACATTCCTGTCAGCAGAACGGGGGCGGGTCATTATTACTGTTGCTATATTTGTATTATCGATGATTTGCTATTTCTTTCTACATGCGCACTAGAAACTTGTATTATATTCCACTATAGTTCCAGATGTGCCTTTTATGCCTTGTGAAAGCTCAAATATAACGTGGAACTTAACAGTCAGGGGAAAGTCCTGAAAATGAAATACTGTATACTGCTGTGTGAAGGCAGCCAAAATCGGATATTTGCAAACAACATGTGCCATAGTGCTCTGGTGTGCACTACTACCACACCTCTCAAAAGATAGCAATTAGATTTACAGCTGCTATCAAAGTTACTTATCACACAGGCTAGGTGTGACTGCTCATCAAGCCATCATCATCAGGGTGCCAAGAGGAAATAACACTTCGAAATAAAAAGAGGCATCTCCCACTGATCAAAGTGTAAAGGTAAAGTAAAGGTACTCCTGCCCGTACGGGCCAGTCGTGTCTGACTCTAGGGTTGCGTGCTCATCTCGCTCTAGAGGCCGTGAGCCGGCGCCGTCCGAAGACACTTCCGGGTCACGTGGCCAGCGTGACGAAGCTGCAGCTGGCGAGCCAGCACCAGCGCTGCACACGGAAACGCCGTTTACCTTCCCACTAGAAAGCGGTACCTATTTATCTACTTGCACTTAAGAGTGTTTTCGAACTGCTAGATGGGCAGGAGCTGGGACCAAACGACGGGAGCTCACCCCACCGCGGGGATTCGAACCGCCGACCATACGATCGGCAAGTCCTAGGCACTGAGGTTTTACCCACAGCGCCACCCACGTCCCCTTAATCAAAAGTGTATAGGTCAAAGTGTATAGGTCAATTAATGTCATTCAGGAAGTGATTTATTTTTTCTTTAGAGAAAGAGGAGCCAGATTGCTCACCATGAACTTTTCCCTTGTTGTCTTAGAATGACAATGGCGCCCACCTGAGAGGTGCTGGAGCTGAGTTCTGGTGAGCAGCGGCTGGAAAAAAAGCCCTGTCTTCAGGTCTCCTGGTCCTTCAGATACCCAGGTGCCAGATCTTTGATGGCTTTAAAGGTAAAAAATGAGAACTTCGAATTGTTCTCAGGAATGAAGGGGCAGCTAGTGAAGATAGCATAAAAGTGGAGATTTATGTTCCCCAAATTCTGTACCAGTTAAGAACCTTGCTGCAACGTTATGAGCTAGCTGATGTTTCTGAACACCCTTCAGAGGCAGTGATAAACAGAGCATGTCACAGTGATCCAATCTCAATGTAATTAACGCATAATAACATAAAAAGAGCCTGGCTGTTAGATCGGGTCAATGCCCCATCTAGTGCAGTAACCTGTTCTCACAATGGTCAACCAGATGGGAAGCCAATGGGAAGCCACAAAGCAGAACCTGAATGCAACAGCAGCACTCTCCCCTCTTGTGATTTCCAGCAACTGACAGTCTACTGGCATTATGGCTTTATCCTCCGACTATGGAGGCAGAGCATAGCCATCACCACTAGAAGCCATTGATAGTCTTATCCTATGTGAATTTGTCCAAGCCGTTTTGCCACCTGAGACAAGCAAGAAAATGGACACACAGAAACACCCCGAAAATTATGGAAAGTGAGATTGTTAAGGGGGCTGGAAACCATTGCTCTGTGAGGGGTAACTGTCTGCCAGGACTAGATCACTAAAACTCTTCCAGCTAGGGGAGGTAAGGGGGGTGGGGAGTGCCAGGAGACAGAGGCAGCCACACAGCTGGGTGAAGAGCAGCTACGGTAACAGGGAAGTACTGCTGCTAAAGGGGTGCAATTCAGAGGGAGCACCATGAAAGGAGCTGCAAAATGGCTGCCACTTTTCTGGAGCTTCCAGTAGGAAGCAAAGATGCTGCTGAAGAGCTGCTGCTCCAAGGGGGCACAAAATGGCCAGGAAAAACACAAAAATCTAGCTGCCAAGCTGCTATAATGCCCACATATACACCACAACAGGACTAACAGGACTCTCTCGCCTCCAGTCAATCCTCTCACACGCTAGACCTGATCAACAGGATGAGGGCAGCAGAGAGGAAACAAAGTTTGGAGAAAAATGAGAAAAGGGGTATTTTTTCTCTTAATGAGGAAAACACAGAGAAGAGTTGTTCTTCTCCTTTCACTCTTGCCTTCCTTCTCTTGCTTCTCTGCAGCCCCACCAGCAATGAGCAGTGGCAGGAGCAGAAACAGCCATGGCTGGCAGGCAGGTAGGCAGGCAGGCCAACCCCTCACCTGGCTCTGTGAGGCATAGGCCACCCACTGAAAATGCAACCACAAGATCAAGGAGGAGGCCTGTCTCTACCAGCCCTGCCCTCCACCACCAGCTAGTGGCATGGACCTGCTCCTACCTGCCTGAAGCCACCACCAAGCGGGGCTGCTTTCTGGGAGGAGAAGAAAGCCACCAGGTGAGTTGCCATCAGGTGGGATTGCATCACTCTCCACACACACACCCTCCCCGTCCCTCACATTTGCCACTGAAATTGTGCCCAGGCCAGGAGAAAGAGGAGGCCTCACCACCATGTCCAAGCATGTAGGAGACAAGAGGTGGGTGGAGCACCCAAATCCAAGTCTTCTGCATGCACACCCACACACACCCCGAGTGCTGCTTGAGGAGACTTACCTCAACAAAGCTCATGGCAGTGCAGGCCCTATCTCTAATGGGAGAAAATGCCATAATTTAGCTTTGCATTGTGTGAAGAAGCACTTTGTTTTGTCTGCCCTGAACATGTCAACATTCAGCTCTACCATCTATAATTACGTACATGTCAATATCATGTCCCACACCTCCATGTTTGCCTTTCCGCTAAACTCAGCTGCCCAAAATGTTGCAACCTTTCCTCTTGCAGAAGTTGCTCCATCCCCTTGATCATTTTGGTTGCCTACTTCTGAAGCTTCTCCAGTTCTACAGCATTCTTTTTGAGGCAGCACAACCATAACTTTAATGGGCACGGTGCCCTAAGAGATACAGTGAACCCAAGCAGCTGATATTGTTCTGTGGCTCCTCCCAAGCTCTTATTTATTGGCTGTAGGGTGGCAAGTGCACCACAGAGTTTGCACCTGCTTGTCTGCTCCTGGTGCGTCAATCCAAGAAACCGATCACTTTTTGCAGCAAGTAGAGGTTCCCTGGAATTCCTCTTTTGCATCACCTGCTGCAGGAAAAGCTTCAGGGCCACAAGAGAAACTTCAGCAAAGGGAGGTGTAGTCCAGCCTGCCACGCACCAGGATGCTCCTGAAAGCTGCTTGCCTGCTCCTCTCCTGCCTCTTCCTCTGTTCAGCAGATCAGTATCAGCAGGAGGCAGAGAGAATCATGACAACATCACCTGTGATAGATGGGTAAGACCACACTTCCTTCCTATGCCTTCTGGGGGAAGGGCCATACAGAAGATCTCGTGGTCAATCCAAGCAGGGCTGGGGAAGGATCCTGCCTGAAACCCTGGGGGAACTGTTGCCAGTCAGGGTGGACAGAACTGAGCTAAATGGACCAATGGCCTGACTCAGGAGAAGGTAGCTTCCTATGTTCCTAATTAGGGTTCAAGGCAGGCTCAGCATGTGGCCAGAGGGGTCATTTAGGCCTCAGGAAAGGTACACCCTGAGGTGAGACACTTCAGGCTGCCCTTTGGACAATGGTGGGTTCCTCCAGATCTTCAGTTGTGGGGAGGTTCTCCATGGGGTCCCAAGCCTCTTACTCCAAAGAGGTCTTCCCAGAGTCTGGATCAGATGGGATACTGTCACCAACCCTCTTTGCATTTTCAAGGGCCTTTTGAAATATCACGGAAGGGCTGGTTCACACATTGTCCTCCAGAAATACCTTGTTGTAAAAGCAGTAACCCTGCGGAAGGAAGGATGCAGAAGGTGCCTGAACTGGGAAGGTCCAGAAGGGAATGACTCCCAGGCTTTTAGGGCACTGACCTGGAGGTTTGGGCTTAATAGCAGCTGTAGAAGCTGTTCTCCAAGTTAATCATTAGCAGGCAAATGGGCAAATTACTGCCCTTTGGTGCCATTCAAACCTGTCATTCTCTCTGGAATAAGAACAATAAGTACAGCCAGGTAGCCTTGCAATTATGAAATTAAGAGCTCTTGCCTCTCTGCCAGGCCAAGCCCTCTGAGATATTGGCACATCTCAGAGGCCTCAGCCTGCTGCTTTCTGATTCCAAAAATTCTGCCATATAGGACACAGTGCCAGGGAATGTGGTGGTGGTGCTGCTGTTGCTGTTTAAAATTGACTTAGGCAAAGGAGCATCTGAGCATATGCAGGGCAATTCTCCCATCTTGAGAATATCCAGTTTGGGTGCTACCATGTTTATTGAGAGAAAGCTCTCAATGGCTACTAGACACAATGGTTTTGGTCTTCTTCCAATGTCAGAGCAATATGCCTCTGTCAGCCAGTTGTTAGGGTTTACAAGTGGGGAGAGTCCTGTTACGCTCAGGTCCTGCTTGCCAGCTTGCCCTCAAGGCATCTGGTTGGCCATTGTGAGAACAACTGAACTAGATGTGCCCATGGCTCATAGCTGTCAAGTGTCCCTTATTTGAAGGGACAGTCTCTTATTCAAGTGCCATGTCCCACTGCTGTCCCTTATTGATAGATGTCCCTTAAATGATGTCCCTTAAATTTCAAAGGAAGCAGCTCCTCTCCCTCTCTCCTTGCCAGCCAGGGAGGAGGGAGGCTCCAACTGTGTTGCTTGGCTGTGTTGCTCACCCAATAAGAAGTCTAAGAACGACTGGGGGGGGGTGGAGCTTGCATGCCTTGTGTGTGGCTAGTTAATGCAAGCTGAGGGGGGTTTTGAATGCTGGACGCCATTTTGTTGCACGTGCTGCTGCAAACTTTGCAGTGCAAAGCCAGGCCCGGGAGCCATCTTAAGTTGAGGCTGCATAGGCCTTGTGGTGCATGTGATTCAGATTCTATTCAGTTGAACCTCTGGTTACAAAGTTGGTTGGACAGTGTTCTCGAAGCTACCAGCATGAGTTTGACCAGACTTCAGGAGGACTCAGACTGGAGTGCCTGGAACAGGTGAGGCTGCAGGTCCCTTATTTTGGCTGCTGGTCCCTTATTTTCAAGGCTGCTGGTCCCTTATTTTCAAATCTGTAAGTTGACAGCTATGCCATGGCTTGATCCAGCTGAGGGCCCTGATGGTGTTTGTTTAAGGTATTTATATGCCACTTAATTACCAAAGTTTCTAAGTGGTGTACATAAAAATCATTCTTTTCACACTCTATTAGGAGGAGGAAGTATAGGTTGCTCTCCCATCAAAAGTAGCCCAGTACCTAGATGCTTAGAAATGTTCCCGTGAATTTTAATCTGTTTTATATTTGAACTTCTTGTATGTTTTAATGTATTGTAAATTTTCCCTGATTTTATGGATTTATCTTTTTGTAAACTGCTTTGAGTTTTTTAAAAAACAAAACAAAACATGGAGCTCCAACTGAACTGGATAGGCAGGAGGCAAACAAGACTGGAGAGTAAAAGTCCCATCAGCATGCCTAAGAGAGCAAGAAATGAGGCCATGGAAGAGAAAAGGGCAGCAGTCCTAGCAACCAAGAAAGCAATAAGAGCACTAGGTGTTTCACTTGGGAAAGAATCATAAAATTCTAGAATTGGAAGGGACCCTCAGGGTCATCTAGTCCAATACAGAAATTCTTTGCAGTTACTCGGAATCATAAAGGAAAATTGACTAGACTTTGGCCCTGCATATAATTTCCAAAGCATGGCCATTTATGTCATTATTATGACCTAATCACGATGTCTGTAAAAACTGGGCTGGCCCATTGCCAGTTTGCTGCAAAAGTCAAAACAAACCAAGAACATGAGAAGAGCCATAAAACTGAATGAGATCAAAGGCCCGTTTAAGTCCTACTATTCTCACAGTTGCCAATCAAATGCCTTTAAGAAGGCTGCAAGCAGGACCTGAGTACAAAAGCGCTCTCCCCATTTGTGATTCCCAGAACCTGGTATTCAGAGGCATTATGCCTCTGAGAGTGGAGGTAAAACATAGCTTTCAGGGTCAATAGCCACTGCAAGCCTTATCCGCCATGAATTGGTCTAATCCTCTTCTAAAGCCGCCCAAGTTGGTGGCCATCACTATGTATTCCAGGAAGTGAATTCCATAGTTTAGCAAGACGCTTGCTTACCCCTGCCCCATCCACTCCACGGAAACTGAATGGTGTGGCTGCTGAGTCTTATTTGCGTGGCGAGTTCCCGCCCCCCACCAGGATAAATAAAGACACAAGACACCATAATTTAAGGTTAAATGGGCGAACTTTATTGAATTCAGGAATGAGAGGCATTGGCTTAGGCATTGGTCCTATCGACTATCCGGCTCCAGCCCATTTGCTGGAGACACGGGAAGGGTTAATAGAGGGAGTCTCCTGCTGAGGCATGTCAACTAGGAGCTCCCCCGGGTCACCGCTCGGGGGCGTGCCTTTGGCCCACACCTCCATAGGCTTCGGACAGGGCCACGCCCCCCCCAGAGTCCTTTATCGGACCTGGGCAGGCCGGAAGTGGCTTTCCACTCTAGTGACTGGATAGTGCTTGCCTGAAGACAGCAGGCTAGTTGGAGGGGGAGACAGGGAGAGAGACAGGCTGAGTAACATACAAAACTCTGTCCTCCAACGGGGGTAATAGAGTGGCAAGGGTGGGAGGCTTAGGAGGAACAGCCGGGGGACTGCTGCTGCTGCTGCCCCCCAAAAGCACATTCACCGCCTCAAGAATAGTGCAAACTGTAGTTTACTCCTCACAGAGTTATAGTTGCTAGTTCCCTTAACAAACTACAATTCACAGGATTCTTTTTCGGGGGGGGACGGGACGGGACGGGACGGGGGGGACATACTTTAAATGCAGGGTGTTATGTACAGCCGTCACCTCAGCGTTTAGTGTATTGTGGGTGGTTAACATGGGTTTTGCAGTTTTGTCATGGTGTGCATATTTGAAATGGCCTTTTGGGCTAGCTCAGGCATTCAGGATCATCTCTTGAGAGTACTACTGAAGTCAAGTGGATCTGTTGCTCTTTTCATTCCCTTTGCCGAAGTATTTCCATTAAGGCTTGCAGGGTCGATTTCCATGTCCTTGTTCAAAGGAATCCCATGAATGATTGACTTAGAGTTACTGTCTTTCTTTTCCTCCTCCTGTAGAAATTGAGTTTTAGCATGTTCTCTTTCTCTGTGTGCCCTTTTAAAGCCATCAAAAGATGTACACCTCCTAATGGCTGTAGAAAAAACTAATGAGCGCCATTACCCTGTCATTAAGGCTGCTGTCCTACAAATATTTACTAGAGAGTAAGCTCCATTAAACACAGTAGGACTTACTTCCACATAGTAATGGTGAACAAGCTTAATTCAATTTGCAATCGCAGGCAAACTTACTTTGCACTTTTGGAAACCGTATGAGAACTAAAATTCACCCTTCAAAATTTGCCTTTATCCAAATTTTGCTACACAGTCAACAGCCACATAATGTGTACAAAAATGCATATAAATGTGCATATAAGTGCATATAATAGTGAAAATCACATTCCAAAATGCATTGTGTTACAGAAAATTGTGTAAGGCAAAATAGCATGTTAAAATGTGTAGGGAGCAGGGAGAAATTCACACAAAAATGCTGAGGAATTTTCAAGAGAACTTAAAGAGATCAGAAAAAAAAGTTTCAAACTCATGCGGAAATGTAGCAAACAACTTAAGTTTGGAAAAGTGCGAAACTGAAAGAAACCAAAATTGGCATATTTGCCCATCCCTGCTTTCAAGTCAGCATGCATAGGATTTTGCTGTGAATATCATTTTCAGAACACAAAACGCAGCTGGAAAGTTAATAGCAAGTCCTGTTTTCACAAAGGGCTGGACAGAGTAACAGACTGGAAAGTGGAAATGTTTATCTTAGTCATTTATTTTCCTTTTTGAGGAACGGGAAACGGGTAACGGGAAAATAAAAGTCATATACAATGACTCACAAGCTCTTTTCTTTTTTATTCCTTCCTAGGAAGGTGAGCATAGGACTGTTTCCAAAGTTGAAAAGTTGGAGAAGTTCATTTATATATAAGCTTCGCCCTACCATTAGGCAAAGTGAGGCACCTGCCTCAGGCAGCAGCAGGTGTTGAGGTACAAGGGTAGCAGTCCTCTGGCTGTTCTTCCTAAGCCTCCCACCCTTGCCACTCTATTCCCACTATTGGAGGTTAGAGTTTTGTTTGCTACACAGCCTGTCTCTCTCCCTGTATCCACCTCCAACTAGCCTGCTGTCTTCAAGTGAGCACTATCCAGTCACCAGAGCAGAAATAAGACTCAGCAGCCATACCATTCCGTGGAGTAGATGGGGTAGGAGTAAGCAGATGTCTTGCGAAATTATGGAATTCACTCTAGAATACATTTCTTGGCCAAACCATCCTTCAAATGGAATAACCCAAAGTTAAGGATTGTGTTGGCAGCAATATGCAGGTATCACACAGCTGTGTGTTTCTCCTTTTACATCTGCAGGTGTGGCAGCAGATGTGCTCGCTTTATGTCTGGCCTCAGTAATGGACTGGATGAGAGCCAATACATGAAAAATTAAGGCAGATAAAACTAAGGCATGTTTAGTGGGTGGTTCCCTGGACCAGATGGGTAGAATGCTGGTTGCACTGGGTGGGGTTACCCTCTCTCTGAACGAGCAGGTGCATAGTTTGGGGGTTTGCATTGGATCCACTCCTATCATCTGAGGCTCAAGTGGCCTTGATGGTGCCTTCTATCAGCCTTGGCTGGTAGCCTAGCTATGCCCTTCTCTGGACAAAGGCAGCCTAAGTTGTGCAGTGCTGGGCCTGCTGACTTATTGTTATTTTACCCTCTCCTGTTCTAGGCACAATGACTTACCTTGGCAGTTGCTGAAAAAATTCAACAACCAACTGTCTCTGAAGTCTGCAAATCTGACCATGCTGAATGACACTCACACGAACATCCCAAAGCTGCGTCTTGGACACGTGGGAGCACAGGTATAAACAGTGGGGAAGAGACAGAAAAATAGAACAGGTGAAATGTGCACTTCTGTCAAACCATTTGATTATTCGGACACTTGGCAAGTTTCCAACCCCTACAGGTTATTTTTCAGAGAAAAATATTTGGTAATGCATTTGTGTTTTCCCATGTGCCACAATATCACATCAGTACAGCAAGTATACCACTAAGTGGCTAACTTAATGCTACGTTGGTTGTGTTCAGGCTCTTTCCCAGCTGCCAGGTGGCACGGGTGGCGCTGTGATCTAAAGTACTGAGTCTCTTGGGCTTGCTGATCAGGAGGTCATGGTTTGAATCCACACAACGGGGTGAGCTCCCTTTGCTTTGTCCCAGCTTCTGCCAACCTAGCAATTTGAAAGCATACCAGTGCAAGTAGATAAATAGGTACTCCTATGGTGGGAAGGTAAACAGCGTTTCCATGCGCTCTGGCGTCTACCGTCATGTGATAGACAACAATCCCATGACTGCAATCACGGAGCAGGAATTCTAACAGCCACATGACCCGGGAAGCTGTCAGTGGACAAATGCCAGCTCCCTCAGCCTGAAGCGAGATGAGCACCGCAACCCCATAGTCGCCTTTGACTGGACTTAACCATCCAGGGGTCCTTTACCTTTACCTTTAGAGTATGAGAGACCCATTCTGTGGAAGATGAAACGCCACTATATGCTCCCTTTCTTACCACAAACAACACACAGAACTTCCTGTCCCTACACTCAGTGCAAAACCGTACGTGGACTAAGCGATTGGAGCAAGCATTGTCTTGTCAAGATTCTACAGACTGGTTCTCCCTCACCAGAAGTTAGAATGTTTGCTGATGTTCCATGGCATCCCAGCAGCTCATTCCATGGTTGGGGGGGGGGGAGTGTGCATGAAAGAGGCAGTTTTCCTAGCCCTTGGAAACCTTCCTTTTTGCTTTCCTCTCTCCTTGTTCAGTTCTGGGCTGCCTATGTGCCCTGCGAAACCCAGAACAAAGATGCTGTCAAGAGAACCTTAGAGCAGATTGACGTCATCCATCGCATGTGTCACCACTACCCGGATGACTTTGAGTGTGTCACTAGCAGTGCAGGTAAGAGAGGAAAACAACCTAGACAGGAGAGCTTCTCCCAGGCTGGAGATGGGTAGCCCAGGATGGGAACACATTCATTCAGCCTGACCTGCAACAATTCAACACAGGGCAAGACCTTGACAAAAGTGAGAAGTCCCAGGGCAGGGAGGCTGGCTGCTGCCCCATTCCTATCTGTGATGGAGCAGGAAGGCCAGTGGGGCTGCAGGATTCAATTGAACACAGGCTACCACTCATAGTAGGGACAATTTCAGCAGGTGCCACATTCCCCATGGTTGTGCTTTGGTGGTGGGAGAATCATAGAATCACAGAATTGCAGCGTTGGAAGGGGCCCATAGGGTCAGCTGGTACAACCTCTGCAAAGGATTCTCCCTGAGGAACCTCCTGCCAATAGAGATTCATCAGGTGTGCTATGTACCAGCTTTTAAACGGCTGCTGAAAACTATGCAGGCAATTAAGCGTACATTCCCAACAATGGTCTATGGATTCCCCCCCGCCTATTTTTATTTTTGCTTTTAACTTGCTTTTAACTTTTTATGATGTTATTGATTGGTTTTATGTTTTTATATTGTTGTATACTGATGTGATATATTTTAGTGATGCAGCCGTATATAATTTTTTAATAAATAAAGCAAGAATCACAGCTTAAGAATTTCTGACAGATGGCTATCCAACCTCTGTTTAAAAACCTCCTGCAAAGGAGAGTCCACTGCCTTCCAAGGTAGTCCATTCAGCTGTCAAATAGCTCTTACCATCAAAAGAGTCTTCCTCATGTCAGAATCTCCTTTCTTGTACTTTGAATCTACCCTCTGGAGCAGCAGAAAACAAGATTGCTCCATCTTCCACGTGACAGCCCTCTTAGTCTCCTTTTCCCCCAGGCTAAACATACCCAGCTCCTTCAGCCATTCCCCATATGGTTTGCTTTCCTGACCCTTGATCATCTTGGTCATCCTTCTCTGCACACATTCCAGCTTGTCAATGTGCTTCTTAAACTGTGGTGCCCAGGACTGGACACAGAAGCAGCCCCTGCCAAAATTCTCCCTACTATTGAAGAGATTATATTCCCATTGAATCCCACAATGGGTTACTTGGTGATAAGGGGCTGATTTAGAGTGCCTCCGCCTCCCACACCTGTCCTGACCCCACCCTCTGCAGATTCCTCATATCTTGTTTGATGTTAGAAGCCCACAGGAGATGTTTTCTTTGCAGGTATCCAGAATGCTTTCACCAATGGACGGGTGGCCAGTCTGATTGGTGTGGAGGGTGGGCACTCGATAGACAGCAGCATGGCTGTCCTGCGCACCTTCTACCAGCTGGGGGTGCGCTACATGACCCTCACCCACAGCTGCAACACACCCTGGTAAGGCTGCCTTTGCTAGAGGCAGGGCATAGTCTGCTTTCAGTATCAGGGTCCAGCCCCAGAGCACTGGGCAAGTACGTCTGAGCAAACACAGAATGCAGTTTCTTTATATTTTTATCAGAATATTTATTTACCACTATTCATAGAAATACAGTCGTACCGAATGCCTTGGGAGTCAAACATTCTGGCTCCTGAAGTGAGTGTTCCAGTTTTCGAACGCTCTTTTGGAAGCCGAATGTCCAGTGGGGCTTCCACAGCTTCCGATTGGCTGCAGGATCTTCCTGCAGCCAATCAGAAGCCACGCTTGGGTTTCCAAACGTTTTGGAAGTCGAATGGACTTCCATAAAAGATTCTGTTTGACTTCCAAGGTATGACTCTATATCAAAGCGATTTACAACATTACATTGTAATGCAATAAAATAATTATTGGACTAAAGGCTAAACGTAGCCTTTCTCCTGCTCTGTGTTTCTGTTTTAGTCTTGTGGTTTAGAGGAGATGTTTTAGGTGAATGTAATTTTATTTGAAGACAGAAAGGGGATATTTGGGATTATGCACCTATCTACATGCATCCCTTATGCACATGCGTAAAAGATAGTGTGTATTAACCAAAACTTTTATAACTTTCTGCAGGGCTGATAACTGGCTGGTGGACACCCCGGAGGAGGAACCAGTTCACAATGGCTTGACTGAATTTGGGAAGGTGAGTGGAAGCTCTCTAGCAAGTTTTGATGAAAATATATGACATTCCTCCGTCTGACTCTCGGTCTGAGTCTGTTTTTTCAGCCCTGCTGGGAGATGCTAGGGATTGGACCTTCTGCATTCAAAGCAGATACTCTGCCACTGAGCTGTGGTCCCTCCTGTTTGCTCAGGTTCAACTCCCAATGTGACAACTGTATGAGCCCCTATCACGCTTTAGCAAGCTGCTACCCCCCCCCCCAAATAGCCTGGTTTAGCTAAGGATAGGAAGAAAGTGGATATGCTTTGAGTGATATCATCATCGTCATAGAACCACAGAACTGGAGAGTTGTAAAGGAGGCCAACAATAATCAAGGCCAATTCAGGAATCAGAGGTAAAGAATCCCTGACCACCCAATCTCTGTTTGAAAATTTCTTCTGAGGCAATCTACTCCCCTGTTGGGCATTGGCTCCTCCTCCTCCTCCTCCTCCTCCTCCTCCTCTTCTTCTTCTTCTTCCTCATCACCTGTCCTTCACCATCAGATCCCAGCGTAGGGTGAAACAATTTAAAATTCAGAATTAAAAAGTTAAAACAGGCTACATTAACAAGAATAGAGTGGGCCCTGAAAATGCACAGCTCAGTTGTCAAAGATGTACGTCTTCAGCATTTGCCGAAAGCTGCATAGTGAGTAAGCCAGACACATCTCCGTGGGGAAGGAATTCTACAACTTAGGGCAGTGATTCCCAATTAGCTAATTACTTAGGACCCCCAATTTTTCAAAAGCCACGGACCCTCTACTTTTGAAATTTTTGATAACTGTATAGTAGTTACCTGTGCAAAGCAATTTTTTGGAAGAAAATGTGAGGTGACCCCTAATAAGCAAAGGATTTTAGTTAGGGTTGCCATATTTCAAAAAGTAAAATTCCTGACACCCGCAAAGTTGTTCACCTTTCTTTTCAGAAACCCACCAAAATTGTTAAGCTTTTTGGGGGGAACCTCCCCCCCAAAAGAGTGATTTTAAGCTTAACAATCTACTCAGTGAGCATCTATCTCTTGGTAAGTGACAGTTTGAAGGGTTTGTCCTCATATACTGTAGCTGCTTGTTAAACTCCCCTCTCCTCTTGATCATAAAACTTCAGGAAATACAAAAAGACCCACTGGTTACTCTGCACCCAATTTCTCTCTCTCTCTCCACCCCTTGCCTTGTTTTTCCTCCCTCAAAGCGCTTGGTCAGGGAAATGAACCGTCTGGGAATGATGGTGGATTTGGCTCACGTCTCTGTGAAGACAATGAAAGACGCTTTGAATGTCTCCAGAGCACCTGTGATATTCAGCCACTCCTCAGCCTATGCCATCTGCAAACACCGGCGCAATGTGCCAGATGATGTCCTCCGTGAAGTGGTGAGAAAGACTATGATGTGTGTTGCAAGGTAACCTGTGTCATCCTGGTTCCCTCCAACTGTTTTGGGGTATAGTTACAATTCCCATCAGCTCCTGCCCAAAGAACTAATGCCTGAGCTTGCCTTTTTCCTCCTCCCCCCACAGTGCCTTTTCCTTTTGTGTCATGACTCTTAGACAGCACAAAATGGGTGGTAGTTGTAGTCCTAAATATCTGGAGGGTACCAGGGTGGTGCAGACTGCTATAAAGTGACCTTGTACCAGAGATGTGAGTAGGGCAAGACTTAAGGATATGAGGCAGCACCAAGGTCCCCATGGCAGCCATTTTGTGTTATGCCACACCACGCAATGGCAGCCATTTTGTGACTGGCGCTCCCGACTTTCTCTCAAAATTCCAACTGTATCCACTGGTCCAAATAGGTTAGCGGTCCCTGGTTTAAATAATAGCAGCAGCAAACTTACACACATAATATTGCTCAAATGGGGGAGCAACCTTGGGGCAATTAGGGGTGGATTTCTGTTCCATTTGGTTAGAATGAATGAATTCCAAGCCCAGGAATTTGTTTTTTGCATACCAGAAGTAATTCCTGGGCCTGGGCTTCCTTAATTCTAAGTGGCCTGTATTTTGCACATGGCTCTGCTTGGTGGATCTTGGAGGTTCTCATAAAAAACATCACCCCCAAAGTGGATCCCACAAACCATAAGCCTGCCCAGTCCTGTCTTAGAGTGCCAGTTTCTTCCCAGGAATATGCTTTCTCTGAAATGGCTCCCCTGCTTACCTTCTACAGAACAAGACCCGTGGCCTTGTGATGGTGAACTTCTACAACACCTATGTGTCCTGTAGCTCCAAAGCCAACCTTACACAGGTTGCAGGTGAGGCAGAGAGGGTGGGGCTAGGGCACACCTGAGGAGGTGGGGTGGGAGGGATCAAAGCACACAAAAACAGTGAGGGTGTTGACCTCCCAGACTTCTTGCCCACAGACCACATGGACTACGTAAAGCGTGTTGCTGGACCAGAGGCAGTTGGCTTTGGAGGAGACTATGATGGTGTTCCCAGGTATCAACGGAAAGGAGGGGAGGAGATAGAAGGGTATATCAGATACCCCAGATATGTCCATTTTTGAGTCTGTCAGGCTGGCTTGGGCGGAATCAATCCAAAGCCTGGCCATAGTAGATATTCATGCCTCACCCATCAGAGTTCACTTGACCACTTGGAGACCATAAGTAACTGACTAGTGACCCCCCCCCCCGCAAGTTAATTTTAAAATGTACTCAGCCCCCTTTTTGTTACAGTGACGCTTGTGGGGCGACACAATGGTCCCAGATATTGAAGGTCCACATTTTGCATAATTATAGATCACAGAATTGGGAGGTCTCTCAAAGATCATGTAGCCCAATCCCATCAGTGATCCACTCATTTTATTAATTTTACAATTGCCATTATGGATTTATTATTTTTCAACTCTGTCTCTTTTGTATTTCATCTCATTTTCTTGTATTGTACACCACTTTGGCTGTGAGATGATTTATAAATAGAGAGAATAAAATAAGGGCACTTGGGAGCATGAAGGCTGTAATGCTTGCATGTCTATTACAGTGGTACCTCGGTTTAAGAACTTAATTCATTCTGGAGGTCCGTTCATAACCTGAAACTGTTCTTAACCTGAAGCACCACTTTAGCTTATGGGGCCTCCCGCTGCAGCTGTGCCACCGGAGCACTGTTCTCATCCTGAAGCAAAGTTCTTAACCCGAGGTACTATTTTTGGGTTAGCGGAGTCTGTAACCTGAAGCGTCTGTAACCTGAAGCGTATGTAACCCGAGGTACCACTGTATATGCATATGTGGCTCCACCTAAACTATCTCAGAGATACAACCCAAGAGCCAAGGGATTCCCCGAGGTGTCTCTTGTTGGCTTCTTGAACCCTGACCAAGGGTATACAGCCGATCAAGGTGCATGAGCCATCAAAGAGAAGCTACGGAGCTGACCCTTCTAGATGCAGCCCCATCTTGAAGCTTCCCTCCTGTTGGGGTAAAATGAGGAGATTTTGCCGGGTGCGGGGGACTCTTGACTCTCATTTCTTGGATTTGTTCCGGCATTCTTTGGCCCACACAGTGTCCCAGATGGTTTGGAAAATGTCTCCAAATACCCAGACTTAGTTGCAGAGCTTCTGAGGAGGAACTGGACAGAGAAGGAAGTGAGAGACGCCCTGACCAACAACCTGCTGCGGGTCTTTGAGAGTGTGGAGCAGGTGAGACTGCCAAGACCAGTAAGGCTCTGTCTGCAGAAGGGTTGGGAGGGGGACACAGAGAGCCTCGGATAATGCTTTGCACTGCTAGGATTGTTCCCCTCTTGGCCCTGTCTCTTCCCTTATTTATGCTAACCCCCTGCCCAAGACATTTTGTTATCTGAAGATGGCTCACACCCCATCTATTCCACACGGCAGCAGTCAACCAGAATGGCAGCTGGATCTTCAACACTAGCAGGGAGACACTGCAAGTGAGGGGAGAAAGACCTGGAATCTTGGAAAGCCACTGACAGTCAGTGTTGACAATACTGAGCTAGATGGACCAATGGATCTGCCGCAGTAATGGCTCCTTCCTTTGAATGCAAGACCATCCCATTTCAGAATAGCTTTTTTTGTAAGAAGTGGTACAGCATCTGCCTGGCAGGCAGAAGGTCCCAGGTTCAATCCCTGGGAAGGACTCCCTGCCTGAAACGCTGGAAAGTGCTGCCAGTCAGTGTAGACAGTCCTAGACCAAATGGACTAATGGTCTGACTCAGTATAAGGCAACGTGCAACGGGATGAATATAATGCTAGTCTTGCTGAGAGTAGACCCACTGAAGGTAATGAATATGAACAGCTCAGGTTTATTGATTTTGGTTGATCTATTGTGAGTAGAGCAAACATTGACTGCTACTCTAACTGAACTTTCTTTCCCACTAGGTGCGGGACGCAATGGCCCATGAAAAAATAGTTCCTGATGATGGACCCATCGACTTTAAGAACTTGGAGGGGACATGCCGAACAGACTATGGGTACCCTAGCAATGGGGACCATCCCAAAATGCTGCCTGCTGTGCTTGCACTCCCTGTCCTCCTCGTGTTGCGCTGGTAGAAGTTCCAGCACCTCCCTTGTCTTGGTGACCTCATGGAATCTGACTGGTTGAAAGTTCACACCAGAGATCAGGCTCTTGCTGCATCCCTCCTACCACAAACCAGGCTGCGCCCTTGCCCAAACGCTTTAGGAAATTCAACTGAACTATCGATGAATGCGTTTCCAGCTGTTCCCCCCTGTCTGGTAGCTTTGGCCCCAGTTCCTCCAACCCCAATAACTGAAAAGCAAAGGGCACGATGCTCATCAAACCCATGGCAACCAAGCTGGACTCATCAGCTTCACAGACCTTCCAAAGTGTGGCTTCCAAGAACACTGAGGACCGAGTTACCTATCAGTCCCATCCAACCTGGTCAATGGCCAGAGTTGGTAGCTGCAGTCCAGCAAATAAACAAGAGGCCATCACAACAGCTACCCTACCTTTGTATGTCCTTTATAGGACACAGGTCCTGCTTGCAGGCTTCCCTTGGGCATCTGGAGCTATAGTTCAGTGGTAGGACAACTTGCTTTGCATGCGGAAGGTCCCAGGTTCAATCCCCAACATCTCCAGGTAGGGCTGGGGAGAACTCTGTCTGATATCCTGGAAAGCTGCTGCCAGTCAGCGTGGGCAATACTGAGCTAGATGGGCCAGTGGTTTGACAGCTTCCAATGCCCTATGGCTGGCCACTGAGCAAACAGGCTGCTGGACTGGACTGGGCTGCTTTGGCCTGATCCAGCAGAGCTCTTCTGACATTCTTGCATCCTCTCCCAACAGTCCAGCAAGACGTTTCCTCCTTTCTGGAGTCATTCATGAGCAACCTTTAATCCAGCACTCTCCTGCTCTTTCCCCTTCTATCCTCACTGTGCTTAAGTACTGGTGGGGGACCCCCTCACATGTTCTGTACTGCTGTAGTGCCAAGCACACTCCTAGGTCTAAGTAAAAGTTTAACTGCAGTTCAAAGGAGACCAGCTGCCTTTCTCTTTAGAGTTGAATGCATGAACATGGCAAGAGGCATCTGAGCTTCCACAAGCGGAGAAGAGGATCCTTTTTGAAATCTGTTGCTGGGGAGCTCCAGGCAAGGCTGGGGAGGTCATGGTCGCCTCTGACTACAGCCGAGAGGCCCAGGTGACCACCTTCCCCTTCTTGCCAGCCTTGTAGCTTGCGCAAGGGCCCCAACAGAGCTGCCAAGCGCCATCCGGGCAGGTGCTGTCGTCTCGCAGCCTCCGTCCAAGCATTCCTCATTAGCCAATTAATTAGCTAATCAAGCAGCTCATTAGCAGCTTCCGGTGGCATTTCAAGAACAGCCTGTCTTTGGACGCGGAGGCGGTGATGGGCACCTGCACAAACAGACCTGGGAAGGGATTCAGCCTGCCTGCTTGCATTTGCTGGCTGGCTGCAACACAGGGAGGATCAGCACCGGGGCAGCAGGTGGAGGCCGTTTCCTGCTTTTTGTGGCCCCTGCATAGCCCTGCCTGCTACCCAGCAGAGAGGAGGCAAGCTAGGAAGACACAGGCAGGCACACACATGAGATCCAGGTCTGCTTTACAGTGCAGAAAAGATATCAAAACTGAAACTGGGCCAAAGCTGCCCTGTAGAGCCTGGCATCCACCTGTAAGCCTCTGCACTTTAGATCACAGCTCCAACAGCCACTAATCTTTTATTTTTTAATGGCCACTATTATAACCTTTGTACGCCACTGAATACCAGTTGCTGGGGGCACAACAGCATGAGAGGAAGGACCACAGCTGAGATGTAGAGCCTCTGCCTTGCACACAGAAGGTCCCAGGTTCAATCCAGGTATGGCTAGGGAAAACACCTGCCTGAAACCATGGAGAGCCACAGCCAATCAGTGAAGGCCACAGCCCTTTAAGCAGTTGGTCAGGACCCACAGGCTATACCAGGTGGCTTGCAGCATATCTGCCATGCCGGATTCTAGATAAGTCTGACTAGGCCAAAAGAACACTACATGTGGTGTCTAGACTAGGGCACATTCGTCTGATGACACACACCTTTTATCGATTTCCATGGGTGCTGCAACATGGCAGGAGAAAAGCATGAGCCATTTTTAAGAACGTACATATTTCTGGCCAAGGACATGCCCCACCACCCTACATCTATGCTTCTAGAGAGGAAGCTCTGTACGGAGCAGGGGCGCTCTGTTCACTTTCGAGTCTACTTCTATGGCTTTCTGGACTTCTCCCAGAATGCAAAAATTGGGTTGTTTTTTTTCAACAGCTTCTCTGCCTTTTGACTAAAAAATAAATGTAACAACCATTGCTTTTCATTTGGTAGCAATGCTAAAGCATATTGCTCTGTGAATTGCTATTTTAGCATTAATAATGTGCATTAAGTATAAATCAAATGTGAACATTTGACAGCAGGTCCCGTGTTGCAGGTTGTGAGTCAGAGGTAGGACTTGGGTCTGGACCAGTTGAAGACCACGGGTGTGGACAATACTGAGCTAGATGGACCGATGGTATGAAGCAGCTCCCTAGGACTCTACGTAGGGGTTAACCTGAGACTCACTTTTAAATGGAGGGCCCTCTGTGTGCTGAAGAAGCACAGCCAATTTCTTAAGAAAGAGCTGAATGGGGGATTACAATTCTGCAGACAAGCAGGGGGTGGGGAGCGAGAAGCGGAAGCTTCTTTTTTTAAATGAGTAAGGAATGAATTGTGGGTCTGATGCAGACTACAACTGTGATTATTATTGCTATTTTTATTCCACTTTCCAGACAGTTGCCATTTCCCAAGGCAGACTAAAAAAAAAAAAATGAGAGGAGAGTAGGGGAAAGGTAGATGAGGGGGATGTTATTTTAAAGCCAGAGAAATAAGCCGCATAAGATGGCATTTGTGGTGTGAAAAGAGCCAGGTTGATCTCCCCTTGTTGGTGCTTGTGCTTGAATAGCAATTGCTAGCTCTTGTTCCTTTAGCAGATGACGGATGGAGCCAGAGCATCCTCTCTCCTTGTTTCTACAGTCCCAGAGTGACAGGCAATGGGAGCCGAGAGTGGGGAGGCCAGCCTCCTTGCATCTGCTCATTCTCTGGCGAAAGGATGGGGTCAGGTTGGTCTCTTATTTGCCCCAATTCTGAGCCACTGCTTTGACAATCTGACCAGGCAGTGCCCAAGAATGGGATGTGATCAGATACCAGCCGCACAAGGCTGGCTTAGGGAGGGTGGTGTGAGTAGCCCCCTGCCTCAAGGAAAATGTGCCCAGGCCAATCACCCCAGAAGCTGCCCCCCCCCCCATGCCTCTGCCGGAGCTAAAGCACATCGAAAGCTGGGCTAAGCAAGAAGCAGCACCGTTCCTTAGGGGGAGGGAGCCCTCTTGTGGCAAACCTGTTTCATGCAGAACCACACAGAATCTGAGGGAGCAATACAGAGTTTACCAAGCTTTTTGGACCGGGGGAGGGACATAACACCAGAAAAAACTGTCAGGAGCCATGCTGTGTTTCAGAAGCTGCAAATTCAATTCCATGCCCTCACCGTGGACACCAATTCTCAGCCATAAGAGCTAGAACAGCAGTTGCTGCTCTTTCATCATGCTGCAGTTGGCATGGCCACCTATTGGCGGACATGTAAGCTGCCCTGTGGCAACAATTTTTCTTACAAAATGAAATAGGAAGGATTGGGCCTCCTGAGTAATTGAACATGGTAGGCGGACACTGTGGATAGGAATCAAACTTCGATCTCGTTTAAAAGGAGCAGCTTTGGGGCCACAGCAGGGAAGGCAGGGATGGTGACAGGGCAGGAGACCCTTCTGAGCACCTGGGGCTCTCAGTCAGTGCCTAATCTGGCTGACCACTGCCACCGACCTTAGTTTTTGTAACCCTCCTTTCCTCTATGTATGATCCCCAAGGGCAGAAGTGAGGAAACCTATGTAAACCTAACTGCACCTACTGATTTCCAGAAATTGTTGGCATCTGCCTGCCTTGAGACTGAGAGACAATGGAGTGTACCTCCAGGGGTGAATTAAAATCACTGCATTAGCAGTACTGAAGTGACCTCCCTGGGGTGCAGGCCTGGCCAGTGTGTATGGAGGTACTGGGCTGCCCATAAGACCCCCCTCTTGGCCTCAGTGATGTGCTCCAAAGGAAAGCAGAGCAATACCTTTGGCACCAGCTTGACTGCAGGAGTTGCCAAAAGGTGGTGTACAAGGCATCATCTAACCGTCTTAGAGACTCCACTCCAGATTTGTATAGGGTAGCCTTTTCTTCCCTTGAAGATACCTTGCAAGGCAGCAGAGTTCTCCTTCTCCTAGACTGGGTACCTTCCCAGGTTGACAAACCTCATCTGCCTCACTTCCCTCTACAACACATGCAGAAACCACCTTCTTGATCACTGGACCCACTATTGATCTCATCCTCCCAATCCACTGGAGCCTGCCTTTGCATGCAGGGGAAGTTCCTAACTTACTGAGAGTTTGAGACTCATTGGATACCCTCGCCTGGTTTAGCTGCCCAGTTGAAGCCATTCCCATGGCGTGATCGCCGTTGCATGTTGACTGCTTCTAAGAGTCCCAGGTGAGAGTTGAGTGCAGTGGGGACCAAAGGTGGACAAACTACCCCAAAAGGAGCATGATGTGTGTGTTCCCCTGGTGGTACTACCCCTCCGCTAAAACCCCATACACCCCGATTTCCGGAGAGTAATTTATTTAAAACAGCATTAAAGAAACAACAGCATACGCTTTAATTTTTTTTTTTAACTAGAGGTGGAGGAAGGCAAAACAGAGCAGTGTTTTTCCCAAGAAGGAGCTGGGAGGATGTGGCACTCCATAACACCTTTCCAACAAGCCTTTCACAATGAAAACACGCCCTCTGTTCCCACACCCCACCCCACAAAGTGCGGCTTAGAAGAACAGGAACAGCACAAGCATAAAGGCCAAGCCCTTCAGAGACAGAATGGCGGGAGGAGAGAGACCTCATTTTAAATACCAGCAGCAAAGTGGAACAGCGTGGTTTCTTACAGGAGACCAAAGAGGTTCTTGCTCTCTTGACATCGGCTCTGGCAGAAAGATCAAAGCAACACCATTGAAGACAAGAACCTAATCCTGCGAAGCCCCACCATTTCCACCCAGAGTATTAGGAGGTCCCAAGTCTTGTTGAAAGGGGAGGAAAAGAGAGTGAGAGCGCAGGGGGAAGTGCTGCTCTGGAACCAAGAGGCAAACTTCTCCAATATGACAAATCAGGGGGAAAGACCCAAGCATCTCTGTACATGAGGGTTCCCCTTCCAGAAGTTTGAGGAAAGGTACATGTTGGACAAGGGTGAACTGAAATGCAGAACACAAGCAAAGAGTTCTTAAGAGGGCCGGCAGAAGAATCAGAGGGTGTAGAATCAGCAAATGAATCTATCTCTCTCTGTGTGTAATGGAGGGAGAAAATAAAGGAACATTAGTTTCAAAGGTCACTTAATGGTGTGTAAATCCAAAATGGTGTGTAAACAGACAGGCAGGGGAGGGGAGAAAGGTACACATCCATTCTCTCGACAAGCTCACTTTGTAGCACAATTCCAATTCCAATTCCCACAAGTCATCCCCTAAAACAGCCTTCCCTGACTTAGTGCTCTCCAGATGCTTTTGACCACAACTCCCATCAGATGTAGAAGCTGGGGTTTATGGGAGTTGTAGTCCAAAGATCTGGAGGGCAGGGCAGGGAGGCTGCCTTAAGCCAAGGAAGTGACTGATATTAGGAGAAACAAACAGCACACCTGCCTCCACACACCAGACACAGGTTCCAGATATAAAGGTTTTAAGTCTTGCAAGGGCTCTGCCTGAATCATTTCTAAGAGCTATATGCTCTTGTTCCTTTCATCCAGTGACTTTCAGGCACAAGAGGATGATGGGAAGTGTGGGCTGAAAAAAGAAGTTGGGGGGGGGGAGGAGAACTATACCAATAAATTTGCCTCCCAATCACGCCATCCCAGCCAAGCCTAGGCAAGTTCATGCACAGGTGCTTGCTGCTGCCACTATCTTTAGAGAGTAAATTGCCATCACCATGAGAGGATTTAAAGTCCATTGCTGAACACAGCAGGCCTGGAGGAGTCGAGGGACCAGTCTTCCTTCCGATCACCGTAGGACGGAGTGGCCAGGGGCCTCCCGCAGGAAGTCCACAAATCATAGTTGAACAAGGCAGAAGCAACAGTCCATTAGGGGGAGTAGAGAGGGTTAATTCCGCAGGGCAGCCAACCTGGACAGGAACACGGGAGAAATAGAAAATTAAAAAAGAAGGCTTTTTTTTAAGGTACAGAAAAGAGCTGGCTTTGTAGTTTTGACCATGGGGAATTGCAAAAATGTATTACAGCTCTTGTTCAGTGTTGCCTTCTTTCCCCTCTTGCCACATCAGGGAAGATTCTGCAGCCCAGAACCATGCTCAGTGCTTGTCAGGCTATTTCTGGAGACTGTCCCTTAGGGTTGTTTGCCCTTAAGCTTTCTTTCTTTCTTTCTTTAATTTTGCATTTAACATTAATTTTATATAGTTTTTTAAAAAATACTTTTGAAAACCTCTTGGCTCCCCAAAACCAGCTGATACCATGGATGGGTAGTGCTGTTTTGGGGAGAGAAGAGTGATGCTACTCGCTACCAGAATATGGCAACCTATAGATATTTTAAAAGCTTCCAGCCTGGGTCTCTGTTGTTGGCCGAGAAGCAGGAATTTGAATCCTACAAAATGATTATGGGCATGTTTGGGTGTCAACGAACCTTCGCGATAGCTGGTCCTCCTGGGAACGCACAGAGCTCTCTCCCACCGCCGAGGCCCCCTCAGGCAGCTGGTTCAGCTGATCCATGACTTCCAGGCCGTTCTCCTCAGCAATTTGTACTATCAGACTGTCAACTTGCTCCTGGGGTGTGGTCAGTGTAGTAGCTGAGCTCATGGAGTCTTCCATCACCTGTGGGGACCACAAAACAGATCATTAGCAAGGAGGGAGGAAACAGAACACAAGAATATGTCCCCAAAGCTACAGAAGCAAATGGGTACAGTCCCAACAAACAGGCCTGCTTCTCAGTGGAAATTATTCCTCCTGCTGTCCCACACATGTGTCCAGCACAAAACATCCCCTTCCAGATCTCCCTGCAGCAGGAAGGTGCTACTACTGTCCCCCACTGATGAACATCTGGTGGTGGCTCAGATGTTCATTGCTCAACATTGGAAGTAATGTATAATGACAGAGGCATGGTTCAACATTGTCTGGAAGATAGTCCTGTCTGAACATCTTACACCACACAGACAAGTGGCAAGAAGTGAAGTGAGGAAAGATCAGTTTGAAAAATTGCGGTTCTTATTTTTTCCTCTTTATCAATATGGACTTAAAATTCTCAGGCCCTCCCAATATCCACACATCGCTTTGGAGGGGCTCCGCTGATGCCTAGTTATCACACACAACTGTTAATGACTCTTTCAAGATAATTTAATTTTTATTTTTATATATTATATTTTTATTAGTTTTCAAATACAAAAACAAATTTATACATTCCATACATCTTAATTACATCTTACTTCTCTTTTTTGACTTCCCTCAATTTGTCTGCCATTCCTTCCTATTGTTACTTTTTACACATTTCTGCCAAGATAATTTAATTATTTGCTGTGAGCTAGTCAGTACTAAGTATTGTATAATCTGCAGGTGGATTCTATGATGTTTACTTGAAGTTTCTCTATTTGTTTTCTCGAGATCAATAAAAATTACATATGAATAAAAACCGGAAGGTGCTACTGCCGTCCACCAATAGGCCCACCAATCTTTTCCTTTTCCCCTTGCAGTTTGTGGACAGAAAATGAAGGGGGCTCTCTCCCCATTCCTACTGGAATTTGTAGAAGGGCGACAGCAGTAGTAAGGCCCGCATGTACCTTCTACAAGAAGCTTGCATTGAGAGCAGGGGAAACACACACACAATCACTACCTCTACACAGGAAGGGTAGAGTTGTGCACAACCAAACAGTGGGCTAGCAGACCCAACACACTGCATACATGAAAAGGGCTGTTCATTTACATTCTGTGCCTTCCTCCTGCCCTAGCCCACATCCAAGGGCCATAGTTCATCAGTAAAACATCTGATTTGCATGTAGAAGGGCCCAGGTTCAATCCCCAACAACTCCAAGTAGGGCTGGGAGAGGCTCCCTGTCTGAAACCCCTGGAGAGCTGCTGCTAGTCAGTGTAGACAATACTGAGATAGATGGACCAGTGGTCTGACTCAGTATAAGGCAGCTTCCTACATTCCAAACTCCAGACCAGAGCATACATACTGCTAAAAAAGAGTGTTTTACACACTTCCTACAGCAGAAGTTTGAACTTCAACAGAACTTCACCATATCTAGCAGTGAGGGGGTAGATGGAAGGAGAAGGATTCATAGGCAAACGGGGGGGATGGGGACAGAACAGGTTTACTGGAAGAAGGAGTTTTAAGGTGTCTTGCATCCCACCACCCATAGCATTACAGCACAGATGCCTTGTTCTAGCTGGACAGCAAACAGCCCTTACCGAAGTGTGAACATCCAAGTTCTGGACCTGCTGCTCAAACTTGTCCATCACAGCGGAGACCTTCTGCAAGTCCATAGAGCTGAGTGCTTTGTCCAAGGCCTTCGTCACCTGGGCCATGTTCTTAGTCACCTGCAGTAGAGAGTCAGAAAATGTCTCATGCATTAAGGAAGCAGAAGCCCCTCAGGGAATTGCCCAGAGGGCTGGAGCCAGGACATGAAGAGGACTTAAATAAAGTGTGGGAAACTGAATCTGGTCCACAAGATGCATTCTCCCCTTCTCCCACCCCATGAGCCAAATTTGACAGGTGGGTTGTCAATCACCTGGCATCACAATGATGTCAGGTGTCCTGTTCTGCCTGTACAGTTTAAAATCAAACTGTGCAGGCCAAAGCACCGCCCTGTATTTTGCAAGTGCCATCAACCAGCTGATCAACAGCCTTTGCAAAATGTGGTGCAGAGGACTGCTCAGCAGTGCCTGCAAACCCGCTTTCATTTCAGCTGCACTGCCTCTTTACCTGCTCCAGAGCAGATGGGCATGGCTTGGCTGAAGTGACCTCCATTAGCCAAATGGGCAGGGCTGGTAGGTCTAACTAGGTTCACAGGCTGGAGGTTCTCCACCACTGATTTAAGAGTTATGTCCCTCAGAGCAACAATGACAGGAAAGGCCAGGGGGCAGAAAGTGTCAAATGAGCAGGGAATGAGGGTTTCAGAAGCGCAAGTCACAACCAAGATGGTCCTCAGCTGACAGACCTTAACGGCTGTTTCATCACTTTCAGTCTTGGAAGCCCAGACTCAAGGTCTAAAGTCAAGAGGGGCCAGGACTGAGATGCTGAGGGCAACAGAGAGCAGCAGAGAAAAAAATGGGCGGAGTGGAAAGGGGCAGAGTGGGTAAGAGGAACATTTTTTGGCCCCAAAGTAGCCCACAGGGCTCCAATGGAGCAAACCAGACTGACCAGTTCTGCTCACATACCAATATGGGATAAGGAAGAGTCAGCAACCCAGGGGTCAAATGAGCATGTTTGCCGATAACAATATGCCTAATATTATGGATTAAATTGCAGATTGGATCTCGGGCAGTAAGGCTGGAAAAGCACTCTTCCAGAGATCTTAGAAATCTGTTGCTAACCAAGACAGACAACACCTGGCTGGATCGGTGGCTGTCGGTCCAACTGTAGCTCAGTTTTCATGTAATGGTACACCATAGCCTGAAATAATAAATTACTCTGTGTGCTGCTCAGTCATCCTGCCCAGTTCCTTCCCTGTGCCCCCTTTACAGAACCATGGAGCGGCTGGCTTAGTGTTACATACTAAGCGGTGCTGGTGATTTGTTTCTTGCCAAATAAATCACATGTGGAAGCTGAGGTTTGCTCTTGGCTTACCAGTCATGGTGTGTTTGGAGAGAAACAAGACACAAGCACTGGCTTGAACGTTAAACCACACAGCAGTCAGCTCAGTGTTGTTTCTTGCTAGGGAGGGGTGAAGCAGTTGCGACTGAGAGAGTGCATCAGTCTGTTGCTCGTTCCCAGTAAGCCATAGTTTGTTATTGACGAATGGTGAAGTGTGGACTTTTTCAGATGGACTGGAGTGGGGGAAGGTTATGGAAATATGAGAAACTGGCATAGGCACCACCACAAAATGGCTGTGATTTAAATCATCTCAATGTAAATCAACCCACCTTGCCCAGCAATGCCTATGGTAAAAACGTGATTTTTTAAAAAGCAATGAGAGGGGCAGGAGACCTTGGTGAGCACAAAGTAGGGGATTTTCACTGGGTGTCATGAAGCTGCACACCATGTTGGTAAACATTATGTGCAAACATGGCCAATGTGAAAGGCAAGTCCTTGTAGCCTTTAGCAGCAGGGAAGAGGAAGTATCTACCAGGTTAGACTGTGGATACTCAACACCAGTGCCAAAGTGCATCTTCTTACCCCCTTCATAGTCACTGCTGTCTGGACCTTAGAGGCCACCGCATCCACTCGAGAAGCCATACGGAGCCAGTTCAAGCCTTCATTCTTCTTCCGAATGGCATTCTCTGCATAGACACGGGCACATTCCACATTCTTCTGTTGAAGGGCCTGGAGCAGAAGAAAAATGGGGAGATGCTCAGGGTGAATTCACCAGAATCAGAGCACTTGCATGGGGCTCTAAACATCCTGCCAATCAGCCAGAAAACCTTTCAAGCCAGCTGCATCTTTACCTGCCCCACACCTGACAACGTATATGCATGGCTTGGCCAAAACAAGAAGGTGGCCTTCAAACAGTGTCTCCCAACATCAAGAATTCTATACATGGCACAGACTTGCAAGGCCCACCTTTTCCCGAAATAAGGACTGCCCCATGCCTCTCCATTTTTAGTGGTGCAACAATGTAGTGCCCACAATGTAGAAAGGTCCTTACTTACAATCTGCACTAGACAAAGAAATCAGGAGTGAAGGAAAAAAGCAAGAAAATGGACAAACATGTTCAGGAATGGAGCTACTAAAGACAGAGACAGACAAGTAGATCAGTTATGGGGGAAGATGAGGCTCTGCCAGAAATGGAACGCAGCAAAAGACAGAGAGGATGGGCATAGAAAGGAGAAACTAAGGGAGCCAAAACTTTGCACTGAGCAGAGAGACACAGGAAACACAGAGCCTTAAAACAAAAACAATTAAAACAAGGATACGGAATCTGTGGCACTCCAGAAGTTGTTGGACCCAACTCCCATCATCCCAAACCACTGGCCATACTGACTGGGGCTGATAAGAGTTAGAATTGAACAAGATCTGGAGGGGCACTGGTTCCCGATGTTCAAATGGGGAACCACAGTGTGTAAGCAAAGAGGCTTAGAGAGAGCAGCAATGCTGCTATTGGAGTTCCTGATTGGAGAAGCAGTCAGCCTTCCAGGTACATCTGGCAGTTACTCTCATCACCAGCATTCATTTCCATTACCTTCTTGACTTTGGCTTGCTCGGTTTTGGAGTCCTTTTCTGCCTTCTTGGCAAGCTTCTCCAGCTGCTTGGCTGTAAACTAGAGAGAATGAGATGCTCAGTAGGTAGGTAGGCAGGCAGGCAGAAAAACATCTCCAGAGGAGGAGATATCCCCAGGGAAGAACTTGCCATTTGTACATTTCTAGTCACCATATCTCAAAAAGTATGTGCAAGACCTCAAAAGATGAAGAAAAGACAAGCCATATGTGGCTAAAGTAACTCCCCTATGATGAAAGGTTATAATATTTGGGGTGTTCTAGTTTACAAAAAAAACCAGTAAAGGGCTGTGGGGGAAATATGGCAAAGGCTTGTAAAATTATGTATGTAAGAGGTGGGAAAAGAAGATCATGTTTTTCTTCTGTTCCTCTCATAATACTAGACCCAGGGTCAGCCAAAGAATCTGAAATGTGCACTTCCGGGGGGCGGCGCGAACGGCAATGGCGGTCTTCTCCCGACGGGAGAGGAGGCTCCGCTGAAAATCGGGTCGTCCGCTACGGCGAAGCGGAGACCCAACGAGGAAAACCCCAGGCAGCAAGAGCCTGGGGTCCTGAGGCTCGGCGGGCGCCACGAGCAGCCCTCTAACTGCAGAAGGAGCCTCGTAAGGGGCTCCGGAGCGTGGAGGGGGGTTGCGGCGCTGAGAGCCGTTTCACAGTCAGCGGAGTGAAGCCGCGCTGCTGCTGCCGGTGAGCGCTGATCCTTTTTCCTGTCAAAATTCGGACTTGGAAGAAAAACAACTTACTCGTGAGTAAAGACTGAATCACTTGGAATTACAAATTTTAAATGAGAAGGTTTAATTCGGCTTGAACTTGGCTGAAAGCGGAGAGACGTGGAAACAGGAAGTCCGTCTTCCGCAGCCATTGAACTTGAAAAAAAAAGCAACCTAAGGCGGAGGAGTGGAGGCTGAAAGAAAGAGATTTTAAATTCTGCACAGCCAAGCATCTATGGAACTTACAATTTAAAGTAAAACCAGTAAGCTAAAGATTTGAACTTTTTATTTGTATTTGACTTTCCCCCTTTTATTGGATTACAAATTGGAAGGTGAAACCCAGAGTCAGGACTGCTTGAGCACTGTAAGAGTGAGCTGTCAGTGTTGAGTTGGATACTGTATATTAGAACTTGCAACAATCTGAGGGTATTGAGACCTTTTAAATTTGAAACATTCTTTCTGGAGACAAATAAGCACTGTCTGCAACAAAGTGATTACTTTTAAACTCTGCTTAATACTTATATTGGAAGGTTCTGGGACATTAAATTAGACTCTGAAAGACATCTTAAGCTCCCTCTAGAGGATTGGATTAAAACAGTGACTTTACAAATACATTTACTTTCGATTCCCTTGTTGTTTGCTTGCTCTGGGCCTTTCTATTCCTGTGGGAAAAACTCAGTGTGACCTTGACTGATAGATAACATTGGAATGAGTGGTACAAGAAGAAGAGGAAGAGTTAGACAAACAACCTTAACAACTCTAACCTCAGCCTCGCAGACACGTAGATCATCTGTGCCTACTTTGCCCTCAGAAGTACAACTGGAAGAAGCTGCTTTGCCACAGGCAAAAGAGGGAGAGGGTGAAGCAGAGCAGTTACAATTGGAAGATATGGCCTCAGGAGCATCTGTTTCTGTTCTAGAAAAAATCTTTGAAAAATTGGAAGCTTTGGACAAGAAAGTAGATGCGCAATCAGCAAAGATTGATAAAAATACAGATTGTCTAAACAAATTAACTACACAGGTGGGACAGAATACACAAGCAATTGGACAGTTAACGGAGGCCTCAGTAGAAAATCGAAAATTGGCTGAGGATACCAGACAAAAATTGGAAAATTTAGAGCAAGAGGTAAGACCACTCACTAAACAAGTTGGGGAACATCAGACTTATCTTTCTATGATAGAACTGCGAAATCGTGAGAATAATTTGAGGATTAGATCATTACAAGAGGCAGAAGAAGGAAATCTAACTGAGTTTTTGACCAAAGAACTTTCCAAGTTCTGGAATTTGGAAGAAAAGGACTTTAAAATTGTGTCAGCTTTCAGACTTGGAAGATTTATAAAGAAGGAGAGGCCCAGGGATTGTTTGATTACATTGAGATCGAAGGAGGAAAGGGATAAGATTTTGGGTCTACATTACGAAAAGTCACTGGAGGTTTTGGATAGAAGAATTGAGATATATAAAGATATTCCAAGACAACTGTTGGATCTCAGAGCCGCCTACTCTGAACTTGCTAAATTATTAAGGAGCAACGCAATTCCATTCAGGTGGGAATTTCCCCAAGGATTATCTTTTACCTTTAGAGCGAGAAAGGTCAAAATTAGAACATTGGAAGAGAGAGATAAATTTTTGGCTACATACGGAGAGGACCTACAAAAAGGAATTGAACTACCTTCTGGGCCTGGGGCAAAGCCAGCATTAATACCTGCACCTGGGGAACTTGAAGATTCAGAGAAGACACCACCCCGGGAGAAATAACCAGATAGATCCAGGATGTCTCTGCAACTGTTGAGCTGGAATATTAATGGTTGTAACATTCCGGAGAAAAGGAAGAAAATATTTCATATATTAAAAAAAGAACAATTGGACATTATCTGTTTACAAGAAACACATGTGACGAGGCTCCACAGAAAAGTGCTAATAAATAAAAGATTGGGCCAGGAATTCATTTCGTCGGACAAAGTGAAGAAGAGAGGAGTGGTGATATATGCAAAAGAGAGCCTGTCACCTAAATTTCTATTTAAAGATGAACATGGAAGGATTCTGGCTATTGAGATACAATATCAAGGAGAGAAACTGCTGATATTAGGAATCTATGCACCCAATGAAGGGAAATCGGAATTTTACAAGAAGTTGCAGGGGACAATGCTGGATCATCTGGATTACAACAACATCATAATGATGGGAGATATGAACGGGGTCGTATCAACTAACATGGACAAGTCGCAAAGTCAAAATGTCACAAAAGATGGCAGACTACCTAAAACCTTTTTTTGAAATGACTGACAATATGGACTTGATTGACATTTGGAGAACAAAGAACCCACTAGGTAGAGAAGGAACATTCTTTTCTGAAGCCCAACTGACCTGGACAAGAATCGACCAAATATGGATTTCTAGGGGCCTGGCACCTAGGGTTAGAAAAGTGGAAATCTGCCCAAAGACCTGCTCTGACCACAACGCAGTAAAGATGGATATGACACTACTACCAACTGGATCCTTTAGATGGAAGATGAATGACAATTTGTTTAGAGATCAGGAAACTACCAAGAAGGCCCAAAAAGTTTTGAAAGACTATTTCGAGATAAACATGAATAATTCGGTGGAAAAAGAATCGTCTGGGACGCAAGCAAAGCTGTCATGAGGGGATTCTTGATACAACAGAATGTAGTAAGGAAAAAAACACAAAATGAGAAAAAAGACAAGATCTTGGATAAAATAAAAGAATTAGAGAAGAAATTAAGAGTAAATCCAAAGTCACAGCCAACTCTGAGAGAAATTAAACTGTATCAAACACAATATTCTAAATTGATAAATCAGGAAATTGAATGGAAGATTAAATTAATGAAACAAAAAACGTTTGAGTCGGCGAATAAATGTGGAAAACTGCTATCTTGGCAGTTGAAGAGAAGACAAAGATTAAATACGGTTACAAATTTAGAGGTCGATGGAAGAAACATTCAGAATCCAGTGGACATTAGAAAGTGTTTCCAGAGATATTTTAAAAACTATATACCCAAGGGCCGCAAGACGAAGTCGAGATTAAACAATTTTTGGCAAAAATGGATTATCTAAACTGTCACAAGAAAATAGGACAACCCTGAACTCTAAAATAACACGACAGGAGATTGAACAAGCTATTCAGAACATGCAACTTGGCAAATCTCCAGGGCCAGACGGGCTGACCTCCAAGTATTATAAGACACTAAAAGACTATTTGATACAACCCTTGATGGAGGTTAGCAATGAAATTATGGAGGGGAAGAGGGCACCGGATTCGTGGAAGGAAGCCTTTATCACATTGATACCAAAGTCAGAAGCTGAAAAGACACAACTGAAGAACTACCGTCCCATCTCCCTTTTAAATGTGGATTACAAAATATTTGCAGATATTTTGGCAAGTAGATTTAAAAAAAGTTTTAAATGAAGTAATTCATAAGGACCAGGCCGGTTTTCTCCCAGGTAGACATCTGTTTGCTAACACAAGGAACATTATTGACATCTTGGAACTTCTCCAAACTGACATAAATACAAAAGCAGTTTTAATTTTTATAGATGCGGAGAAGGCCTTTGATAATATTTCTTGGAAATTTATGATGGGAAATTTAAAAGAGATGGGAGTGGGACGGGGTTTTGAGAATGGGATTGAGGCGATATATTCAGAACAGAAAGCTAAACTGATAGTTAATAATGTGGTTACAGAAGAGTTCAAAATTGAAAAAGGGACACGACAAGGTTGCCCTATCTCCCCTTTGTTATTTATTTCGGTTCTGGAAGTGCTATTGAACATGATTAGAGGGGACCAGTTGGTGGAAGGAATTCAGGTTGGTCAGAAACAATATAAACTAAAAGCTTTTGCAGATGACCTGGTTTTGACCTTGCAGAAGCCAGAGCCTAGTACGAAAAGAGTATTACAATTGATTAATGACTTTGGTCGGGTGGCGGGATTTAAATTAAATAAACAGAAAACCAAGGTTTTGGGAAAAAATTTGACTGAGACAGAGTCAGAACGGTTTCAGAATGAGACGGAACTTAATGTGGTTAAAAAGTAAAATACCTAGGGGTAAACATAACAGCAAAAAATCTAAGTCTATTTAAGGATAACTATGAAAAATGTTGGACAGAAATTAAGAGAGACTTAGACAGTTGGTCAAAATTGAAACTTTCTTTGTTAGGCCGAATTGCTGCGATTAAGATGAATGTATTGCCAAGAATGTTGTTTTTATTTCAAACACTTCAGGTTTTGGACAAAATGGAGTGCTTTCAGAAGTGGCAGAGAGACATTTCGAAGTTTGTCTGGCAGGGCAAAAGCCCAGAATTAAGTTTAAGATACTAACTGATGCAAAACAAAGAGGGGCTTTGCCCTGCCGGACTTAAAGTTGTATTACGAAGCCGCAGCGTTCTGCTGGCTAAAAGATTGGCTACTTCTTGAAGACACTGATGTGTTAGATTTGGAAGGGTTTAACAATGTTTTTGGATGGCATGCATATTTATGGTATGACAAAGTTAAAGCAAATAAGGCCTTTAAGAACCATATTGTTAGAAAATCACTGTTTAATGTCTGGACAAAATATAAAGACTTGCTGGAAAATAAAACACCAAGGTGGCTTTCACCTTTGGAAGCCAAGGCCCGGAAAAGACCCAATATGGAGGCCAAATGGCCAAAATATTGGGAAATACTAGAAAAAGATGGAGACAATTGGAAATTGCAGAGTTTGGAGAAAATGAAAGACAAAGTGCGAGATTGGTTACATTATGCTCAGATTAAGGAAGTTTTTAAAAATGATAAGAAACTAGGGTTCCAGGTGGAGAAATCGAAATTAGAAACAGAATTGTTAGAACCAAAGACTAAGATACTTTCAAGGATGTATAACTTGCTGTTGGAATGGAATACACAAGATGAAATGGTTAAATCGGCTATGATAAGGTGGGCACAGGATATTGGGTATAATATTATGTTTGAGGACTGGGAAAGGCTGTGGAGTAACGGACTGAAATTCACTGCATGCAATGCTTTGAAAGAAAATGTAATGAAAATGATTTATAGATGGTATATGACCCCAGTCAAACTCGCAAAAATTTACCACCTGTCTGATAACAAGTGCTGGAAATGTAAAGAGTGTGAAGGAACGTTCTTTCACCTCTGGTGGACCTGCCCTAAAGTGAAGGCGTTCTGGGAAATGATTTATAATGAACTGAAAAAGGTATTTAAATATACCTTCACTAAGAAACCAGAGGCTTTCCTTTTGGGTATTGTCAGCCAAGGGGTGGCAAAGAAGGACCAAACATTTTTTATGTATGCAACAACAGCAGCAAGGATACTACTCGCAAAACATTGGAAAACTCAAGATCTACCCACACTGGAAGAATGGCAGATGCAACTGATAGACTATATGCAACTGGCTGAAATGACTGGCAGAATCCGTGACCTGGGAGAAGAGAGAATCGAGGAGGATTGGAAGAAATTTAAGAACTACCTGCAAAAACATTGTGATTTGATTGAATGCTGAATAAGATGCTTGTCTAAATAACTGAGCACCACTTAACTTAGAAGTTTTTAAGAAAATAAGAAAAATTGTGAAAGTTTAACTCTTTATGAGAACTATAAGATCATGAAATATCGAAGAGATATAAGAATTTAAATAAGATGATAAATTGCTGACAAAATGTTATAATGATGAAGGTGGGAGCGGGAGATGTGAGGAAGTCCAAAGAAAATGTGAAATTATGTTAAGACGAATGTTATATTGTTTATTACATTTATTTCTATTGTAAAACCCAATAAATTGCTTTAAAAAAAAAAAAAAAAAAAAGAATCTGAAATGTGGAAAATTTAAAGCAGATGAAAGGGGGGGGGGATATTCACACATCACACAGTTCATCTATAGAACTGGCTACCACAAGAGATTGTACTGGCCACCAACTTGGATGACTTTAAAAGATGATTTGACAAATTCATGGAGAAACGGATAACAATGGCTACTAGTCATGAGGGTTATATCACTTCCAGTGAATAACTATTACTGTGGATCATGAAGATGAGAGTGTCATTGTGTTCGTGTCCTACTTGGGGGCTTCTCAGAGTCATCTGGCTGGCTGCTGTGTGACAGGCATCTGGCCTGGTCCAGGAGGGCTCTTGTACAGAAACAAGAGGTAGAAATGGCCATTGTCTCCCTACTTTAGACCAATACATCCTGAGTAATTTTTAAGTTGTGTGCATATTCAGAGTCCACAAATCTGAGGCCCACAAAGAAGCAATACCAAGGGGTTGGCATACTGTAGGGTATCAATAAATTTTACAGGACAGAATAGAAGCCACCTGCATTGAATGCACAATTGAGAGCTGTGGGAAAAGCTAGTCTGAGTCAGTGAAACTTCCACTACCTAAAGTGGTCCCCAGGAGCTGCCCATCCCAGAGTCTCATACACAACTACAAACTAGTAACCTACCAGTCCAGAAAGGAGATGCTTTCTCTGTCCAAGAAAGACAATACTTCCTGACAGAAACCTAGGTGCCACCTACATAAGTTCACCATGAAAAAAGTGCATTTTTAAAATGGTGATTTTTTAAAAGCAAATTGCACATACAGCTGCCTTGAGGACTGTTAGCCTCCTTGCAGACCATCCATTTGAAAGGCAAGGTATTAATCTTCAAAATAAATAAATTCTCTCTTAATAATTCAGCATCTTCACTGTGTACAGTATATTTTTAAAAAAGAAATTTACATCCCTTTCTATACTTTGCTGCAGAATAGTTAATAGTTAAGCCCTAGCTGGCAACAAGAAACAGCATTTCATAGTGTCCAGCACTCACCTTTAACTGGAAGAGTGTATCTGTGAAGAGAAAGATGACAATAGTTGGGTTTCAGAATAAAGGTCTCAGAATGAAGGGTACTGACTGAAATTTCCACCAACCCAAACATTCCTTCTAGCCCAAAGAGGTCCAAACTGGGTACATTAAACACACCCTTTCCATAGAGCAACAAATATCCTTTGTGCTAAGCACTTTGTCTCTAGCAACTTTACATAAGGAATATGAAATACATTCATCTCTATACAATGAACTAGCTCCTACATTTTTTACATTTGCTGCTAAAAATCATTATGTTTTTCCAGTCCCACAGTTCCACAGGAGGAATCGTTGCACCTTGGAGCCCAACTTCTTGACCTGTCATGCATTTATAGCCTATATACTAATCATGTGACAATATATTAGTAAGCCAGTCTTTCAAAGTGCCACAGCACTTTCTCTCTCCAGAATTCAACACTCAACTTTAACCATGGCAATCATTTTCCTTTGTACTCTGGCCTCTCAAGCTGCCTGGAGGATAACTGCTAGCTGGAGACTCCTGTTCTAACTCTGTGGTGAGAGGAAATTGATCAAACACTATGCTACCCAGGTAACTGGCTCATACACTGTGTCACCTGTCTGGCATCCAGGAACAGGAAGTGGCATACAAGAAATGAGGAAAATACATTACTGCTTGTTAAAGGATCCCCTTTTGAAGACTCTAAACACACAGTCTTATATGGCTCGCAAAAATGATTCTCTTGAAAGGACTGCCAGCCAGATGAGTGGCTAGAACAACCCAGTCAGATGGACAGGGTACATATAATAAAAATATTGTTAAAATTATTATTATGAAAAGATCAGTTTCTGGCCAATGCAAACATGCCTCTCACGGGCATACATTTCTGTCCACAGGGCTCCATCCCTTGGGGCATATCATAATACCAATAGATATTTTCTAGTATGGGTTAGAAAATCACTGACTGACCCCCTGCCCTTAGGCAGGAACCTCTGTGCCACATATTTCAAACAAAACGCACAATCCAGATTACCTAGCCATTTGTGAGTGAAGTGCCGGAGTAATGAAAGTGGGCTATATCAAAGATCAAAGCCAAGCATCTGACTCTGTCTCCCACAAAATCCCAAGGCATATCCAAGACACTATTTAGTCCAACCCTGTGACATACGACAGGGTGGTCAGACTCGGCAACCTATGCAATCCATGAATTGTACTAAGTTGTACTAAATGACTAAAATTAAGTTAGCCTAAACACACTCTGCAGGCAAAACAAACACCCCAGACATTTAATCAGAACAATTTGATGGGGAAGGGGAAGCATTCCTTCAAAATACCAAACACAGCAGATAGATTTTTGCCTGCATGTCAAGCAGCCACTTGCCTTTAGTTGAAGGAAGAAGAAAAAGAACCTCCCCTCCTCCTCCCATGTGTGCTTCTTGATTGCCTTGTCTTAGGGGGGCAATAAGGTTGTCAACTTCCTTTTCTAGGAAGGCACTTGTGCCAGAAACTGAACAGGTGAACCTTTGCCTGACAAATGTGTGTGAGGCAGGAGCCTGGGGGCGGAGGGGAGAGAAAAAGTCAACAACTCTAACAGGCAGGCAGGAAGGCAGCCTGGAGAGATATCCCCACCCCAGATCCCTTCTAAACAACTCGAGAGAATTTACCTCCAGCTCACATGCACAAGGGGTGCACACACACACACACACACACTTTATGGGAGTCAAGGCCGGGGGCTGGGTGGGCGAATGCTAAAATCATGTCTCGATGGCTTCATTGTTACACACTTCCCCACCCCCAGGAACCCCACCCCTCTTTCACCTTCCCAGTTATCCCCACCCCACTGTAGGCAAGGCTCCAGTCCCCACACCCTGCATCAGGGTTGAATGTGAAATCGCTCCATCCCCCACCCACCCGAGGAAGAAGGGGAAAGAGCTGCCTTACCGTCCATTCTGAATTGAGTCCTCTGTCTACTCCCCTGACCAAAACTTCCGGGCTCCCTCCTCGCCCACTTCCGGGTTCTCTCCCCAGCCTCTTCCGCGTCGCCTCGAACGCGATCTCAGCCACGCCTCGCGAGACGACGGTCTATCACGACCGCCATCATCTTTCTCACCGCGCCGCAGTCTCGCTCACCGGGTCCGTGCTGGCGCATGCGTAGACTTTAAAAAAGTCACTCGTGGGCACGCCCAGCAAGACAAGGCTCGTAGGTGGCGGTTCCTATGGCAACGAGGGAGAAAGAAAACGAAGATGATGAGATGCGGGGGAAAGCGCTTTTGCACAGTTTGGGAGTAATTTAAGCACGAAGCAGATATAAATCTTATTTGCATATCGATATGATTGTTTTTTACATATTGCTGTTGTTATTGTTGCGTATTATTTGACGGTGGTGATGATTCCCATCATCATCAAGTATTTAGGGCTGTATATAGAAGAATTAGGATAAAAATAGCGTATTTAGGGCTGGACAAAAAATAGACTGGTTCCTACTCCAGAATGGCTTTCAAACTAACAAATATTTGACACATACAAAAGGAAGAGACAATGAAGAGGAGAAGAAAGGAAGCGAATTCAGTGTTCAGGCACCATTGCTTTCCAAATAAATACACATTGGCCATGGATAGAGCCAGTTCATAGCACAGCACCATGCACATTGTGCTTGGTCTGCCACTTGAGAATGTTTCTGCTGGTTGTATGACACTAACTGCAGCATAACTTTGGAGCATAAGTGAGCGGCAGCAAAATTATCCCCATTCTACTGACTGGTGAAGATGAAGTTGTGTTGTGTTGACTTAGAGCACTGGTCTTCAACAGATGAGGTTGGGTGGGATCCTCTACTGTGTGACAGCTTGACTCAAACTGCAGGGCTGTCTACCACCATGCAAATTTACAACAACTACTACTAATATTAGAAATTAAAGACCACCTTTCTTTTCAAGAAGAATATAGCCAACTTTCACTTGAAGGAAGGATATTGATAAACTGGTACATTTCCAGAGAAGGAAGTAAAGATGGTGAGGTGTCTGGAGAACCAGTCTGATGAGAAAAGGTTGAGTTGGTTATCTTTAACTTGGAGAAGAGACAATTAAGAGGCAATATTCAGAGGCCATCTTCAAATTTTTGAAGGGCTAGCACAGGGGACAGCAAACTTTTTCAGAAGGGGCCAGTCCACTGTCCCTCAGACCTTGTGGGGGGGCCAGACTATTTTTTTGGGGGGATGAACGAATGACTATGCCCCACAAATAACCCAGAGATGCATTTTAAATAAAAGGACACATTCTACTCCTGTAAACATGCTGATTCCCAGACCGTCCGTGGGCTGGATTGAGAAGGCGATTGGGCCTTAGTTTGCCTACCCATGGGCTAGCCCATAGATGGAGCATTTTTGTTTTCCATCGTTGTTGTTTAGTCGTTTAGTCGTGTCCGACTCTTCGTGACCCCATGGACCAGAGCACGCCAGGCACCCCTGTCTTCCACTGCCTCCCGCAGCTTGGTCAGACTCATGTTTTCCACCACTCTAGCTAAATATTAGAAAAAGCTTCTTGGCAGAATGACCTGTTTAATGGTACAAACAGTTTTGGAGGGTTCTTCAGGGTCACCCACAATGGGAAAATAGGGGAGCCCCCTTACTCTGTCCCAATAGCACTTACCTGTCATCACCAAGAGTCTTGCAACATCCAAACCATCCTAGTGCAAATTCCAAATAGGTCAGAGCACTTTAGAAAAGTTAGAGCCAGTGTAGTGCAGTGAAGGGGATTTAGGTTTTGCCTATGGAAGATGCCTCCCAACCATGATGAGAGTGGCTCAAGATCTATTACTCTTCACTCTTAACTTCTCTCTCCTGAGATGGTTTTGTCTGAGGATGTAAGGGGAAAAATCATTTGAATATGGTGAGAAGGATATAATATAAAATGGTGGTGGGAGAAAACATGCCAAACATTAATTAGCCCAAAAGAAAAAGAGGGCAGAAAATAAGAGGGAAACCTGTACTTTCTTACAGCACCCATACATTGCCGCGGGTAAAGGGTCCTGAGGAGGATATCACAGGAGTCGTTTCCTGAGCTGAATCAGCCCCCTCCTGCTGTGCATCTGGTGTGCTGCTTCTTTGATGATGATGGCGCTGGTTGGTGCTGAGTCACAAAAGGACCCAGACAATGCAATCAAGGATGGAGTAGTGCCAATGTCGGGGGAGCAAGGACTGTAGGCTCATCTATGGGGGGGTCTCACAGCAAACATGAAGATGTGGGAGGAGGTAAAATGTTCTTGTTCCTCTTTACAGAATGATGTCCAAGAAGGGTTCAGGTTAGTGCCAGGTAACAGTTGGCATGAGCAGAATGAGGTCAAACCAGCCTAGTGGCTTTGGCTTGTAAATGAAGTGGGGTGGGGGAGGAGAGTTGCTACTCCTTTTGTTTTGAGAGCATGCCATTGTGGGTGAGAGATTGAGGCAGCCTGGACACTACACAGGCAGCAGGATGTGGTGGTAGGAACCTGAGGTGGTAGAATGAATGGTACCACTTCAGGCTGCAAGTAGGAGATAACATTTTTGAAAGCCCCTCTGCAAGTAAGAACACAACCACATCAAGGAGAAAGGTTCTATCCCAATCTCCTTCCTGATCTGCCAATTTTTTATATGCAGGGACAGATTTTTTTTAATGTCAGGGACCATTCAGAAATGTGATTCCCCCACCTGCAGCAAAAAGTAGCACATTCCCTTCTATTACCCCATTACCACTTCATTCTGCTGCACATGTACATCCATCTTCAGGCTTCAGTCCTGGAAGCAAGTACTGCAGAAACTGGTGGAATTTCTTCTCAGAAAATATGCCGAGAATCAGGCACTTAGTTCAAAAGAACAGTCAGTCAGATAATGCCTGCCTCTTCCCTAACCTCCTTTCTCTGTCCCTAATCCCATCCACTAACTAGGTAGGATAAAAAGTCCAACATCCCACAAGTTCTCATTTTTATTTTTTTATTTCTAACACACCCTACATTTACAGCACAAGCTTTCCTCCAAAGAATCCTGGGAACTGTAGTTTGTAAAGGTTGCTATGAGTTATTGCTCTGTGAGGGAAACACTACAGTTCCCAGGATTTGTTGGGGGAGGCTGCTTTAAATGTATGGTGTGGACGTGACCTAAGCATTTACATTCTGTTCTTCATTGGATATTTCAGTATCAGAGTGTGAGACAATTAAATAACTAATAATTCAAAACTACAGAAAAAAGATATCAATATACATAAATTACAGAATCCATAAAAACAAGGCCAATAAATAGGAAACAAATTAACAGCACTATCATAAAACAAACAAAGCTAAAGTTCAATGAGGACAATTAGAATGTCATGTTCGTAGAACCAGATCAGCCGGTCTTGCTTGATATGTTTGTTTTCTGAGTGGGAAACTAATTAGCATGGCTTCTGTGAAATTCTAGTAATTCCTATATTTGCATATATATGCATGAATCAGGACATGCAGATTTGTGTCCTAGTGCCTATGCCCCTGTTCTTTTTAAGTACTGTATCTATGTAGCATGCCTCTGTAACTGTTTAGCACCACAGTTATTTGGGGGAGGTTTTAGCCTGGAAGCACCCATGTTATTGATCCTTAACCTCTTCTGGATCTCTCTCTGTCTTCTTCATCAATTGGGTAAGCACTCTATAATATCTGTAGCACAAAGAACCCTCTTGAAACACTGTAGGGGGTGGGGCATAAGTGTACAACTTACTTTGATTTCAGAGCAGATCTGCTGGAAATGAATGACAATTAGATTTAAAATAGATCTGTGGGGGAAGAGAAGTCAATCAATGGCTATTAGTCACAACAGCTAAATGGAGTGTCCACATTCAGAGAGAGTCTTCCTAGGGGGAAGCAACAAGGGAGGAAGGCTGTTCCCTTCATGGCTTGCTTTTGGGTTCCTTAGTATCTAAGCCAGTGCCTGGCAGTGCAGTTGTTAGAGCAGGGAACCTGTGACCCTTTAGATGCTGCTGGACTACAACTCCCATCATCACTGATGGCCCTCAGTCTGATCTTGTAAGGTGTTCATGTTCTGATTGGCTGCTGGTCTTTGGCAAAGAGCTAGCAAATGGCAAGATAAAAGATTGCTTGTTCTATTTAGGTGGGTTTTTTAAAAATTTCGTAGGAACGTGCTTTATCCCAAGTCAGACCATTGGTCCGCATATCTCAGCATTGTCTATAACTGTCAAAAACAATCCAAGATTTCAGGCAGGGGACATTTCCCTAGCGATGCCGGGAACCAAACCTGGGACCTTCTGCATGCAAAGCATAGGTTCTACCATTGAGCTACACCTGTCTCCTTTTCCATTCTTAATATTTGTATTTTTCCTTAGCTCATGTTCATAAAAATATAGATGGTAGCAAGGTCAAAGAACCCAAGCCCAGCTTCCAAGAACAGAGCCAGCATACGTATGGAAACATTCAACCTTCAACATCGGGTAAACCAACAAAGAAGCCTGTGCCACATCCTATGCAAGTAGAAGGTGAGGAAGGGAGAACAGTGGGTCATAGTGACAGCAATGGCATATCTCATTCTCATGTTCTCAGTAGTCCTTTGTAGATACAGTGGTACCTCGGGTTAAGTACTTAATTCATTCCAGAGGTCCGTTCTTAAACTGTTCTTAACTTGAAGCACCACTTTAGTTAATGGGGCCTCCTGCTGCTGCCGTGCCGCTGGAGCCCAATTTCTATTCTTATCATGAAGCAAAGTTCTTAACCTGAAGCACTATTTCTGGGTTAGCGGAGTGTGTAACTTGAAGCATATGTAACCTGAAGCGTATGTAACCCGAGGTACCACTGTATACACGTACTTAGTGAAACCATGCATCTAGCAACATAGGCTATAAGGGTATTTTTTCTAACCCACCTTATCTCGAGGGTTTGGAGTCTGCAACAGTATTTAAAAAGCCAAACAAAAAAAACCCAAAACCATGAGAAATGGTTACTGTTTCTTTAAAAGATTTATACCCTGCTTTTTACTGAAAGATTTTCAAGGCGGTTTGCAGTAGAGTGCAGTAATACCCAGCCCTCCCCCCCATCAACCCAGCAGCACTTTGTCCGTTGGACAGAGTGCTACCTACTTAATTCCAAGGGCAAATGCAGTTGGAGCCTCCTGGGAAGGAGGGAGGGGTGAAGCACAAAGATACTCTGCAGCTGCTCCTTCTCTGGCCCAATCTTCATCTTACTGGGGCAATCTTCCTGGGAGGGCAGAGGTGTAGCCTGCCACTTCCCCTTTGTTCCCTGGCTGATGGCAGAGACAAAAGCATATTTCCCTTCAGCTCTGCAGTCCTGGTGCAATGATTATTCTCCATCACTAGGGCATCACCTCACTTCCAGTTATATGGATTGTCATTGTCACTCTTCAGCTGGAACTGAAGCAAACTAAATTGCCTGAGGCCTTGGTAGCAGTGGTGCAGTGGTACATTTTGAAGAACTAGAGCTCATCATGCAGCCCCCTGTATCCAAGGAAGGGCCAAGAAGTTTTACTGTTTAAACTGCTAGCATGAAGTCAGAACACCATCAAAGAAAGTGTTTCCAGTCTCTTGATTATATTCCTCATTCTCTGACTTCCTCATTGACCTACATTGAAAGTGATCCAGGTGAGTAAGCCAGGTGAGAGTGGGATCACTCCAAGTTAACCTGCTCCTGCCTTGGAGGGAACAAACATAGCAGCTCTTGAGTGTCCACAACTAGCCTTCTCACACTTAGGATCCAAGAGGAGGTTTCATGTCAGAAGCAGAGTCTTCTTGCAGATTTCGGCCTTGGCAGCTCTTTTTGAAAATGAAATACTAAATTCCATTTTAGACTATTACTGCATCCCTTTGATATTAGGAAGGTCCATTCCCCAGCCCAGTATGCAGCACTTTTATATTTCCTTCTTTCCTTGCAGTATCTACTGATAAACTTGCCAAGAAGAAAAGGCTTATTCCTAAGATCATTGTGACTGGGCCCTCGGAGGAAGTGCTGTTGAACAGTTATACTGATGAAATCCCCGAAACAAAAACCATCCGGGACACTGAAGACTTTGGCGCATATAGTGTGCACACGAAGCCCAGCACTGTAGACGCTTATAGAACCAGCAGAGATCAGTGAGTGCACAGTGGAGAGTCAACAGCACTCAGTGTGATGGATACCATCTAGGGAAGCTAGCAGCCCAGTCCTGGATCCCCCTCTCAATAAATGGGAATCCCACCACAATGAATCCTTTCATGGTTTCACTTTCCCCACCTCCCACATTTGGAGGTGGAGGAAGAGGAGGAGGAGGAGGAGGAGGAAGGGCAAAGCTTAGCCAAATATAAATGAGGTTGATGATGGATGTTCATTTCCAAATAAATATGTTTGGTAAATGTTTTAAGATTCCCAGTCAATAATGGACCAGTATCTGCATGAGTGATTAGTATTGTTGGAGCAGGGGGAACATCTCAGCCATACCTGCACTCCTAGAAAGGAAGGTCCAGCAAAATATGTTGCGAAGGGTTTGGGAGATCCATTGGATTACACCTGGAAGAGGGTGTGGTGCGGTTATAAGGTGCAATCCATCCTGAGCATATTCTGTGGAAGTTGCTGAAGCCTTTGTTAAATCCCTCACATCTTCCTCCAACTAGCCTAACTACTTGTAACTGCTATAATCACATAGGCTCCACATGTACTATACATTAAAAACAGTATCATATCACTTTAAACTGTCATGGCTTCCTCCAAATAATCCTGAAAACTGTAGTTTGTTAAGGGTGCTGAGAATCATTAGGAGATCCCTATTTCCCTCCCAAAGCTACAATAGTTCTCTGGACAGAGGGATTGGCTGTTGGGTTTCCCCACAAGCAGGTGGGTGGCCACTGTCTGTGGGAACAGGATGCTGGACTAGGGGGGCTATTGGCCTGATCCAGAAGGCTCTTAAATTCTTATGTTAAACTACTATGAAAATTGTATCTGTGATAGAACCTCCACACTGCACACTGACCACCGTATATGAAATCCTATCATCACACCCACAACTCATCAGATAAGGTGTGAGCAGCATCACCCTGCTCTTATGTGAAGGTGAAGCACAGAAGGGAGAGCTTTGATGAAGGGGCATTTGGCACAAAAAGGGAACACATTCTGAAGTGATTTATAGCTCAGAGAGCTTCCATGGCAGCAGGCCTTCAAACGCATTCCAAAGCTCTGAGCAAAACAGCAGAATCCAGCAGCGGTCAGAAAAATAAGCCCCTGTCTCCTGTGCGTCGGTGTGCATAAATCAGAGTCTCATGCAGAGTTACTAAAAGCTAAAAGCACTTTAATACAGCAGAATTATCCACAGTCACGGAACATCGTGCAAGCATGTCTGTCCCGGACAAGAACCAAAAGCAGAATAGAGCAAAGGACTGAGACCCTCGGAAGTGACGCAGTCTCTCCTCCCCACAGTAGGCAGGACGCACACTCTGAGCTGTGTAACCCTGTAAGCTCAGGTTCTCCTCACACACATCTTATTATGCCTGGAAGACACAATGATGCAAAAGGAACCTCCACTTCTCTAACTGCAGATGCAAGAGTAAGGCACCCTACGTGTAGGGAGGAACTATTCATTTATTAATTTTATCACTTTTATGTACAATCTTTCGGCAAAGACAGTTTGCAATTTAAAATATTAGAATAAATGCTACAAAATATATTCAGGCCAACATCATACAGAGTAAGCATGCACTGTGGGTGTGGCTATGAAACCCAACATGCAGAAAAGTGCCTATTGTACCAGTGAAAGCAACACTGGGGAGTACACTTTGTGAATGGCAACTACTCCGCTTCAGCCATTGCTATTTCTGGTGAAATGCTTCCTGGCCCCTCTTGCCCTGCCAGGATCACAGGCTTGGTCAAATGGAGCAGAGAGTAGCCACTTAAGTTGGCAACACATAATGTTCCACTGCAACTCCTTGCATGGCCTAGATGACAATCGCCACAGTGACTGTAGTCTCGATCCTGATAGGTGCATCTTTCTGACAGGTGCATCTCTCCTTGTAGACATTGGATGGTTGGAGGAGAATGAAAGCCCAGGTGGGCTAAAGCATCACATTCTTCCGAACGCCCTCTACCAATGGCAAAGCATCTAAACTCAGCCTCTATATTTTGCTGTATATTACCTTATGTACAGCTTTAGTATTAAAATTTTGGGGTGCTTTTTAGAAGGCTAATAATAATAATAATAATAATAATAATAATAATTGTAATTTTGGAACTTGTTATTTATGTTCTGTAAGCCACTTAGAACGCTATGCAGAAAAAATGATTTCTTTTTTTAGATAGATTTTTTTCTATCCATAGATTTTTTTTCTGCATAAAAATGATCGCCCATTTTTAGTACCCCAGTTTCTCCCGCTCAGGGCAAAGGGCTCGCGTAGCAACCATTGCTAGGGGCTCTGTGCGGAAGTTCATACTGTAACTGTACGGAAGTGGTTTTGAGCATGCGCAGTGGCTGTGGGGAAAGTAGAAGTGCGCTCTGCTTCGGCCATGACGGAGGCGGGTTCGGCTGAGCCGGAGTCAGAGAGTTTGCGGCTGAAGCGGCTCCGAGGCGGCGGCGGCGGCGGCGGCGGCGGCGGCGGCGGCGGCTTCTTCACGGTACCTCAAGGACACAGGGTAAGTGGAACTACAACTCCCAGGAGACTTTGCGGTGGAACAGTTGCTCCGCCCCTCTTGCAAGGCGGACGGGGCTGGGGGTGTGCAGGGTTTTTATTCTCTGGCGCTTGCAAATCCTACATTGAAACATCCGCAGAAGAGCTGCGGATTGTGCGTTTTATTAAGCCCTGAACGTGCAAATACTGCTTGTGCAAATGTGGCCTTGGCACATGCTGATGGGGCTGACTGTGGATGGTGAGATTATTTGCCCCGAGCGTATTTCATCGATACTGAAACCATGTGCAACTTTCATTCCACGTAGACATAATTTTCATAGAATTATAGAATTGTAGAGTTGGAAGAGACCCTCAGGCTCATCTAGTCCAATGCAATGCAGGAATATGCAGCTGTCCCATACAGGGATCGAACCCGCAATCTTGGCATTGAAAACATTGCTAAATCCCCAGGAGGGATAAGTGGGTAAGGTGTGATTCCAGTTTAATCCCATGGGGCTTACTTCCAAGTGGGTGTGTATGAGGGTGCTCTGCATGGCTATATATATATATATATATATATCTCACTTATATGTGCAGTTACTGCATAACACTGAAAAGTATTATTAAGTTATGCTATTGTTGTTATTCTCACTCTTGGGAATTTTTTTATTGAAAAGCAGGTTTAAAAATTTCTACCATTTTATGTTATTTAACAATAAAAAGTTGTGCAAAGAAGCAGAAATAATATTATTCACCATCTTCCAGTTGTAAGGAGACGCCTAGGAATGATGTAATGATCTGTGTTTATATGACCAGGATCCTCAGCAGCATCTCCTCAGGAATCAAGCAGGGACTTAGTTCTGTGACCCATCTGTTGTTTCAGCTGGGAAGATGTCGGAGTGTGAAGGAATTCGAGAAACTAAATCGTATTGGAGAAGGGACCTACGGCATTGTGTGTGAGTGCTGCCACATGAACCGGTCAAGAACTGGTGCTGTGTGTGACCCAAGACGATCTGGAACACAGGGGGTGGCCCCAGAGCTGGTTAAGGTCCTGTCTGTTCCTTGATGTTATGACTTAAGCAGGTGTAGTTGGAATTCAAAATGTCAGCTCCTTGATCTTGGCCATGCACACACCCTCTCCAGCTCTCTTTGAAATCTCTCCAGTGATAATAGATGTATATTTTTCAGGCGTAAATGTCACTGATGACATTTTCACACCATCTGATTTAGGACAATGGTAATCCCAGGTGGAAAAGCAAGAAAGGAGGTAGGAAAGTGGCAACTTTTGAGTTGGCACTTGAGTCCAGGAGCGCTCCCAGCTCTACGTTAGCTTGTCTGGAGGAGTGGAAGGTGAAGAGTGGCTTCCCCAGGCACAGAACTCTGATTGCATTGCCATTCCAGATCGTGCCCGGGACACCCAAACAGATGAGATTGTGGCATTGAAGAAGGTGCGGATGGACAAAGAGAAAGATGGTGAGCAGAATGGGAGAGCTCTGAGGCATCCCTGCTGGTCTTGGCTCAATGAAACATACTTTGTGTTTAGTCTTGCCCACTGTCGTCTTAACGTGCTACTTCTCCCTGTAGGGATTCCCATCAGCAGCCTACGAGAGATCACCTTGTTACTGAAGCTCCAGCACCCCAACATTGTGGAACTGAAAGAGGTGGTGGTGGGGAATCACTTGGAGAGGTACTGACCAGGCCCTTCCTGTCCCCATAACCTTTCCTCTACCGCAAGCAGGAGGCTTTTCGTTCCTGTCCCCCAAAGCTGCCATTTTATGTCACCCAAGAGTGGGGAGCTGGATCTTGCCAGTGGGCAAGAGTTTTACCTCCCTCACTGCTCCCACGGGCCAAGTTTGACAACTGGACCTGTCAAAACACCGGACACTGTAATAGCATTGGATGACCCATCTTCCTTTGCTCATGCTGTTTGAAATTAAAACTGCACAGGCAAAAGCACAGCACTTTGCAAGTTCTGGCAATCAGCTGATAGGTGGCACTTGAAAAACACAGGACTTTGTAGGCACTGACCATAAGATGATTAGCAGAAGTTGCAAAGGCACAGGACTTTGGTGCAAATTGTATCTTTACCTGCCCTACAGGTAGCTGCCCCAGTTGGCGTCGTGGGGCGTGTCTTATTCAACCTGCATGTCAGAGGTTCCCCACTGCAGTTACATCAGCTTTTCGTGAATGCTAAGGCTGGCTTATATAATCTTTTTAAAAAATAAAAAGTACAAACTTTAAAAATACAAAGCTTTGCACACAATCAGGATGGAGGTTAGCAGGAATAAAGGAAGCTGGGGGTGGGGGTTGCTTTGTTTCTGAAAGTGAAGCATGGTTTCCAAGGCATTGTGGCCTCCAGAATATGACTCAAGCAGTCAAGAGCCTGTCTTTTAAGCCACTTCTTTCTGGCCTCTTGGGTAGCTATATCTCCAACTACAGAAAAGAAAACGTGTGTGTTTGTCCTGCAGCATTTTCCTTGTGATGGGTTACTGTGAGCAGGACCTCGCCAGCCTCCTGGAGAACATGCAGGCTCCCTTCTCTGAAGCTCAGGTGAGATGGGGAAAGTAGCAGCCTTGTGTTGATTGTTCGGATCACTGTCTTCATCAGAATGAAAGAGATGTCATAAAAAGGTGCAATTTGTTGAACCCAAGGCATGGTTGTGACCAAATTTGAGATGGAAGAAAGAGAAGAAGGCACTTTTTAAAAGCAAAGCTTGAACGAAAGAATCAAAGTATGTAGGTGTTCAAATAGAGCGGGAGTAGCCTGGTGGGTTAATTTGGGCTGAGGTATTTGGGCATCATCCACATCATAGGAAGCTGCCGTATATTGAGACAGACCATTGGCCCATAAGGTAAAGTATGCTTTAGGTCAGTTCAAGAAGACTAATCCTTTCAGCTTCTTGTGTTGCCTTTCTGTGGATCTTTGAACCCCAGAACAGAATCTGGCGCAAGACAAAGTAGTCTGTACTTTATGCAAGAGAGGTGGCTCCTTAATGATGCCCCATTCATTTGCTCCAACCCATTGCAGGTGAAGTGTATCATTCTCCAGGTGCTCAAGGGCCTTCAGTACCTGCATGAAAACTTCATAATCCACAGGTGAGAGAAGAGCAGGGACTGGGCATTTGACTGGAGATAGGATCAATATGTAGCTTGCAGGCCTGCTACTATCTGTGTCAGTGTGGGAGAGAGGCTGCTTAAAGGAGCAGGATTTGGGGAAGGGCTGCACTTGGTTTTGTCTGTCCCCCGGTGAACTCCTCTTTCCTCCAACAACAGGGACCTGAAGGTATCCAACTTGCTCATGACTGACAAAGGTTGTGTAAAGACGGGTGAGTGTTTGGCCAACATCTGGCCTCCCTTGATGACTTCCACCATCACAGACACATACCTGATTGGTTTGTAATGCAGTTGGACCTGCCATTTGACCTTGAGTGTCTCCTGTTTCCTTGCAGCGGACTTTGGGTTGGCTCGTGCTTACAGGGTCCCCCTGAAGCCCATGACTCCCAAAGTTGTCACACTTTGGTGAGTAGACTCTGAGCATCCCTTGACTAATCAACACTCCTGCACAATCACTACCTTTGGGCAAGGGGGTAGTTAAGGAGGAAAGGGGCTTTGCTTTCGCTCTGATAGGCTGCTTCTGTATGGTTTCGATACCCAACCAACTCAAAATAATTGCCTGGGGAAGGCATGGCAAAATAATTGCCTGGGGAAGGCATGGAAAGAAGACTCCACACCTTTCTGACATGTATACTTAGGAAATGTGATTGAGACCAGAGCCAAAGCAGGACAAGAGTTTCTGCTCTTGACACATATAGGGGCCTGATTCAGCAAGCCTTAAAACCCTGGTTAAAAATAAGCAATGGTTTAAGGTGAACAAGCAGTGTGCTGGTCCCCACTGCTCAGAATTATGCACTTTCCTCCTCCACATCTCCCGCAGCACTGGGGAAGGAAAAAACAGCATCTGGCTTGCCATTGTGTGCAGACTTGGACTCATGGGTCAGGCACAAACTTTGGCTTCCACTTGTGGTTTGTTTGGAGAGAAACAAATCACAAGCCTTGGTTCAGACAACAGCAAGCCAAGGCTTAGGGCTTGTTGCTCCTAGAGCTGCCAGCAGCAGACGAGGAACACAGCAGGACTTTAGAGCAGCAGCACGTTAACAAGAGGTTTCTTTAAACTAAGGTTTAATGTGACGAGGGAAGCAGGTGGGCAATGTGCAGGATGTGCAGTCTTTCCCTATGTCTTACCATTGGTCGCTCAGGGCCCTCGTTATCACTTGGCTGCCTGTGACAGGCTGAAGGGAGATTCGCTGCCCTTATGCTTGGGAGCAGGAAGGAGGAACATGTGCAAAGGGGATCAATGAGATTCTGTTTGTGCATCTTCTGCCTCTTGTGTGAGAAAGAGGAGGGAGGGTGCGTGCGTGTGATTTCCCCTCCCCCGGCCACCACCCCAATACCAAGTGCAGCCCTCAGGGACAAAAAGGTGCGAGGCTATTGCAACAGAAAAAGATCCCTCTTTTTCCAATTAAGGAAATGCCCATTGCCTGCTGAATTCAAATTACAGAATCCAGCATCACAATGCACCAGCCCTTGCAAGCTGACATCGACCTTCCCTGGAACACTTTCTCCCCTCTTTTCCAGGTACCGAGCCCCTGAGTTGCTTCTGGGGACAATAACACAGACCACCGCCATAGATATGTGGTGAGGGAAGAAGACATCTCCTTTCCTCCATCCCCCACACCTAATGTGGGGATTAGGAGGACAGAAAGGAAAAATGCATCATTTGAGGCCTGGATTCATGGCTCTGTGGACAAATTGGTTTTTCCTAGGCCTGAGAGGGTGGAGGGAATAGCTGCTAGCCTCTCTGTGTTAACTGTGAGTCTTCCCTGCAGGGCAGTGGGTTGCATCCTGGCAGAGCTGCTGGCTCATAAGCCGTTGCTACCTGGGAGCTCTGAGATCCAGCAGATAGACATGATTGTGCAGCTTCTGGGCACGCCCAATGAGACCATCTGGCCAGTGAGTACTCCCCAGACCTCATCCCACTGCTTTGTTGCTCCCTCCTCCTGCTTGGGTTTTGCCCCTTTGTGCCTCTTCTTATGTAGCCTTTCCTTAGTGTTGCAGAAATGCAGGTGGTGGAAAGGTCCTCTGGCCAATATCATATGCAAAGGCATGGCTGCTTACCCGCAGTCCGACCCCCATCAACCCATGCAATGCAGGCTGCAGTAAGATACGAGGAGATCAGGTGCACTGTTGAGAGGCTGTAGCATTAGATCAGGGATGGGGGACATCAGATCAAATATGCTCCTCCAAGTCTCTCTATCTGGCCCTTAAGAGTTTCCCCAGCCACACCCACTTTCCCCAGGTCACACCCTTCACCAGCTCTGCTTTGCACCTTCCTTGAATTTTAGCTGGCTGAAATGGTTCCTTGAACTCTGATGATGCCTTCCTGTCTGGATGGATAGAAAGTAGTGTGAGTGTATGTAGGAACTAGCTTACAGTACAATATAATGGTAAAATCAACATTTGGTGTCTTAGCATGTGCCGCTTCCCCCCTCCCCTCCACATCCCTGGTTATCCCTTCTTTAGATGGCTCCTGCAAGCAAGTTAAGCCATATGTCAGAGGCAAATGCTCTATTTAGTGCCTTTGTGTCCTTCTCACCTCCAGGGCTTCTCCAAGCTGCCACTGGTGAGCCAGTACACCCTGCGCAAGCAGCCGTACAATAACCTGAAGCACAAGTTCCCTTGGCTGTCGGAGGCTGGCCTGCGACTTCTCAACTTCCTCTTCATGTACGATCCCAAGAAAAGGTAACTGGACCCAGGCTGGGAAAGAGGCCGACGTTGTTGCGACGCGCCTGCCTTTTGGAATTCTGTTTCGCCATTCTGATCGGTGCCCAGACAGGTAGAGTTAGAAAAGGGCAACTAAAATTTAGCCAGGGCAGAAGTGTTTTCTCCATCTCCGGTCAAAATACAGAAGCTCTCAGGGTCATCCACCTAAACCAATCAGCAGCAAGGTTATGAGAGAGACAAAAGCAGCAGCTTTACATGCTGCCACAATTAACCTGTGGAGTGCTCCTGCAGCTTTCCAAAGTAATGAATTAACTTGGTGGAGGAGAGAGCAGTTGAAAGCAGAACATGCAGGTTCAGAGACAGCATAGGGGGATGACCTACAGCAGGTAGTCACAACAGGAAATCCTGAGCAGGATGGATTAGACCCTGCATGTAATATCTGTGCAACTGTACAAGGCACAGGTTGCTGGATGTGAGCCCTTCCTTGCCTGGGAGAGACTAGCTGCATCCTTGAATAAATGAGCTAGCTGTAAGGTGGGCACCTGCTCGCTTGTCTTTTATTGCTCCTGTGATATCCTCTGGCCAGAGCCCTTGGCTTGCCAGAGGCACATTCAGGAAGGAAGAGTGGAGCCGCTGCAGGAGAACAGCCTTCCTAAGCCAGAAATTTGTGGGTGGAATAGAGGGATAAGCAAGTGAAAGGTGAATTCATCCCTTGCTTTCATGCCTCTTCCTCTTCAGAGCGACAGCTGGCGACTGCCTGGAGAGCTCCTACTTCAAGGAGAAGCCTTTGCGTAAGTCTCTTGTGGCTTCCTTTCCCCACACTCAGGGCTGCCGCCACAACCTGATTCATCTTCTCCCTCTTTTTCCAGCCTGCGAGCCAGAGCTCATGCCAACCTTCCCACACCATCGCAACAAGAGGGCCGCCCCCAGTGTAGAGTGCGCAGGCAAGCGCAGTCGGCCCTGAGGATGCACACTTCTCCTGGTAAGGACGGGCGAAGGCTAGAGCAAAGTGCACTTAACAACAGTGGAAGCTGCCTTATACCAAGCCACACCATTGGTCCATCTAGCTCAGTATTGTCTATTCTACACTGACTGGCAGCAGCTTTCCAGAGATTTCAGGCAGAGCTGTCTCCCAGCTCTACCTCCAGACACCAGGAATTGAACCCGGGGCATTTTCTACCACTCAGGTATGGTCCTCCCCTTAGTTGAGTAGATGGCTTACTGGTCTCCTGATCATAATAAATAAAAGATGAAAAAATATTTTTAAATAATTCCAGTGGCACCGTTAAGATCAACTAAATATAAGCTTTCAAGGTGGGACTTTCATGTGTAATACACACTTTGTCAGATACCGTACTCTGAAGCAGAGGACACTTCAACCTTATAATGATGCCATTGTTATGTGAGGTGATTGACAGGTAGGTGGCCACGTTTGACAGATGCATGGGACTTTGCACAGCTTTGCAGGGGCTACCAATCAGCTAGTCAACGCTGCCTGCAAACCCCATTTCAGCCTGGCCATGTCTGTACGTACCTGACACCAGATGCGATATATGATGTCAGGTGCAATGCAGGTGACTGTGGCTTCGTCAGGTGTGGAGGCTTGGCCTAATTAGACCCGTGGACTGTGGATTCCCCACCACCAACCTAGAAATGTAACCAGCTAGGAGTCTCATGAAGCTGAAGCTGCTCCACTATTCTCTGCTGTTTATGTCTCCCATGTGCTTTCACACAGCTATGACCACAGGAAGCTGAAAGCGGAGTGCGGAAGTTGTGGCCCATGGGCCAACTTTGGCCTTCCGTGCTGCTCCTAGCAAACCATGCCCACCTGCTCCACACCTTAAGCAGCAGCCAACGTGGCTTCAAAGGAACAATAGGGCGTTAAAGGAAGCTACCGATTGTTCCTTTGCTGAAGCAAGGTGTGCTCCAGCCACCCATTAGCTGATGAATGGTTAGGAGTATGGCATGCTCTGGGATCAGAAAGCAGGTTGCACTGAAGCCCTTGCTAAAACAAAAGGGGCATATGAATAGCATGAAGTCTTTGAAAACACCTTTGAAATACTGGATCTTGAAAGCAGCAGCAAATGATGCTTAGGGAAGGTTCAGGGAGGTTTTTAAGCAGAGACCACCGATGGCCTAGAAGGGGGTTTCCTGCACTGGCGGAGTTTGGGACTGGATAACCTTTCTAGCCCCTCCCAACTCCATGGTTGCTGTTGCCTGAGTGCAAAAAAGCAAATCTGAAACAATTGCAGCACTGTGGTACTTCTGTTTCTCTTTCAGAGGACAGAGCTTGAAGAGAGGCAGTGCTGGGAGCTGCCAGCGGCATCGGGGCAAAGAGCCAGGAGCCTACAGAGGGTATCGGGACAGCTCCCATGTTCTTCATAGGAATCAGCTGCCCCTGCTGGGAGACACTGATTACGAACTGGGAGCTGGCTTGCCAAGCTGCATCGAAGCTCCTGAATTATCAGCTTGACTCTCCCATGATGGAAAGAGCAGGGCTGAATAGTAGCCCCTTATCCTGCCCCTTATTTGCGGGCAAAACCCAAGACTGAACCAGGACTGTGTCTCAATAAAGTCTTTTGCCGCTGCTGTCTTTGAGTAGTGCTCCTGGAGGGTAAATACTAAAGCTGCTGTGAGCCTTAGCAGAAGGACTGGGAGGGTGGGGAGGGAGATGCCAGATCCCTAGGAGGCAGCCTTATATATAGTGGAGGGAAGTTCCTAGGCAGCAACAGCAGCATCTCTGCATTTAGAGGTGCCCAGGCGCCTTTAACTCCCACACTGTTTTGCATCCCTGCCTGCATGCACTGCTTGTTCTGTGCGTCAAGCTCTGCTTAGCAACTTATCGTGGGTGGGGGTTAGAAGATCAGGGACTTCAACCTCTTCGCATCTCTATTGTAGCAAACACATAAGCATATATCCCTTCTTGGTCCAGTGAGCTTTTGAAGGCCTTCCTTTCTGATTCAGAGGTGAAAATGGTAGTGGCTCTGGAGCACAGCAGTGTATTCAAGCTCTTCTCCATTATTGAAAATTCACCCACTTGTCATGGACAGTCAAGCAGCAGCAGCAAACGAGGGCTCAAGCAGAATCCTTTTGCTAGAGCTGTGGTATTGCTTTGCTTTGTGTAGGGAAACAGAAAACAGTGCTTGAAGCACCTTTAGGAGGCCAAAGTTATGCCAGAAGCATCAAAAAGAGAACTGACCAGTTACACCTGCCTCCTGACTTTTGTGCAAGAGCCAAAGTGGCACTGGGAAGACTAGGTGGCCAAGGAAGAAAGTGTGGGAGGGAAGTTTTCAGAACAGCCTTGAAAACAACTACTGTAATAGATAAGTGCATCTTTTACTTCTGGAAGTGCTTGTCTTTAATGATCAGAAAATTCTGATCGGTTAACTCCATGATACGTATGCAGCTGCTTTATACTAAGCCAAACAGCTAACAGTAGTTTCAACTTTTCCAGACCTGAGAGCCAGCTGTCTAAGCATGCTTTCAGAGATGGAATTCTTAATATTTTACCATATATTTCTATGGTGGTAGCATGATATCCCCACCCCATGGGACAAATCACCTGCCAATCATCTAATGTCATGCTTTCAGCAGGGAGTAGCTGCTCAGTCCAGTTGCCCACAGAAAACTTGGTTGTGCAGCTGTGTACCTGCCCCATATATGACATCACATATGACGGCAGGTGGGCGTGGTTTGAGAAAAATGGAAACCCTGAGCCAAACGGTGACCTAGTGCAGGCCAAATTTGACCAAAGAGCCAGAGGTTCCAAAGCCCTATGCTAGTGGATCCCAGCCTACCAGCTGAAGACCAACGATCTAGGCAAATATTGTCTATTTGCCAGGGTCTCTGGCAGAGAGAAGTTGCTACCCAGTCCTTTTAAATCATTGCTGCTCAGACCCCCTGCGTGCAACACAGCAGCTCTACCCCTGTGCTACGTAGTTCCCAGCTGGGTTCCTTCCAGTGAGTATTCAAACTCTGGAACTCAACTACCCACACTACTGGTAGGTGGGGGAAGGGAGAAAAGAAATTCAGAGAACAAAGGAGATTACATTTCTGTTTATTTTGCACCTCTGCTTCTGTAAGCCAGGAGGGAGATGCTGAGTGCCTCTGAGGGCTTGGGAACAGCTCTGCCCCTGCCTAGTAGCAGGAGACTCAAACTCAGCATTAAGGCTTTTCCGGCGCTGTCTCAGCTTCCAGAGGAGAGCCACAAGGATTCAGGAAAAGGTATTAACAAGGAGAGGCAACCTCCACCCCCTCCTGTAATCTCAGCCCACCTTCTCCCATGGCAGCTCCCTATAGTAGCTTCCCCCCAAACCTTGGTGCCCTCCAGATGTCTTCCACTACAGTTCCCATCAGCCCCAGCATTCTAATGCTCTGCTGGCTGCAGACGGTGGGAACTGTAGTGCAAAACAACTGGATGGCACCCAGTTGGGGAAATGCTGCCCTACATCCTTTGAAATACACAAAGAGGGAGCAGATGAGCATCATGTAAAACTTCATTGTGCCCTGATATTACAAAAGATGGATTCTGGCAGAGGGGTGTGCGTGTCCTTCTAACATGTCAATTGACTCGCCATTTCTTGTCAGCCAGCTGGAACCACTTTCAGATGAAGCAGTGCCCCCTCAAATGCTCAGTGGAAAGGATGAGGGAAGTGGAGGGGGGAGAATCTCACCTGTCCAGCAAACACTACTGCGGGAGACTGTTTAGGAGTGGATCCCCCCCACCCCAACAAATTTGTTCACCTAAATCCTCAAAATATTTAGGATTTGAGAAAAGTCCTGTTGGCAGGGGAAAGAGAATGTATGCTGAAAAGTGAGTGTCTGGCTGTTTTTTCCTCTGAAACAAAAATAAGGGAAAGTGTTTTTCAGAAAACCGAGAGGGAAGGCCTGGGAGAAGGAGGACGAAAAGCAGACTGTGTGTGCAGTTCTAGATGAAGCCTCAGAACTGCAGAGGAAGCAGCTTTTCTGTCCAAGGTCCGGTTGATGCCCTGGTGGGTTCTGCAGCGCGTGCTATTGCCAGACTCCCGGCAGCCCCTCGTGCAGCAGCTTGTCCACCTCTGTCCTCTGCAGCCAGAGGCGCTGCTGCTTCTCGCTTTGCAGCTCTTCCATGTGGTGGCTGCTCCGGCAGACCTGCGCTCCATCGCAGCTGCCGCCGTGCAGCAATCTGCAGGTGTTGCAGCAGGAGGCCGGGAGGGTGCCCGGGCGCATGCACGAATGCAGGTGATAGCGCGGTGGCTCTGTTGGGGACATCCCTGCACCTGGCACCAGAGCTCGGTGCATCCCCGTGGGGCTCAGCTGGGGACTCCTTGGCTGCCTTGCTGAGGGAGAGGCTGGGCTGCTGCCCCGGTGAAGCTGGGGGCCGCCAGGGCTGTCGTAGTGAGGGATGGGAGACAAGAAGCGGCTTCCCGGAGGCGTGGGGTAGTCCGCTTCCGTAGTTCTGCTGAGCTCCCGCCGCAGGGAGATAAAGGAGAAGGAGGTCTCCAGATCGGGGCCCTCCAAGGCTGGGATCCCGTTGCCGTACGGTGGCTCCTCCGGGCCCAGCACCCACATCTTGCTCCTGTTCTCCGCAAGCCCCTGCGGAGTCTGGAAGTGCTGCTCTCTGCTCCGCAACCGGGGGCTGCTGCGCTCGCAGAGGGGAATGGGGTGCTGGTGCTGCTGCGATGACAATGGCAACCTAGGTCCCAAAGGGTCGCCATACGGGCCCTGCCCTTCCGGACTCTCCCTGTACAGGTCTATTGCATCAGCTGGCTCCACGCGGAAATCTCTGCCCCTAGGCCACCGCACCAGGCTCTGCAACTTGGCCACACAGTTCTCTAGGCTGCCTTTGGCTTCCCTGCGGGCCTGGAGAAGATCTTCAGGTGAAGCGGCATACGGCTCCAGCTCCCGCACAATCTTCCCCAGGATCTCGCACTCGACCCTGGCTGCAAAAAAGCAGCAGGCTGCAGCGAGGAGGCTGGCACTCGGGGGCAACTGGGCGATGACCAGGTGGAGGCTGTCTCTCGGGATGTAGCCCAGCCGGCGGAAACTCCTGGTGATGTCGGCCTCAGGCAGGACTCCCTGGAGGACGTGCACGTAAACACCTGAGAAGGTCTGCAGAGAAAGACACAGAGGTTATTGCCCTGCATTGCTCGACACACAAATTTGATACTGTTACTTATTTACAGTGGATGCTTGGGTTGCGAACGTGATCCATGCAGGATGCATGTTTGCAACCTGCGTCTGCGCGGGTTGCGATTTGTCGCATCTGCACATGTGCAAAGCTCGATTTAGCGCCTCTGCGCATGCGCGACCGCGAAACCCAGAAGTAAACCCATTCCAGTACTTCCAGGTTTTGGCAGTCCGTAACCTGAAAAAATGCAACCTGAAGCGGCTGTAACCCGAGGTATGCCTGTACAGCATTTGCTGACTGCTTGGTTACAAAGCAATTTACACAGCCATTTATAAAACAATCCAGTGTTCAAAATAATACAAGGTTGCAGCCAATGCTAGTCCTACTCAAAGCAGACCCACTGAAGTAAATGAACATGACTACCTTAGGTTCATTAATTTCAGAAGCTCTTCTGTGAATATGACTAGTTTTGGATACAACTCATAGTATTTCAAGCACACAAAAACCACAAGTTTGTTTGTTCGTTCAGTGACTACAGGCATGGTACACAGCAACAATATTATTTTCGTATTATGCATGAGTTTATACATGCTGCCCAGCTGTCATTGACCAGTTAACAGGGCCTTCTCTGTGGTGGCTCCCTGTTTGCAGAATGCTCTCCCTGGGTGAAGCACATTTGTCTCTCTGGTTATTAACTTTCAGGAGGAACTTAAGAACATTCTTGTTTACCCTGGCATCTGATGGCTGAAAGATACAGTTACTGAAAATGAGTATGAAATTTATCCATGCCATGAAATTAGCAGCTGTGGGAGTATGTGACTGCTTTTTAAAAAAAATAAATTAAAAAGGAAGCTTTAAATTTGTTTTTATTTTAGATTTAATTGTATTGTTTCTGCCATTTTGCTATTTGCTGCCCTGGGCTCCTTTAGGAGGAAAGGCAGCACAGAAATTTAATAAAGAATAATGATTCCTTCAGTTCTCTGGAAGAGAAGCAGACTCAGGATTTCAGCTGTGAATATTACTACTCTGACCGAGATAGGAAACTATCAGGAAACGAAGGGAAAGGTGCTGAGAGGCTAAGTAAACCTCTGCACACCAATGAATGGAAGGTGGTTGGCTTTATTTTTATACATTGCACATCTATACGTGAGGTGAGCTGCTCTTTGCATGATTTGGAAGGAAGGAATTCAAATAAGTAAAATAAACAACTGTTTCTGTCTGCAATATAGCAGAGTCCTGTGTAGCCTCCTCCCTCTGCCCCCACAATGCCTGACTTCCCCCCCGACAATGCTCACTTTTATGGTTCCAAATTCCTTGCGCCAGGGGAAGAAGTAAAGATTGACGGCTGCCAGTTCCAGCACCTCAAAGGCCCGGCCAAGATTCTGGAGTGCCAGTCCCAGATCCAGCTGTCCTCGCAGGGCCGAGGCAAGCATGGCAAAGGTGTCCTCCCCTCTCAGGGCACTGTGAACTTCTGGATCCTCCAGCAGTTGCTGCCACATCCGCTCCTTCAGGGACGAGTCGGTGCAGATGCCAGTGTGGCCCTGGTGGAAATTGTTCTCCAAGCACTGACGATACTTCTCCTGCAGCGCCACTCCAGGAGACATCCTGCAGCGGGAAAAGAGCAAAGCCCTGAACCTGGTCCCATTTGAAATTCCGTCGATCAAATCAACCTATGGCTACGAGTGGGATTGCCAAGCAAATGAATTCAGCCATCAAGCCATAAAACAGAGCCTTGTATACTGCACAGGATGGTTGTTGTTTTGATTTACAAAAGCCATGGATGAGTCTTCCCGCTGCAAAGAAAATACCCATGCCAAATATATATATAATTCCGCCCCCAGAAGCCCTTTAACATAAGCTGCATTCCATAAATAGGCTGATGCAGTATGGGCAGATATTCTTCATTTGCATGTGCATTCTCACTTCTCATGTTTTCTTTTCAATGCCATATGCACATGCATGCAAAGGGTAATGCAACTGCAAGCAGGAGGTGGTGATAATGGCCAAGTGATGGGAAAGGGAATTTTAAGTGTATTGATTCATTTCAGTCATTTCTACCCTGTATTTTAGAGGTTAAACCCTCATGGTTTTTATAGGATGATGTTCTGGTGTACAGAGGAATGCTACTGTGACCTAACTGCTGGAGATTCTGGCAGAAAAAAAGTGTTCTCAAGATCATTACTGGCTCATCAGTGAGAATTTGGCTATTCCCTTTCTCTCATCCATCCCAAACTGTTGGCACTCACACACTTCCCCGATTGTCCTCTTGCTTTTTTCAAGCACTGATTAAGTTTCCAGCAGAGTTGCTGCACAGAGCTCTGGTGTACAAACTGACAGCTGGTATTGCAGAGGAATGATAAGTGATCATTTTGGTTAGGATGCCACTGACAATGGAACTCCCCCCATCTTCTGTGTTACTTGTTCAATTTTTATCTTCACTCTCTCCGCCATCTCTGCTCCAGCCTCCTTCAACCTGGTGTCCTCCATATTTTTGGGACGCTGACTCCCCATATGCCTTGCCACTGACCATGTTGGCTGAGGCTGATGGGAGCTGTGGTCCAAAAGATCTGCTGTCCTCCAGAAGATGCTTGCTCTGGAGAAACTGACAAGCTGCATGGCTGGGCGAGGGGGTGGAAGGAGGAGAGAAATCTTGCCAGTTTCACCACATTGCCTTTTAAATATGTCTCTACATTCTCCACCACTAAAGCGAAAGCAAGTCCTTGTGAGAATATCTATATCAAAATATACACACTGTATAGTATGCCAAGACTGTTCCGATTAGGAATAAAAGTTAGGAAATATTTGCTTCCTCACTTCAGTCACATTCAGTTCATTGGTAGAGCATCAGCTTTGCATGCAGAAGTTCCAAGGTTCAACATCTCCAAGTAGGGATGGGAGAGACCCCTGCTTGAAGCCCTGGAGAACTGCTGGATACTATGGGACTCTGCCTGCCACCCTGAGCTCCCTGCCCGTTGGTTGTCACTCTGTGGCTTCCGCCTCTTTCCCTCCATATGTCTGGGAGCCAAAAAGGCAAACCAGTCACCACAGCCACGGCTCAGAGAGAGAGGGTGGAAGAGAGCCACCCTGGGGACTAGAGCACATGAGCCAGACAGGGGGCAGCCCTTGCCCCAAGACAAGTTGTTGGCACTTCTTTGCCAACACTTGCTACGTTCATGGCTTCTGAGTATGTGGCTGTCTTCTGGAAGAAGCCCTGCTGTTAGTGCATAGCGCCATAGACAACAATACATAGTTGTCAACCCAGTTCCTGAACTAACAAGGTAAGTTGCTATGGGAGCACTTTAGAATCAAAGCCCCACAAATAGCTCTTAAAAATAACAATGTGAAAAGATCCAAGCCCAACAGAGGGAGACTCTTGGAGAATTAACCACCCACCAGATCACAAAGTGCTGAGAATGAGAGACTTGAAGGAGATAGCTTTGCTTTTGCGTGGGGGGGGAGGGGGGGGGCGCAGGAAGGCAAGTCTTTGGGAGAGAGTCCTGTCACAGCCTCAAGGTGGTAGTGGGGCACACCATAAGTGCTTCCAGTGAAGGGGGGAGAAGTTGTGCTGTTATTATGTGGGTACTGTGGCTTTGCAGGGAAATAGGGAAAGGGACAGAATCATAGGGCAAAACAGCAGGGCATCAGCAGAGTGGGTGCCCAATACATAAATCAGTGGGAGACTGTTGGAGTAAACCACATGAAAACCCCTTAGTATTTTAGGAACCCCCTAATGGATCATGAATCATTATTTCAAAAAGTGCCTCATCCACACTAATTTCCTGTTAGTCTTCTTCAAAAGCCTTATCTTAAATTCTACCACAGCTTCTCTGGACCATATGCCAACATAAAGTGTGCCAGCCTTTAAGATGCCACAAGGCGCTTCTCGTTCATGCCTGGTAGGCGCTGTACAGAAAATAAAGACACACATCGCTCCACCAGCAAGTCCAGTCTAAAAAAAAAAAGGGACCGGCATCAGAAGAGACCCGCTGGCTCAGAAGATGCCACCATCACCCTGGCAGACTTTCAGGTGCCACATGGCTGTTGGTCGCTGCTGCTGCTGCTGCACTAGACAAGGAGATTTGGAGCCGGGGGCGGCAGTATGCCTACCACTTGGGGGGATCCCAGGTAAAGGGCTCGTATTTGGAGGGTGGGGGTCTGCAGAGCCTGAAAGAGACCCCTCTCCCTGCTCGCAAGGCGAGGAAGGAGCGCCTCTTCGTCCCGCTGGAACGTCATTGGGGGCCGAGTCAAACACCCCCGCCTCACAAGTTTCCCCCGCACGCCCCCGCAAATCCGGCCGGTTGGGATTCAGAACTCGCGTCCCGCTCACCTGCCAGCGCTCGCTCGCTAGCTCCTTGGCCCCCTTCTTTCGGTCTCTCGCTCTCTTTCCCTTTTGGGCTCGCTCCTGTCACTTCCGGTTCTTCTTTGCCCCGCCCTTCCCGAGAGGAGATTACGTCAAGTCTCAGGAGCCGGCCGTTAACCTTTTCCTTGCTGCACTGAAGGATTTGTTTTTTGTTTTGTTTTTAATCTTAGAGGGACGGGTTTAAAAAAAGTTTTTAAAATCATAATTATAATAACACACAAAAAGGAATGTTATAATATCATTGGCAGGTATTGCAAGTAAATGTTTGTGTATTTCAGACAAATGTCTCAGTTACATTTAATTTGTTTATTGCTATCCATTTCAAGAGGAAGGCTAAATTATTTTTTTTTAAAGAGAGCTCATTACCTTCAGGTTTACAGTCTAAGAAGGCATGACACAAAGGTGGAAAGGTGCATTTAGGTAACCCACCCCAAACAGTTTAGGGACCCGAAGATTAAAACCAGCATTTTGAACTGGACCTAGAAACACACTGGTAGCCAGAGCAATTGGTGCAGAAGTGTTGCATGATCAGACCATGTCTGGGTAACAGTCACATCTAGGGAATAAAAAACAGATCCTGGTAACTTAGCATGATTGTTCCATGGGATACACCCCAAACTGCTATCAAATCGCAGATTACATTTATCACACAGACTAAGCTGTAAAAATCAGGCATAGAGCCAAAGTGGGGATCCTCATGATTTCTACATTAAATCTTCCTAGTCACTATAAAAATGCACATAACATTGGTAGCCCATGAACTGAACCACAAATGTTACAAATCCCATACTTCATGATGCCACTATGGCATGAAAACATGGAGCAGGCCCCTGCAAGGAGGGACATTTGGAGTACTGGATGGTGTATAGACACCAGAGCTTTTCAACCTTTTGGGTCCACTGCTCCCTTGACCAACTTGACACATTCTTTCTGTGGCACCCCTGTGGGGCTCAGGAGACCAGTTATGTCACCCCTTGCCTGCAGAGCTGGTAGCCCCTCACCCCTCCCTTGTGGAGGGTTCCCTCAGCCTCCTCTCTTCTCCCCTGTTCTTGGGAGTCCTTTGCACAGCTGCAGCTGCCACCCCGGTCTCTGAGCTGCCCTCCCCCCACCCCAAAGAGAGGTGCCTCCTCACAATGCCCCACAGGGGCCTGGGAAGCATCCCCTGGCCAGCCCCAGAGGCACCATTCACCTGGGGAGCTTGCAGCCAGAGCTCCTGCAACAAACAGTTGTGCAAGCGTTTGGGAGGCAGAGACGTGAGAGGGCATCAGAGGAAAGGGCCAGTGTTGCCCATGGCACCCCTGACTATCATTCAAGGCATCCCAGGAGAGCCAGTGTGGTGTAGTGGTTAAGAGTGGTAGACTCGTAATCTGGTGAACCGGGTTCGTGTCTCTGCTCCTCCATATGCAGCTGCTGGGTGACCTTGGGCTAGTCACACTTCTTTGAAGTCTCTCAGCCCTACTCACCTCAAGAGTGTTTGTTGTGGGGGAGGAAGGGAAAGGAGAATGTTAGCCGTTTTGAGACTCCTTCAGGTAGTGATAAAGTGGGATATCAAATCCAAACTCTTCTTCTTCTTCAGGGTGCCACGGCACACTGGTTGAAAACCACTGATAGAGGCCAATGCATGCCCCAAGGCTTCTTCAGTCTTGAAGAATATCAAAGCTAACATCATAACAAAACATAGTGGCTGGCATGGTGCAGCCTGATCCTATGCACACTTACTTGGAAGAAAAGCCTGCTGTGTTCGGTTAGGCAGGGTAGTTCCCTAAAAAGTGTGCATTTAAACCCATCCAGTACTAGAAATCCAGCAGCAGCTTCCAATAAAACCTCAACCCCTTGGTAGAACATCTGCCTTGCATGCCAAAGGTCCCAAGTTCCATCCCCAGCATATCCAGGTAGGGCAGGGAAAGGTCCCCCAGTCTGGAATCCTGGGGTGTTGCTGCCAGTCAGTGTAGGCAATACTGAGCTAGATGGCCCAATGGGTCTGGACTCTGTATAAAGGCAGCTTCATATGTTCCTACCTGCCTTTCCATCACTGGCTTCTAGCAAGACAGCTTTTGTTTGTAAATCAAAAGACCTGCAGCAGAGGGCGCATTTGCATTGAGAAATAAGCTCTTTTTCCTGATGCAACTGGAAACCTCCAAGCTGTGAAAGGGGCGAGGGGCACAACGCTGAGGAACAGGACAGTTCTTCTGTCTTTCCTTACAGGGTTCTGCTAGAAATCCTGCCTTTATTACCTTTACGGTACTTTTTATTACTATTATTTATTTCCTAGGTAAATGGATTTTAGAATTGCTAAGCCTGATTTGTATTCAATTGCTATGATTTTATTGTACAGTGCTTAAAACAAAAATTGTCATGAGCTGTCTTGCAGGCCTTGTTGTGAGAGCTAGTGTGGTATAATGGTTCAAGTGTAGGACTAGGACCTGGGATGCCAGGATTCAAATTCCTGCTCAGCCATTAAAGTCACTGGGTCACCCTGGGCCAATCACGGTCTCTCAGCCTAAACATACCTCACAGGGTTGTTGTGAGAATAAAACGGGGAGAAAGTGGAGTGTGAGTGTGTGTGTGTGTGTGTGTGTGTGTGTGTAAGTAAGGCAGGATAAACAAAAATTGAATGGATAAATCTGGTGCATGTTTTCTTATAAGTACAGAGTTCAATGGTGCTTAGTCCTAAGTAGGCGTGTGTACAGGGCTGCAGCCAGTGTGGAGCAAGTGTATGCAGGTGTCTCCAAAAGTAAATCCCTGTTGGAGAGTGTCCATGGTGGCTCATTGGAACTGGTAGGGTGGAAGACAGGGAGGAGGCAACATGAGGAGGAGGAGGAAGCTGACAGACTGGGCTACCCTCAGGATGTTGTAAGAAAGAAGACAGGCAGGTTTATGCAACTATGCATGGCATGGAGAAAGCGGATAGAGGAAAGTTTTATTCCTACTCTCACAACACTAGAACCCGTGGACATCCATTGAAGCTGAGTGTTGGCAGATTCAGGATTGATAAAAGACTTCTTCATGCAGCTAAGCTATGGAACTCGCTGCCACAAGAGGCAGTGACAGCCACCGACTTTGATGGCTTTAAAAGAGGATTGGACAATTATATGGACAAGGCTATCAATGGCTACTAGCCATAATGGGTATGTTCCACCTCCAATGTCAGGGGCAGTAATGCTTCTGAATACCAGTTGTTGGGGTTCTGCTAAGGGTTTCCCACAGGCATCTGGTCGGCCACTGCCAGAATGAGATGCTGGGCTAGATGGCCTGTACCAGCAGACCCGTTTTATGTTCAGGTGGGGACAACTGGACTCAAGGATGTGGGCTTGTGAATCGCAGCTCAGTCCACTGCAGAATGACCCTACAACAAGCCTCTCTGACCTCCAGAGGCCTAAGGCTACACCCACGCCAATGAAAGCACGTTGTTCCCCCCCCTCAAAGAATCCTGGGAAGTATAGTTTGTTAAGAGTGCTGTGAACTGTAGCGCAGCGAGGGGGCAAACTACAGTTCCCAGGGTTCTTTTTTCCGGGGGACCATGTGCTTTGAAAGTGTTCTACCTGAATGGTTGCGGCTAAGACCTTATTAACGCGGGAGGGACTGCAGCAGTCCGCTCACCTCCCCGGCGGCGCGGCTGCAACCTTTGCCGAGCTGCCCGCCCGCCTCCCGCTCAGGCTTCCCCGGCCCCTCCTCTGAACCTTCTCACGTGGCAGCCACTGTGCCGCCTCCTTCCCCGGCCGCGGCTCCGAGTCTGCGCCCTTCCGCTCGCTCAGTTCGCAAGAGGAGGGAGAAGACGCGCAGCCGGACGCACGGAGGGCGCTGTAGCAGGAGGTAAGGCGCAAGTGGGCGCAACCGACTTTCTGGGAGGTGGGGCGCAAGCTGATACAGGGATTCGCGCTGGGAGAACTCCCTTTGCAAATCGGGCGCTGCAGCGTACAGACCACTACGGGGCATATGCAGAGTGCCTTTGCTTGCATTCCGTGGAGTAGAGAGGTGAGAGGCGTCGTGGTTCCCTCTGCGATTTAAACAGGGGAGCGGGTAAAGCTGAAGGGCCTGGGGGCTCCACAGAGAGGAGGGACGCGCCTCTGGAAAAGCCTAGCCCCCCTGCCTACCGTTCGAGATCCATTATTGGTGACGCGTTGCATGGATTCCCTTCTGCTTAGTTTCTGGAGATGGCTGTCAGCCCTCTGGTGTATGTTTGTCTTTCTCCGGTGTTCGGCTTCCCAGATACATCCTGGGAGAAGAGGATGCTGGGCTGGATTTGCCTTTGGCCTGACCCAGCAGCCTCTTCTTAGGCTCTTGTGTGAAATTCTGTAGAGCGCCTGCCACTCAGCTGTGTAGCCAGTACAGAGCTAGCTGGACCAGTGGTCTGAGGCATTTTATTCCATCGCAGTGTTTTTTACAGTGGTACCTCGGGTTAAGTACTTAATTCGTTCCAGGGGTCCGTACTTAACCAGAAACTGTTCTTAACCTGGAGCACCACTTTAGCTAATGGGCCTCCCGCTGCTGCCGTACTGCCGGAGCACAATTTCTGTTCTCATCCTGAAACAAAATTCTTAACCTGAAGCACTTTTTCTGGGTTAGCAGAGTCTGTAACCTGAAGCATATGTAACCTGAAGCATATGTAACCCGAGGTACCACTGTATTTGTTTGATCCATTGAGCCAGCCCTTCAAATTGCATTGGCTAGCTGGCTGGGCAAGAGAGCGCTTTTAAGCATGTAAAGAGTGCCTCAGATTCCCTGTAAGTGCAGTTTATTTATTTTTACTATTTTTTAACAGCAGGGAATAAATGGCACTGCCCAAGAGTTTTTAGAACCCGAAAAATATTGTGTGTGTGTGTTTTGTTTTGTTTTTTGGAATGGGTAGTGTCATTTGTGAATTTGGAGCCATCACACCGAAAATGGGGTGAAGTCTTGATTCAAAATGGCGCCTGGCTTCCAAATGTCAACAAAGACCCCTCCCCCACCTTGGGAACCCTTGCAACCAAGTTTAGCGGTGATATCTCCAGAGGCATCCAAACCTATAGAGACCAAAGGGACAGACAAACCACTTTCCAAATTATATAGTGGATTGCGTTTATATTTCACCTTTCCTCCAGCAAGCTGAAGGCAGCCCTGTTCAGGGAAGTTTTTAATGTGTGACATTTTAGTGTATTTTGGTCTCTGTGGAAGCCGCCCAAAGTGGCTGGGGAAACCCAGCCAGATGGGCGGGGTACAAATAATAAATTATTATTATTATTATTATTATTATTATTATTGTAGATGGCTTCCCCACTCCCTCCATATCATTGCAGCCCCGTGAGGTAGGTTAGGCCGAGAGTTGGTGACTGACCCAAGATCCCCCAATGAGCTTCACAGCCGAGTGGAGATTTGACACACCACATTGGCTTTCGTGGGATATGGTGCTTCCTGGCAGCACAGATGTGTAAAATCCACTGACAACTATTAAAATACTGTTTTCTCTCCACTTGGTATAATTTTCAAGATAGCAGCTGACAAGCCAGGTATCCTATCCACCTGCTGACAGGCTTAAGTGTGGCCAGTAGGACAGGCATCATAACATGACTGCAGCTTCTCACTAGCCAGCTGTGTGCATGTCTCTACCCACCCAAAGAATTGTAGGCACTGTAGTTTAAGGGTGCTGGGAGGGGTAAACTACAGTTCCCAGGATTCTTGGGGGAAGCAATGTATGGCGTGTAGATAGCCTGTTCCTTCGTCCTTGCTAAGGAAGGGTCTGATGGCATGGGTTGATTGGTGGGGATGGGGGACGTTGAATTGGAGGCACGTGACATTAGACAGCCTCTGCCATCAGGTTTTCTGCACACTAGCTCCTGAACAGGAGCAGTCTATCTGAGCTGTGAGAACTTTGAATTGCAGTAGCTACCATCTTAGACAGTCCAGTTATTCCAAAGCCTCCCTAAGTGCTTATTCCCTCTGTCTGTATAATTGTGAGTCTTCTCCGGGCATAGATATAGTCTGCGGGGGCTGGTTAAACCGTTGGCTTCAGCTGTTGAATTCTTGCTGTTCTTGCTTGTGGGCCTCCTTAGGCATCTGACCGGCCACTGAGATAACAGGATGTGGACTAGATGGGCCAGGGGCCTGATCCAACTGCAGAGCTCTTATTATGTTAAGCCTGTCAGGCCTCTGGAGAGCTCATTAGGGGAGCATTAAGGTACCTTCAGGAGGCAGTGGAAGACAGGAGTGTCTGGCGTGCTCTGGTCCATGGGGTCACGAAGAGTCGGACACGACTAAACGACTAAACAACAACAAGGTACCTTATTTCCCTGGATTCAGCATTCAGTACTTTTGAGATAGGCTGCCTCTGAACATGAAGGCTTTGTTTATTGTGGCACTGTAGGTTAAACCACAGATCCTAAGGCTTGCCGATCGGAAGGTCGGCGGTTCGAATACCCGCGATGGGGTGAGCTCCCGTTGCTTGGTCCCTGCTCCTGCCAACCTAGCAGTTCGAAAGCATGCAGTGCAAGTAGATAAATAGGTACTGCTCCGGCAGGAAGGTAAGCTGTGTTTCCATGCGCTGCTCTGGTTCACCAGAAGCGGCTTAGTCATGCTGGCCACATGATCTGGAAGCTGTACGCCGGCTCCCTCGGCCAGTAAAGCGAGATGAGCGCCACAACCCCAGAGTCATCTGCGACTGGACCTAACGTTCAGGGGTCCCTTTACCTTTACCTTACTTTTGAGATAGGCTGCCTCTGAACATGGAGGCTTTGTTTATTGTGATTGGCCTGTATCCTCAGCGTTGATTCAGTAGAATTTCAGGTTCAACCGATTCTGGAATAAATGTCTCCTTTCTGTGAAGTCTCTCTTGGATTAAAATGGTTTCCACTGGCCAACGGTGGCTTTGTTCTCTTCTTCACCTTTCACTCTTGATTACTCTTAATAGGTGCAAATTGCCTTTGATCCTTGCAAGATCTTTTATCTGCTAGGGCTGGTGTTTGCCTTGGCTAGGCAGTAGGGTTTTTGGAAAAGGAGTGTGGGGAGGGATCCCAGTTGTGACAGCTGGTACGTAGAAAGATCCAAGGAGAAGCTGTTCTAAAAACAACAGGGCAAGAAGAAACTTTTTTGAATTTTGGCAAAGCTTTGGCAAGCAAGGTGCTGTTTCTATACAATAGTTAATTAAAAGCTTCGGGATGGTTCTGAGGCTAGGTATTCCTGCAAAGGGAAGAGAAAAGTTGTTTGCAATATATTTCCTGGTGGAGAGAGAAAGCCAGGTAAAAGTCCTTTTGCAGTAGGCTATGGTCTCATGGAGCAGAGGATTCTTTGCTGCACAGTGCTGAGGTGAGCTGGGATGAGTGAAAATGGACAGAGACAAGCCCCCCCCCTCGCTTAATGCAAGAACCTGGGGCCATCTGATCAAGTTGAATGTTGGAAGATTCAGGATAGACAAAAAGTACTTCGTCATGCAGCACATAATTAAACTGTGGAATTTGCTCCCAGAAGAGGCAGTGATGGCTGCCAACTTGGTTGGCTTTAAAAGAGGATTACGCAGATTTCTGGAGGATAAGGCTATCAGTGGCTGCTAGTCACGATGGATATGTATTCCTTGCACTCTCAGAAGCAGCCTGCTTTTGAATGCCAGTTGCTGGGAATCCCAAGTGGGGAAACTTGCTGTTGCACTCAGGTCCTGGGGGGGGGGGGAGGGTCCATTGGGGAACCTGGTTGGCCACTGTGAGAACAGGATGATGGTCCTTTAGCCTAATCCAGAAGGACTCTTCTTGTATTCTTAAATGAAACAGTATGAAGTTATAGATTTCTGGGAAATGAGGGCTCTTTTGCCAAGGTGTAAAAAGCCGGAGGGGGTGGGATGGTACCTGCATCGAGACAATAGATTTTAAAACATATATAAGTTTTTACAGTAGGACATAGGGATATAAGAAGTTCTTTGCTGGATCTGACCAAAGTCCTGTTTAGTCCAGCATCTTGTTCTCTACAGTGGCCAGTCAGGTGCTTCTGGAAAACTCAGAAACAAGAACATGAACTTCCAAGGAAAAGCCTGCTCTGAGGTCCACACCTGTCCACTTTATACAACATCACAGCATCAGGCCCTTTCTTTCAAACTGTTCACTGGGTCTGTCTAGATGCAGCATGATCTGTGTACATAGGCAGGATCGTCTCACACTGCATGAATAGGGGCAACTATGTACAATTGTATTTGCTCACATGGATGCAGTCTATCAGCACAAACATTAATCCACTCCTCTGGGTTCTGTTAATGATCTCTTGCTTCCAATGCCCGTTGATGCTCGAGGCAAAGCACAGAACACCCCCACTACAGTAGTTATATCTAGTTCCTTCATATGCGTCCTGCATGACTCTTCCTTCTCCTCCCTTTTAAAAATTGAAATTTTTCATAAGTTTATAATCTTCAGGCCACCGGAGGCAAACCTTTAAAATAGGATGAGCGGAGGAAGGGGGGTGCGGTTGGTGCCGGCCGCCCCGGGTGTCACCACTGAGGGGAGGTGACAAAATGCCGGGTGGCACTCACCATGGGGCCTACAGCGCGCTCGAGCCACGCATCTCTCCTGAGAGAGACGTGGTGGCTTGGACGCCCGCAGGCTCAGCGCTGCCCCAAACGGACTACCCGCTGCCTCCCCCCCAGCTGTAGGGCGGCTGAGTGGGAGGAGGCAGGCAGACTCTGGAGGTCCCGCAGTGCGTCCCGCCCCTGGGCATGCCGCCCCAGGCGCCCAAGCAGCTTCCTATGCCACTGGATGAGCAGGTGCATATTAAAAATTTATAAACTGGACCTTCATCCAAAAATGGATTTTAGGGCAATATACATAAGAATCTGAAGCCACAGAATTATAGAGTTGGATGGGACCCCGAGGATCATCAACCTCCCTCAATGCAGGAATATGCAGCTGTCCCTTACGGGGATCGAACCTGCAACCTTGGTGTTATCAGCACCCCACTTTAACCAACTGAGCCATCTCCAGTGCAAAATTAAAACAACAGAATGTGTTAAACAGCAGTATGATAAATCTGAGAGGAATGAAAATACCTTACCAGCTGAAAATACAATAACTTAAGATGCCTGGGCAAATGAAAGGTTTTAAGCTGGTGCCAAAGGGAATTCATCATTTGCTATGGAGTGGGATGAGCAGGTGCTCACTGTAGAAAATAGCTAAGGGTCCAACTTCACCTGTGTGTTAAAATGGATCCATTAGATTGGGGTTAGGTTGGACTAGGGGTCGGGGAACCTGTGGCCCTTCAGATCAGCCCCTGCCAGCATGTCAGGAATGATGGGAGTCCCAGTCCAGTGATACCTGGAGGACCACAGGTTCGCTATCCTGGCATTAAATTAAAGCTAGGAATATGAATACTTTTCAAATGGGACTTGTGCCAGTACTCCTACTGTGCCTGTGGTCCTGAGTGTTCCCTTTGCTTTTTCTTCCTTTTTTTTCTTCAAGCAAGCCTTGGCCAGTATCCTCCTGGCCACGTCTGGGACAATCGGCTTCATTTTTTAAGGTGGCATTTTTCAAGAGACAGCGTGTTCTGAGGTTCCTCTCTGATCACAAAACAGCTGGCACTCTCCGCACAAATTTAGCAAAAAGCCCAGGTTAGATCAAAATGATAACGCAATTCACCCTGTCAAGTCCTGGTTATAAATCTGGAAGGACGTGTACTTTGGAGAAAGGCCTGGAGGAGCCTCCTACCACCACTGCTTTTTTGTTCTTGAGCCAAATCATTTACAAGTGCGAAACCCAAGGGATTGCAGTAGCCTGGGACCTGATAGGATAGGAAGAAGCACTTTTAACTGTTGGAAGGCTGTGGGGACCTTTGAGAGGCCTCCTACCTGAAGCTGAATAATCTCCTTCCATGTCCAGGAAAAATATTTCCAATATTTAAAGTGCCAGGTGATTCTTTCTTCCATTTATTTCAGGAGCAAGTGTCAGATTTGGTTTGGGGTGCTATGTTGATGTTCAGGACAGACAAAACTGTAGGTGTCTTTATGCAATGCATAATGAATTTAGTTGCACATGACGTGCTGACAGTCCTAACGGTGTAAATGGATAAGACCACTGTTCTTCAGCTTGGGGGATTTGGCCTGATCCAAGATGGCTCGCAGCAGGAGCACTACCACCATGCAAATACATGATAAAAGATTAAGAAATGGGTCTCCTAGGCATGTTTGGGTTAAAACTTAAAATTGTATCTTGGGTCTGAAAAGGTTGAAGCTAAATGGATTGGACATTTCATTTCATTTTCCTTTTAATTTGTATGCTGCCTTACTATATTACTATACACAAGGCCGTTTGCAAGCTGAAGAAACAACAGTCCAATATAATACGTCAGGCAGGTATAGTATTAATTGTTCTTGCCAGCAGCTTTTAAACTGTGCAGCTAAAAGTGGGAGCTCTACAGTTCAGAGATCAGAGATGGCACACCTGTGCAGGCCAGGTGTTGGGAACAGATACAAAATGATCACGGGGGTAGAGCAGCTCCCCTGTGAAGAAAGATTACAACATTGGGGGCCCTTTAGTTCAGCCAAAAAAGTGACTAAGAGGAGATACAATAGAGGTGTATAAAAATGATGCATGGTGCTCAGAAAGTGGGTAAGTTTTTCTCTGTCCCTCATGATACTAGAACTCAGGGAAAACCAAGGAAGATTCAGGACAGACAAAAGCAGTTCCTCCTTCACTCAGCGCATAGTTACAAACTATGGGATTCGTTCCTGCAAGAGGTAGCGAGTGCCACCAACACATATGGCTTTAAAAGAGGGTTATTTACGGTATTTTATTTCATAACATTTATATACTAATTGGTTGTAGAAGAAAAACCTCAAGAGCTGTTTACAAAAAGATAAAACAATAAAATTATCAAGAAAAAATTGCAAGAGCAGTTTAAAATGTACAAAAAGTTAAAATAGTAACAACAGGTATTTATTAGAGAAATTCATGGAGCAAGCCTATCAATGGCTTCTAGCCACAATGGCTATGTTCTCCCTTCCACTGTCAGAGGCAGTGTGCTGCTGGCTACCAGTTGCTGGGAATCACAGGTGGGGAAGAGTTCTGTTGCACTTGCATCATGCTTGCAGGTGCCCCATAGCCATCGTGTTGGCCCCTATGCTAAGAGAGTGTTGGATTTGACGGGCCTGATCTAGCAGGGCTCTCCTTATGTCCTTGTGTCTTGTTTTTCAACTCCCCAAGGGTATCTGTACTTTCCTATGGGTGACTCTATCTTCTGTTGGAGGAATACAACCCAAAATTTCATAATCTTTCATCCATATACAAAAAGTGAATTATGGTTTAAGGAACATTATACAGATTTTGTGTGTGTGTCCTTGGTTACTGTGATATTTTAAGCAGAATGTCAAATTATGCGAGAAGAGTGTCAAATTATACGAGTGAAAATAATGTAGGAGGTTGAACATTGAATTGGAATTTTATATTCCTCATAATTAACAAACTCCATTCTTCAATAAATTTGTTTGGTGCACATCTTTCAAGATCTCTTTTATAATGTATAAATGTTGCGACAACGCTATATCATATATCACATGTTTTTTTTGTACCATTGCAAAATGTTAACCGGTTTATCTGATATCCAGATTCTTGCTGTGACTAGTCTGCCTGCAGTGATCTCAGCTGTTGCAGGTTCCAGATCTTTCTTGTTTACTGTGTGTTTCAGATATCCCAATAAAGCAGACAGTTTCTTAGGTGTTGGCATAAAAATATTTTTTTCCTTTGTTTTGCCGGTGTGATTTGCCTCCTGCCCAGTCCTTCTTAAGCATCTCTTGTGGGTTTATGTGATATTCTTGTGCTGCTTTTCCAACAGCAAATATTGAGCTCAAAGCAGCTGATAATACCATGAGCATGAAATTGATTGTAATAAAACCTCACAGCGGTTTACAAAAATAATAAAACGATAAAATTATTGGTAAGAAAAGAAACCTATTTAAAACATTCAGAAATAATTAAACAATAAGCTAAAAACCAGATTAAAACACGTCAACATTCTGTGTGTCTAGGTAAAGGTAAAGGGACCCCTGACCATTAGTTCCAGTCGTGACTGACTCTGGGGTTGCGGCGCTCATCTTGCTTTATTGGCCGAGGGAGCCGGCGTAGGCTTGCCTAAACAAAAATGTTTTTAGCAGAGGCCAAAAACAGTACTGTGTAGGGGCCTGCCTGATGTCTATAGTGCTGCCTCACTAAAATATCATTTTCTTACAAATGTACAATGAGTATAAACCTATAATGGTGCCAGTTCCACATCGGGCTGCTGATTTAATAGTATCAGCTGCTCTGAATCTGAGAGAGAATTTCAAGGGCTAGCATGCTTGCCCACCATGTGCATATAAACAAAGAGGTAGGTAACATCTTTAAAACAACCTTAATGTATTTGTAAAGCAATCAGGAAAGAAAGGGGGAAGTTGTAAAATACACAGTGCAGTATATCAGTGAGCAAACAAGGCCTTATTCTGCTTTTGTTACTCATGTTACTCAGCAGGAGGAGGAAGGGACGGAGCTTTTGAGATATTAAGGCAAGGGGACCACACTGAAGGAATGCTGTTTTGTCTCTCCTGTTCTCATAATGAATGGGTTTGATGTATCATTTACCAAAGGGCTGGGGAATTCTTTGGCCCTCCTGGGTTTCAATGAACCCCTGATGTAAGTTGAAATCCAGCAGCATTTGGAAGGCTATCAGCCATAAGTTTCCCGTCCCTAATTCTTGTATGCTATCTATGCTTTGTGGTTGCAAAGGAGAGCTGCTTTGCCGGAATGACATACAGTGCATTGTTGAAGTATGTGAGTTGAATAATAGACGTTTCCTAATAAAAATGTAGGTGCAGCCCTGCTAGATCAGGCCAAAGGCCCATCTAGTCCCAGCATCCTGTTCTTGCATTGGCCAACCAGATATCTATGGGAAGCCCATGCATTTAATGCATTTTAAGTACAGTGGTGCCTCGCAAGACGAAATTAATTCGTTCCGCAAGTCTCTTCGTCTTGCGAGTTTTTCGTCTTGCGATGCACGGTTTCCCATAGGAATGCATTGAAAATCAATTAATGCGTTCCTTGGGAAACCGCCTTCAGACCCGGCCCGGGGACAGTCGGGCCCCGGACCTCTTCTGAAGGCTGGGGGGGGGGGCAAGGGCTTTTCTTCCCACCCCCAGCATTTTAAAAAACCCCGGGACAGCGGAGGACTTCTCCGCTGTCCGGGCGATCTTAAAATGCTGGCGGGCGGCATTTTAAAATCACCCCGGGACAGCGGAGGACTTCTCCGCTGTCCGGGGCAATTTAAAGCCCCTGGGAAGGCAGGCAGGGGGACAAAGACTTTCGCCCCCGCCAGCCTTCAGAAGAGGTCCTGGACCTCTTCTGAAGGCGGGCGGGGCGAAGTCTTGCTCCCCGCCTTCAAAAGCCCTCCGGGACAGGCAGGCAGGGGGAGCAAGGACTTTCGCCCCCGCCCGCCTTCAGAAGGTCTTCCCTCCCCCGCCCGGCTCGGAGCACCGTTCCGAGCCGGGCGGCGGCGGCAGGTGTTCCCTCCCCCGCCCGGCCGGAGGAGCCTTCCGAAGCCCGGCGGCGGCGGGAGGAGGTGTCCCCGCCCCGCCGCCAGGCTTCGGAGGAGGTCCGAGGACAGTGGGGAAGACGCGCTGCGCTTCCCCGCTGTTCCTGAGATTTCCCTATGGGCTGTCGTCTTGCGAAGCAAGCCCATAGGGAAATTCGTTTTGCGAAGCGCCTCCAAAACGGAAAACCCTTTCGTCTAGCGGGTTTTCCGTCTTGCGAGGCGTTCGTCTTGCGGGGTACCACTGTATATCCTTTTTTACACATGGATATGGAGACAAAAACTGAAAGCATTTAAATGCGAGAAATACACACAATATCAATTCTGTATAAAGCTATAGATTCATTTTGTAGAGTTGTTGTTTTTTATATTAAAAAGTTAATGAATTTAAATGCATTTCCCCCTTTGTTTTAAAATGCTTGTTATACCTGAATCATTGTGTAGGGTGTAGCTGCAATATGACTTTGCTCTGAGCTGTACAAATCATCTCTTGGGGCCTGTGAGCAATGAAAGGACTTGCTTTGGAGTTCTTTGCTACTCGCAAGTATTCCATGCTGGTGGGCTTGGAACATAACCTAACAATTTAGGAAGAGTCCAGATGCATCAGGCCAAAAGCCCATTATAGAACAGTATTTGTCATCTAAGTTGGTGACCATCACTACCTCCTGTAGAAGCACAATCCACATTTTAGCTGTGCACTGTTGTCTGTCCTGAACCTTTGAACATTCAGCTCCACTGTATGTCCTCGAGTTCTAGTATTATGAGAGAGGAAAAGAAACTTTCCTCTACAGTGGTACCTCGGGTTACAGACGCTTCAGGTTACAGATGCTTCAGGTTACAGACTCCGCTAACCCAGAAATAGTACCTCGGGTTAAGAACTTTGCTTCAGGATAAGAACAGAAATCGTGTGGCGGCAGTGGGAGGCCCCATTAGCTAAAGTGGTGCTTCAGGTTAAGAACAGTTTCAGGTTAAGAATGGACCTCCGGAGCAGATTAAGTACGTAACCCGAGGTACCACTGTATTAACTTTCTCTGCACCATGCATCATTTTGTTCACGATTCTGTCATCTCTCCCCACCCTTACTTGCCATTTCTCTAAACTAAAAAGCTCCAAAAGTTATAACGAAAGGTTATAACTTTTGGAGCTTTTTAGTTTAGAGAAATGGCAAGTAAGTGAGAAGATGATAGAGTTTCTCTGTTTTCCCCTTGATCATTTTTGTTTCCCTTTTCTGAACCTTTCCCCAGATCTACAATATCCCTTTTTGAGGTGAGGCAACCAGAGCTGAACACAGTATATTCTAAGTGCGGTCTGACCGTAGATTTGTATAATGGCATTATGATACTTAGAGCACTGGCTAAGCTTGTTAACACGGTCTGCAATTTGCAATGATGCTGCCAGGATTGTCTTTGCCGTCCTTCCAACTGTACTGCGCTGTGCCCTTTCCGCATGTGTTGTTTTCCTTCTCTGTCCTGTGACGGCGGCGCAGCTGACAAAAGCTTTTCCATCTGCTTAATTCTCTTTCACTGCAAGGAGAAGGGGTGGGGGACTATTTTGAAGAGCTCTTTATGCATCTTCCATCTAGCCAATTATTATATTAAACTCTAGGGCTGAGATGCATGAATTAATTAAATTTCCATCTTTGCTTTTTAAAGCGAGGGAGGTTGTTGGGATAGCATCACCCTTCTCTTAAAAAAAATTCCTTTGCTCTGTTGCCACTGGTTCAGACGCTAGCCTAGTAACTGAACTGTCCAATGGTTACAGAATGCGTTGCTGCAGCTTCTCATCGTTTAAGCTTGAGCTGAGCGTGTGTTGCAGGATTGGAGAAAACTGGGGCAGCACATGGGGCGCTGGAAGGCAGTGTTAACAGCCGGTGCACAGCGTGGACTTGATGCCAGCGGCTTTGGCGGTGTGCTCCAGGACTCGGATAGCTCACGCTAGATAACTGCATTGCTGTGGTTTGTGTTGCTTTTCTTTCCCTTTAGAAATACTGTTTAAATTGTGACACTGGCCCATGTTAGGACCATCTAACAAGCTTAGCACAGAAGCATACAGCCAAGAAAGTCATTAAGAGAAAGACAAAGCATCACTGCCACTAGAACTGCCCTCGCCTCCAGCACCTTTCACCCTTAGCATCAAAACCCAACACAAATTAGAAAGCTCTGCCTAAGTCTTAATTCTCCATTGCTACTGCTGTTAATGCTGTTTTGCTCATGGGTCATTGGTGGAGCATCTGCTCTGCACCTAAAAGGTCCCAGGGCCATTTCCTGGCTGCTTGGGCGGGGGGATCCCTTGGAGATCCACTGCCAGTCAGTATAGACTGCAGTGGTCAGCAAACTTTTTCAGCAGGGGGCTGGTCCACTGTCCTTTAGACCTTGTGGGGGGCTGGACTATATTTTGGGGAAAAATATGAACAAATTCCTGTGCCCCACAAATAACCCAGAGATGCATTTTACATAAAAGAACACATTCTACTCATGTAAAAACACGCTGATTCCCAGACCGTCAGCGGACAGGATTGAGAAGGCGATTGGGCTGCATCCGGCCCCCGGGCCTTCGTTTGCCTACCTATGGTAGACTGACAGTCTGACTTGGTACAAGGCAGCTTCCTGTGTTTCTGCTGGCAGTCTGGAATGCCAAGCTGCAGTTTGTTCACTAAGGTCACTGAGAGTCAGGGGGAAGTAAAAGTCCCTGGCTGTTTCATTAGATAAGCTCTTTCAAAAGATCTTTGCATGGGATCCTGCCTGAGGCAGTAAGCAGATGATGAAATAAAACTTTCTTGCTAGCTTGCGGTTCTGTAAGTGATTTGAGTCTATCCTGTACGAGAAGCTGCTTGAATGTGGCAGTGGTGTACTATGCATGGAGCATGGACAGCTCTGGACATTTGCAAGTACATATCTTCTGCAATAGTGAGTTAGTGGTGGATTTATAGTGGACCATCCACACATACATCATTCAGCTTTATTAGTTACTCTGTAGTGCTTCCCCGATGTTAACACATCATTGCCCTGCGGAGGGGCACACTTGCGGTATAGAATAACTTGCGCTGTAGAATAACAAAAGTGGGACAAAAAAACACTCTTCTGTTTATTTCACACCTTGCTAATCAGTTGGGTGCTATCCCATCCTCTTTTGCTTATTGCTAATTGCAGCACCTGACCACGCTAAATAAAGATATTATACTGCTTGGCTTAAAATAAGCTGTTGAAGGAGAGAGGAAGGATGAGAGGACAGAATGGTAGGATTTAACTTTGGTTTAAAGTAGGGATGGGGAACCTGTGGTCTTGCAGATGTTGCTGGACTACAACTCCCATCATCCCTAGCAATTGGCTATGCTCCCTGAGGCTGGTAGGTATTGGAGTCCAACAACAGCTGGAGGGCCACAGATTCCCCATCTTGTATCAGTCAATGCAGAACTTAAATGTGTTTGCCCAGCTGGATTAAATTACTATCCCCTCTTCTTTTGCTCTTAAAAATCTCCTAACATGTAACCTGAGTAAGGAGTTGACTGCCAGGTGTGGGTCCTGATTTGGGAAGTGAACCAGCAAGGTGAATGGGAGGTGTGATGGAGAGAATGCCCCAGGTTCCCTCTGTTGGTCTGTCATTTTGACAGCTGTAGTCTTAATAATTCATGTCATTTCAAAGCACACGAGTAAATGTTGCAAAGCACTCTTAGGTAACACGGGACTTCCTATGCCGTCTCTTGGAACAGTAAGAGAGACAATGATAGATCCTTTTGTATTCTGGGTGAATTATTCACATAAAGACTTTTTTAATGGTTTTGAATTTTTGAAAAGGAAGAGCTTTGGCATGTAGCCTTCAATCTGCTTAATAGGTATTTTTTTAGATTATTGCCAGAGACCGGGGGGGGGGCAGCATTTTAAATTGCAACATATGCTCACTCCAACTTCAGTGTCTTGTGGTATCCTTTCCTATTTTCTCCATAAGCTTCTTTAACAAAAGATGAGCCTAGCAACTTGGGGTTCAGGGTAGCAGTACTCTGGTAGCACAAGTGAGCCTAGTCACTCTGTGTTCTGGGTAACAGTGATGCTTCCTGGATCCTCCCTCTCAGCTGAATTCATCTAGAAACCTTAACGGCACTCTCACTCTGTCCTTTGCTTGGGATTATGAGGTTTTCCATGGGGTGGCAGCAGTGCCAGCCCTACCATTGGGCAGAGTGAGGTAAGCTAGTTTTCTCTGGCTTTCCTAGCTTAGCCTTGTGCCTTAGTACAATGGAGGAAGTTGTTGCATTACCAGTGAGATTCACCTGTCTCCGTTCAGTCAAATTCTTTTGTATGTGAACTGGGGAGAGGGGGGTTGACAGAGAGAAGGGGGACATCCAATGAAGCCAAGTCTTGGTAAATTCAGGACAAGCCAAAGAAAGTACTACTTCATGCAGCACATTGAAATTCCTTCCTCCAAGGTCTAGTGATGGCCAGCAACTTGCACAACTTTAAAGAAGGAGTAAAAACATCATGGGGGAATAAGGCTATCAACGGCTGCTAACCCTGATGGATATATTCTGCCTCCACTGTCAGGGGTGGTATGTATTTGGAGTGTTAGCTGGTGAGATTCACAAATGCAGAGGGCTTCTCACAGGCTTCTGGTCGGGCACAGTGAGAACAGAATGCTGGACTGGCCCTGCAGAGCTGCTCTTGCATTCTGATGACAGGCCCTCTCTGTTTCAGTTGCCTTTGAGCATCATTTGGTGGAAAGATGGGGTGCAAATACAAATATATTATGGAAGAGTGAGGGATGGAGTTTTCTTCCTCAAGGACAACTCCTTTTCTGCACCCAGTTCTGTGCTCCAGTACATAGCCTGGGAATCACCATGTGAAGGCACAAGCGTTCAAAGGATTTCACTAGCTTGAAATATACCACCCGCTGTGCTGATGAGTTGCTGTAGCTAGGCGATCGCATGGAGGCAGGCAGGCAAGCTTTTGGCAGGGTGTCACGAGATAGGAATGATTTACTGCCACATTTTTACTGCTGTGTCTTTGTGACATCTAAGCAATAAAAGATAAGTTGGCATGCCTCTCTGGGGATGTTGCAGCTTATCTCTTGGAACCGTGTGCACCTGGGTATGCAGAGCTTTCGTTGATTATGCACACGTGCGCAACGTGGTTCCTGCTCTAACAGCATGTCCTCGGCCCATTTCTTCAGTGAGTGCTTTCTTGAAACCAATCCTCTTTCACTCTTTGTTCTCCCTCTAGGCCAGAGGTAGCCAATGTTGTGCCCTTTCTGGCCACTCTGGCTAGACTGATGGGAGTTGGGATCTGATGGGAGCAGGTTAAATAGAAGACACCCAATGAAGCAACATCTGGAGGGCACTGTGTTTAAGGTGTTGCCTAGTCCCAAACTGAAGGATTATCAAATCACACCTTTCTGAACAACTGAAGCCATGCATTTGCAAGTTAGAAAAGCACTGCTGGATCAGACCAAGCTGGTTCCATCTAATCCAGTCTCTTGGATTATTGGATGATTGGCCCGTCAGGTGCCCCCAAGATCCTCCCCCCTGCAAAAAAGGCTCAGCAAATTTGCCCAGCAATCACAATGGGTAGATCACATCCAGTATTTTTATACTGTGAGTAGATCACAGTCTTTTAGGAGTTGGACATGCCTGCAGTAGACCATCCTTGCCTTTAGTTGGTTTCCCCCAGCAGTTGGCATTCACCTGGATGTTTTTATTTAGCTCTTGCGGCTACTTCCTGTCAATTTCATATTTTCATGAGAGCCGCTGCTGCCTCTTATCAGATTGCACTTGCGTAAATATCATTTCCTGTCCTCTTGTTGTGCAAGATCCCTAAAGTATAGTGTTTACTGTCTGTTTGCTCTCCTGCCCTGGTTTCCTTGCTCTGCATTCAATGTTGTTTCCCTGGCCAGAAAAAATAAGGCTCCTTCATTTTCCGGGAAAACATACATACACACACACAGAGAGAGAGAGAGCGTGCTGTGTCTCCACCTTTGCCAAACGCTTCTCAGTGTTTGTTGCTATTCTGGAATCTTGCACCCTGCACATATCCCAAGGCTGTTCTGCCTCTGGCCTGTGTCATGCATGCCACACCGGAGGCAAAACACACCTCGCCGTGGATGGAGAGCAGCTTCAGTATTGTGCCTTCTAGCAGACATCCACTTCCTTTCTGCTCAGTGAGTGTTGTATCTCTCCCATCAGTCAAAGTGCTGGGCAGATGACAGCACATGCCCAGATGACCAGCTTCATTGGCTAGGAATTGGGGGAGGGCTGTTAGTGCAGGAAGCAAACCAGGTTTTGCACACCAGGCGAAGACAAGCCCACACCTTCTCTTGTGTGTACAGCAGCATAAAAAAATCACCTACTTGAAATGCAGCAGGGGGGAACGACCTTGTTGTTTTAAGCCACTAATGTGCACATAGCCCTGATCTCCCTGGTTCTAGTCCAGCAGTGCAACCACAGTTGTTTCTATTCATGGGGCAATCAAAAGTAAACAAACAAAATGTCCTGGTAACTTCTATGCCTCCTCATCCCAGAAGAGCCAAAGGGATGAAAATCATGTCCTTTGGTTGCTCCCACAGCCATTGACACTTCCATGCCCCAAGTGGCATTGCAATAATCTCTGGTGATGCGATGGTTGCGAAAATGTTTTAATGCTTTAGAACCTCTAGTGTGATGGTCATGATACGCTTCCTGGTCTGAGGTTTTAAGTGTTTTCCACTGAATGCTTGCAAAACAAATATGCCCGACACACCCAAGACCACAAGCCGTGGCATCCGCATTCCTGGCAGATGTCAAAAGAAGACAAAAAGAGATTTTCCTAACCCAGATACCACAAGATTACTCCCCCCTGGTTGCTTTGGATCTAGAGACAATTCTAAGAGTCGTGATGCGATAGGGAACTTGCTCCCACACATGGCAGTAATGGCCATCAACCTAGATGAAAGAGGAGTAGGCAAATTCATGATGGCTACTAGCAAAGATGTCTATGCTCTGCCTCCAAGGTTGGATTCAACAAAGCTTCTGAATGCCAGTGGCTGGAAACTACAGGAGGGGAAGAGTGCTTTTGTGCTTGGATGCTGCATGTGGGTTTCTCACAAGTACCTGGTTGGCCACTGTGAGAACAGGATGCTGGCCTGATCCAGCATGGCTTAATCTCTGTTTTATGTTAGGGAAAGGGCTTCCCACGTATTCTTGTTTTTTGTGGACACTAGTATAATCTGGCGAAGTCCCCACTTAGTATCTGTACTCTGCATAACTGGCTGTGCTGGAGGCAAGCAGCCTTAGGTAAGGTGCAGTTGCTGTCTTTGGTAGAGATCTGTAGGGCAAGGGTGGCTAACCTGAGACATGTAGTTCAGCAACACCTGGAGGGTCCCTACTATATGGTGTTCATAATTCTACACAAATACAGAAAGAAGGGCAGGATTTAGTTTTGGGCTGCAGATTTGGCTTCCCCCTAAAAAAACCCACCACCCTAGGTTATTACATTTAAAGAGTAAGAGTGGTAACTAACACTAAGTAACATCTCCTGTCAGAGCAAGGATTTTGGCTTGTGCAAGAGGGCTTCCCTTCCTTCACCCCCTAAATTTGTTCTAGTGGTTCCCCCAACTCTCTGGACTAGATTGGGGGAAGTATAGGGGGAGGAGACATGGGGAAGATGGAGTCCTATTGTGCAAAACAGAAATCATTGCACTGACAGAATGGGTCCCCTAGATACTGCCCTGAGCTTCCAGCTGTTAAGAAAAATCCCTGGAAGTGATTGACAGTATGTGGGAAAGAATTATGGTGACGTAGAAGCCAGAGAGGAAGCAGTACGTGGTTTCAGTTGTTCAGGAGTCATGATACTTTTTTACATCTCCAAAGTCTAGAAACAGCATTATTAAAATTGCTGGCTCATATTTCTCCTTCCAAACTGAATGAGCAACACAATAATAAAAGCAAAGCAAAGTAAAGCATCGTGTCCTAATTTGTGTAATTTGATAGCTTTCACAATAAATGGATATTTCCACCACATGCAAAAGAAAAAAAGGAAACCATTTTTTTTTTTAGCTTGCATCCTCTTCAACAGCCATGGCCTGAAGCAGCAAATGTGGAAGCTTTGCTGAATCTAAGTGGGGCCCTGCTTAGCAGGGCTGCCTGGAAACACTGTATAGTTCTCATTGAGCTTCTCAAGGATTGTGGGGCTATGAAGGTTAGAAATAATTAAATCAAGCCGTTTAGTACCTCCTTTACAAGGTAGATTTTAACATCTTACACCCTATGCTCCAAACTCTGAGAAGCGTATCTTTCTTTCATGGGTGGCGTCAGGTTTGAAGGTTCTCTAAACAAGGACCCCCTGATGTTTTTCTTCAACCAGTGAGCTGTATTTGTTGGTTTTATTTGGTGGCAGCAGTGAGGTAGCACTTTGAGCAGTACCAAGCAGCTGAGTCTAGCCTTCGTTTTCATTTCCCATAATGGTTCCCAGCGTGGTGGCACTGCAGGGCATTATGGGAAATAGTGGCCCTAGAGCAGAATTAATTTTAAAGGGCCCCTCAGTGGTGGGCCTTGTTGGCGGCCCAGCAACTGCCCACGGATGCTGGGTGCCAGCACCAGCTCTGCTTCTTTCTCTGAAGGGAACTAGGCGAACAGATGCATTCTCTCTTCAGCAGAAAATCCTTCACCTCTCCTTGAGTCTTTATCCCTCTCCAAGGGCTGCTACTAGGAGGCTGACGCACAGCTGCCTGGCTCTTTATTTTGGCACGTTGAAGGGGGAGGGGTTGAAAACACTTCCAGAGTCTCATCATGTTAGCTATGGGCTATCTTTTTTATTTCCAAGGCCGCTTCAGTATAGGGGGTGTGGGTGTGGGAAAGAGAGAGAGAATGTGAGTGTGAATGTGTGTGAGAGATAGAAACTGAATGACAGCAAACATAAAATCAGAAATCTAATCTTTCCCTGGCGAAGTTAAACTGCCTTAGTGTCAAATATCAAATAATCCTTTTTGGCTGCTGATTAATGAGTGAGTGGCCTCTGTGGAGGTTTGACTCTCTTATAGAGCTGGGCAGATCTTTGCTCAGCATCCAAGCCTTGTAGGGATGGGATGCTTCTAGCATGGCCTCCACAGCTCAGTGGTAGAGTACTTGCTTTGCATGCAGAAGGACCCAGGTTCAATCCATGGCCTCTCCTGTTTGAAGGATCTGGTTTTTCAAAACACCCTTCTCTTCCTGAGAGCCTGGGAAGATTCTGCAGTTTGGAGGAGGCTCGATGAACTGTTAGCCTGACCAAATCTAAGGTTTCTGAAAGATTATTTCCCCCATGAAGCTCGCTGTGTGACTTTGGGTTAGTCATTATCTTGGAGCCTAACCTTCCCTTCAGGGTTGTTCTGTGAATCTATGCGGGGAAAACGGGGAAGGAAGAATCCATATATGCCAGCCGACTTGAGCCCTTTGTAGAAAGGCACACTATAAGTATGATTAATAAATGAATAAAGTACTTCCAGGCTACTTGGAAACCTGGACTCTGACCCACATATATCTAAGGCACCTTTCCAAAGATAAAATGGAATATTTGTGCACTTAACAGCTAAAATGTTGGGGAATGAAGGTATTCATAAAGGAAGGGGGTATTCCAGCAGAGAGCAGCAAAACAGCCACACCTCAGTTGCTGGGTCTGGGGGTACAGCTGCCTCTTGGATTTAGGGCAGGGGGCATTTTGCCTTCAGCCCAGAGCCTGGATCTGTGTGGCGGAAATGACAAGCTTCATTTCCCAATGTGTTCGGGGGACCGTGTTAGATTGCATCATGCCATGCCCAAATGAAGTTAAGAATTGACCGGCTGCCTCTTCATTTCCTGCCCTGATGGCAACTAATTATTTTTATTAGCCTATAAAGTTCCATGGCCAGATAGAAATGGGAAGCGGGCTGCCTGCCTCGCTTTTCTTCTTCCACAGCTGCAGCTTTTATTAATTTCCCAGAGGAAGAAAAGGTATGATGCGTGTAAGGATAGAAGGCAGATAGCGGAGCATCACTGAATAAAAATAAATGAGGAAGGTGGATTCTTCTCCTGTTTATGTTGAGGGATATTGCGAGTAAGTGCTGGAGAAATTGTTCTGTATGGGGCTCAGAGGTACTTCAGATTCCATGTAGAAGACAGAGATGAACATAAGAAGAGCTTGCTGGATCTGGCCAGTGGCCCATCTTAGGCCAGCAACCTGTTCCCACAGTGGCTGACCCATATATCTCCCTTCTCACCCTCTCAGGTGCTACGATCGGCAGAGGGGGCCCTCTTGGTAGTTCCTGTGAAGCTGGGTGGTGGTGATGGCCCAGGAGAGTGCATTCTCTGGGCAGCCCCAAAGTTGTGGAACTCTTTCCCTACTGGGATGCGCCTGGCACCTTCACTGTACAGTTTTCGCCAAATGCCTTTGACACTTGAGAGGTATATTTTCAGGACTCGCCCTATTCTTGTGATTGTAATTTGTTTTAATGTTGTATTTTAAATTGTTGTGGCCCACCCACCCTGGAACAAGCCCTAGAATTCCCTGGGAAGAGGGTTGACAGTTAAATCACTCTGGAATTGTAGCTCTGTGAGGGGAATAGGGGTTCTCTTAACAACTCTCAGCCTTTAATGTAAATTGCAGATGTGACTTAAGTCTCCTTCGGTGTTTTTGTTTGTTTGTTTGAAGATTCCTCAGCTCCTATTCTTCTCCTTCCCACTTTCTACCTTCACATCATGTGTTTAAAGCACTATTATACCACTTTAACACTCATGGCTCCCCCCCCCCAAAGGATGCTGAGAGTTGTTTTAGGAGAGCCCCATTCCCTTCATGGAGCTGCAGTTCTCAAGAGTGTTTCATCAATCTCCCCCTTCCCAGCGGGACTCTGGAAGCACAGAGGGGAAAAGGGGTCTCTCTCTGGTCACAAGGCTGCAGGCAAGATAAATCAAGCCTGCTCTTGAATTTCACCCAGAAGAAGGAAGCAGGTAGTGATAGGATTTTATTCTTCTTCCCCCCCCCCCCCCCGCCTTTGTTAAATGTCACTGAATATGAGTCACCAGGAGTATAATTTTCCCTTTCTGACGTAGATGCAGCAGATTTCTCTGCAGAATCTCCCTCCTGCAAAATGAGAGGCTGCTGTGTTTGCATTCAAAGCTGTATGCTCATGCTGTGTTGATCCCCTGGGCTTAGCATGGAGATGCCGTTCCTCCTTGTAAGTTGAAAGCTGGCGTGTGTGTGTGTGTGTGTGTGTGTGTGTGTGTGTGGAATTTTGGGCCAGCTGGGCTGAACAGACTGCAGGAGGATCAACAGTGCTTGCAGCCTGCTTTGTATGTAGGGGCTGCCCCCAACCTGCTTATCTCATGAGGGGGCAGGTCTACTGGTGAGCCCCTGCCCCCTCCAAGCACACCAACTGGGGTGTGTGTTTGTGTGTTCAGGTTCCCTCATTCCCACAATTACAGCAGCTGTGGTCCCCCCCCCCCCAGTGGTGGTTTTCCAGCAATTGGATCAGCTTCCTATAAAGGCATCCAAGGTGGAAACTTCAATTCAGAAAAACCTCACATAAGTCTTGCAGAGCAGAGAATCCAATAGTTGCCCTCCTTGTTCCCTAAGCAATTGTGTAAGGTGCTAGGAATGTCAGAATATTCCTTCAGAAACGGAAATGTTAGCAGACATTGCTGAAGTTTTCATGTTCATTAAAGGTCAGGAATGGCAATCTTGCAAGCGAATATAAGTGGTATTTCATAGAATGGTAGAATTGGAAGGGACCACAATGCTCATCTAGTCCAACCCCCTGCAATGCAGGAATCCTTTGCCCAGCGTGAGGCTCCAACCCATGACCCTGAGATTAGGATTCTCATGCTCTACTGCCCGAGCTATCCCAGCTGCTAGTTTGCTATCCCAGCTATCCCTACTGCTGATTTGATTAGTGCTCCATAAGCAATATTTTCTGCATTGTTTGGACGATTCACTTTCATGAAATTAAGTTGTAACTAATTACATCATTAACTACTTTCATTTCAACCGTAGCAGATAGCAAAGTGAATCACAAAGGTTTTGCCAGAAGCTGAACTGTAGCGGAATGGAAACACCACTGGTTGCAGCTAAGACAGGACAGGACAGAAATCACTACACCCCTAAGGGTAGGAGTGCTTTCTGTCTTGGCTGGCATTTCAGTATTGCACATGTGGCCATATGTTCTGGCGTACACTTTAATACAGGGTGAGTCCTTTAAAGAGGCCCCGTGAATACAGAGTACACATGTTTCACGGGGCCTCTTTTAAAAGACTCGCCCTGTATTCCTCATGTTCAGCTCATAACATTCCTGTATGGTAGGCCACTATTCTCTAGGGAATAGGGAGAAATACAGTTTAGTTCACATTTTGCTAAGCCTACCTAATTTGCATTTCCAACAATAATATGTGAACCGAAAGGCACTTGTCCTTCAGACTTTGCATTTCTCCAAATTTTGCAGTGCATGCTGTTTTCCAGCCAAACAAGTGTGTAAAGAAATGTGTGTTTATGGGGAAAGTCTGAATAGAATATGATATATATATATATATATATATATATATATATATATATACACACACACACAGTACAAAAATGTATTGTACAGTATTAGTGGAAATTACTTGCAATATTGTGTATATTAGGAAGAATTGCATATACAAATGTCTTAAAAGGGTAGAGATAAAGGACCCCTGACAGTTACTAGAACAAATGAGCACTAAAATGCTGGCAATTCTGCCCTCCCCAGAAAAATTGCAAATTGATGTGGAAATGTGATGGGTTTAACCTAAGACTGTGAAAAATGATAAACTGTGAGGAATTGAAATTGGACAGATTCATCCATTTTGCAGATGGGAAACTGAGGCTGAGACTTGCCCAACCTCACATGTTGAGTCCTTGGCCACAGTGAAGACTGGTCGAGGTCTCCCATATCTGAATTTGTTCACCGTATTGCAGGAACATAAGTGTTTATATTACTCCCCCTTTCCCTTCACCATAAAAAGACTTGCCTCTTGAGGATAGCCCTTTTATGTTTTAGAGTTATGTGGCAGAAATGGGCCGTGGAGCCAAATGCCAGGAAAGGCAGCTCACCCACTGGCTTATTTTAGAGTTAGCAATGCATCTGCCTCGCTCCATTGATCTGCGCGGGAGCAAACTGCCTGGAGACTCGTGCAAAGTGGTCCTTTGCTCCAAAGGAGAATAGAGATGTATTTGCCGGCAACACAACTTAGTGCATTCAGAGGAACTGTTGTAAAGCATCTCCTGCAAAAAAGAAAGAAAAAAAGGTTGTGGAGGTAGTGGCTGGGAGAAACCCCTGAGCATTGATCTTGCCACTAAAGAGAGGCTGAGCACTGTCTCCTGCCATCCCCAGGCAGTCCATTGGCCATGCACTGCTGGCTCATTGGAGATCATAAGAGGCGGGGGAAACAGCTGACCTATTGGGACTAGGGAGGGCGTGTGTGGGTGTGCGTGTGGCTCCCTTGGCAATAAGGTGCACAAGGACTGCGATGTGCACCACACTCCAGCGACGAATGGATGGTGATGGTTGAGTTTCTCAGCGAGCTGCACTGAAATTCTCCTCCTCTTTCCCTCCTTCCTTGTCTCAGCTGAAGTTCAAGTGACTTTTATTTGTGTGTGTGCATGAACACACATCTTCTGAGTCTTTCTTTTTCTGACAGCAAGTGGATGAGCAGGTAATCTTGTCGGTCTTTACTGCGTAGGGCTTGTTGTGCAAGATAACGGGAGGTTTGTGCTGTGCTTTTAAGTTCTCGTAAAGCTCCAAGGGGTGCTTAATTCAGGACACATTTCTTGGGCTTCAGGCTGTGTGAATTTCATTCCTGCTGCCTTTCATAGGTGTTGGAGATTTCAGAGATGCGCAAGGCGGTTGTGCCTGCAGTTATTATGGAAAGCTGATTAAATGGAAGATGACTAGCTTTCTGCAATACTTGCAGTGCTCTGTATTCAGAGGTCTCCTTCACAGGCTTCGTCCTGTTTTTGCCAGTTGAAGAAATTATGCCTCAGTAACTCTTGCATTCCTTATCAGCACTTTGGTATCTAAAGCTCTGGGATTATAGACCAAATGAAAGTGTTTTATGCAAAATAAAGTATTCCATTGATGATGTACAGAATTTGTGTGAACTCCTTCTCTCAAATCTGCTTCGGGTTTTATATTTACCCTTTTATTATTCTTCCCTTTCTTTCTTCCCCAGTTCTTCTGTATTATATATCACCCTCACTTTTACCTTCTTTGCAAATACTTACTGTGTTTTTATTTGAGTTTATTGACTATTTTGCCGCCATAATTCATGGTGCAGGGATTGATTTCCACTGGCTGGTTCACTTTCCAGGGTCTTTGAGATGGCCTGTGTTTTCTGGAGAATTGTGGGGGGCTGGGATGCTCTTTTGGGGGTTTTTAGGAACTGAAATTCCTTGACGGATGTGTCTTAATTGCACTTCATTCTCCTTTTCCTCCACGCCCTGTTCAGTCAAGCATGCTGGCTATATTATCATTTGAATATATTTGTTTTTGTTTCTTTTTGGAAGATGCAACAAAAGCTATTAATACCAGTTAAACAAAAACACACTGGCTGTATGAGAGAATGGAGTTTCAGGGTGCAAGTGTTTTGCATGGGGTGCTTCTCAGGGCTGAAGGAGAAAGTGCCGTTTCGAGATGCTTGGCTCATCACCTGCTGAAATTGCTGGATTCATCTTCATGGCTTTTCAAGTTGAAGGAGGGCTCACATCCTGTCAGAAGCAAATAACAGGTTCCCTGGAGCTAGCAGCTGCTGTGTTGAGTCTTTGCAGTGCTGCTGCTGCTCGGCCCCTCGTTCCACAGGAAGGGGTGCAATTATATGTAATGAGGACACATCACAGAGAAAGGGAGGGTGCTGGTGGTAATATGGGGCCTGCCAAGTGGAGGGAGGTGAGAGGCCGGAGCCCAGCTGGGAAAATAATATATTGCAGTTGACTTGGGAGGGAATAATTTTTGGTTCTTAAAGCAGGCTTGCTCTTTTTACAGCAAGCAGCTGCAAGTGCCACAGGAGCAGGAGCACCTGCGGGAAAACCGCTGGTGAGCAGCAAAAAATTAGGTAGAAGGGAAGGGTGGGCGTTAGGAAGGGAATAGTTTGGGTCTTTGGGCACTTCTCCATATATGTAAAAGATGGTGAAGTGCAGGCTTGTAAGGCCTTGTGGAAATCAGATCTTGCTTTTCACTCCTGGATTCTGGAAACAAATGCTTTTTCTCCATTCCCCTCCTGGGCTGACATTAAGGATCTATGACCTTCCCAGATGTTGTTGGACTACAACTCTCATCATGCCTTGGCTAGCATGGGTGATGGTCAGGGACGATGGGAGCTGCAGTCCAATAACATCTTCAGAGCTACGGATTCCCTGTCTTTGAGTCATAGGTTGTGCACACACCATATGTTTAAGGCACATTCCCCAAACCCACCCAGAGTCATGGGAATTATACTTTGCCCCTCATGGAGCTACAGTTCCCAGCACCCTTAAAACTACAGTTCACTGGATTCTAGGGGTGGGGTAGAGAATGTGAAATACATGCTGTGTAAGCAGCCATAGTGAGTAAATTGGCCTGTCGGAGAGGTGAGACCCAAATCCAAGCCTCTCAGCTGCACATTATGTACATTTCCGACGGGCATATCAGCCGCCCTTTTGGATTAGATCATTCTTAAAGCTGCTCTTCATCCTGCAGTGTTTCAGCTTTCATTTGGCACCCGTCTATATTGAGCATCTGCTGATGACAGAGCTGTGAACGTGAGAAGTTTAAAGTTAGAAGCTTTCCAGGGCAAAGTCCCCCCCCCCCCGAACTTAGCAGGGTGTAACAGGGTGGATAAAGTCATAGCAAGGATTATTTGGTGACACCTTCTCTTGCAGAGGTCCCTCTGTCCACTGTCGGCCAATCAGCCAGCTCATTCTGAAGAATGCTAAGAACTTAAGAAGATCCTTGCAGTTGGATCCGTCAAAGCCCCATCTAGTCCAGCATCCGGTTCTCATAGTGGTCAACCTGATGCACCAGCAGGAAACCTGCAAGCAGGACTCAGTTGTGCAACAGCATTCTTGTGATTCCCAGCAGCTGCTTTCAACAATGGAGATAGAACATAGCCATCATGCCAGTAGCCATTGAAATCCTCCTCCTCCACCACCACAAATTATTCTAATTCTCTTTTAAAGTCATCCAAGTTGGTGGACATCACTACCTCTAATGGGAGCAAATTCCATGCTTTTACCATGCAACTGTGTACTTTCTGTTGGCAGTCCTGAATCTTCCAACATTGAGGTTACCACTTCTGCCTACATGCACCAGTCGGTTAGCTTGGGCTCCCTTTTTATCGCCATGTAGGGCACAAATGTGCTTCCGGGTTTTTTTACAGCATAATTATGCACATTGCGCGCACAGCCTGAGCTGAACGGAGGCCATTCGTTCTGCTTAGGATGCCTGGCATTCTTTTTGAAGTTGCCATCTTGGGGAAAGAGGATGGGAGAAAAGACCCATTTAAATACAGGTTGTGAAGGAAGAGAGACAGCTTAAATTGCAGCTGTTGTGCTTGTGATACAGAGTCCCATCTCACTCTTTTCTGCCCTGTCGCCTTCCCTCCTTGCAGCAGGGTCTTCTGTAACTCAAGGTTTAACAAAGCTGGGAAGTGGAGAAAGAGAGAGAGGAAAAATCCTGCAGCCAGGAGGATCGAGACAAGAGTCAGTGCCCAAGCCAGGGACCGAGATGGGGAGCCTCTGAAGAACCCTTCCCAACCTTGGACCCTCCAGGAGTTCTGAACTAGAACGCTCATCAGCCCCAGCCAGCTCTGCAGGTTGGGTTACTGGGTTTTGGAAAAGCCTTTTTGGTGTTATCTCTAATCTTGGTCATTCACTGAACTCAAATAATAATAATAATAATAATAATAATAATAATAATAATAATAATAAATTTTATTTATATCCCGCCCTCCCCAGCCGAAGCTGGGCTCAGGGCGGCTAACAACAATCAAATAATCAAACAATCAAATAATCAAATCTTGTTCTGCCCCTTATGGGACCAGCAAAGTTTAGGATGTGGGTCTTTCCAAGAATCTAATGCAACACAGAATGGTTGTTACAGGCCAAACTGAACACAATCATTTTCTATATAAACAGGCGCTATGCTATGTCAGGCCTCCAGCTGCTCACACAGGGGGAGGCTGTGTCACAGACAGTTAAAGCTTTAAACGTGCATTCAATGATGTAGTTATTTGACAGTGTCCCCGCTTTGTTTTCTTTCTCATATGAGACAGGTGTATGCATGTAACACCCTACAGGGTTTGTTGAAGTTGAACAGTGGTGTTTTATTATGAAACATTCTACCCAAAAAAGAAGCAGCAGCCTTTCCAACCTGGCACCCTCCAGGGGTTTTGAGCTACAACTCCCATCAACCCCAGTCAGCACTGCAGGGTGGGGAAGGCCACTGTACGTAAAGACTAAGAGTTACTGCCTTCTCATGCATTCCTGTGTGAGTCATTGTGGGGCTAAGTAAAACAAGGACCACCCATTTCTGTAAAGCTTCCTCATCTATAAGCAGCTTTGACTCGCCACAGGCGACCAGGGGAGTGACTATGGTACAAGTCCAAAATTTACAAGGAAAATGTAGTGCCTACATACTGGTTGGCCATTATGAGATCAGGATGCTGGACCAGATGGGCCCATTGGCCTGATCCAGTAGGCTCTTCTTATATTTTTACTGATTTTACTGTAGAGGGGAGAAGAAGTGAGGCAAACTGTAAGCAATCGTGGTGTAGCTTTTGGGTCTCACAGGCAATATATGAATGGTTGGGTTTGGACCATGCGACTTCAGATTGCAGGCAGGATCACATTTGGTTGAATGCTAATCTTCATAAATAAATATTTCCTGCATGTAGAAAGGTAACTCATCAGGAGGAAAGGTTCTAGCATATCCCTTTCCCTCTGACATGCATATTTTTGACAAACTGGTGAGGCTGTGATGCGACATTGACAAAGCTGTGTTCATTTTGGGGTTACCCTGTGAAAAATGGGATTCTGAACTGGACCCCTGAATTCATCCTTAATAGATGTACAGCCTTTATTTTAACACCCCGTGCACAAAAACAAATCAAGTATTTAGTTCTCAAGGCTGCAGAATCCAGCTTCAAAGTGTATGAGCAAAATTTGCTGGAATCTTGCAAGGGGGAGGAAGGAGGCAGCTGCCATGGCCTAATGATCTGCAAAATAAATTATGCAAAACATGCTTGCTTGTTAATTTGAATATTTTTTGCAGATTGCAGAATTTAGACTTAAGAGGAGGAATTTTTGTGTTCTAAGTCCTGTTTTAAAAAGGTTTATTGAATTCCTTTACTAATCCCTTGACGTCTCCATAAAGATTGTGTTTCTGCTGGTTTGGCGCCACATTTAATGCCATGGCTGATCACTCTGGAACCCTGCAGCTGGGTCAGCAAGTTTTCAAATCCTTAGTACAGAAACTGGTGGTGGTTGGAGCCATTGCGGTTTTTTCACATTGTGTTTGATTTTAAGAAACTCTGGCGTGGGTGGCAGGTTCTCATTGCTCTGTTAAGAAGATGCAGCTTCCTTGCAGGCATTGATCAGGTGTACTACTAATGGGGGTGACTCCAGCTTCTGCCCTTTCCTGGAAAACATCCAGAGCTTCAGCTGGTATTTTCCTTAACTATCTGGGCTAATTCGGTGTCAGTCTTGGTTGGGCTCTGCGTCCTTAACCCCAGATATGCAGTCAATTAGCTGATTACAGAGGAGTCGCCTGTTTTAATTATTTCAGCTGCTCAAAGCTGTCTTCCGGTTACCATTTTGGAAAGCTGCTGTTGCTGTAATGAAGAAATGTGTGACTCTGGATTTCGTTGTAAATTGCTTTGCTACCTTAGGTATAAGGTACATTTTAAGACTCGCCTGCCAGGTCATCTAACCCCATAGATATGCCCACCTCAACCTCTTTGATCTGCAGAACTAGTGCAGTGCCACATAATACTTGTTCCTCATTTGTTAAAAAAACCAATGTTTTAATGTGGCTGCACCTACACTTTGGAACTCCCTGCCTATTGATATCAGGCAGGCATCTTCACTATGCCCCTTTTTTTTAAATGATATTTATTAAAGTTTCCAATAAAAAGAACACATAAATACACAATTCAAAAATACACAATACATAATCCAAAAAAGAAAAAAAGAACAAAAAACAAAAGACAAAAAAAAAACAGTTAAAAACAATATCACCTTTTCATCTCCATTTACTTATTTTCTGGACCTCCTCATACCTCCCTCTTTTGTATTCCAGTTCAAATTGTTTGTCCAGCAATTTCTTTCCCTCTTTTTTTAATCCCAATCTTTAATCTTAATATAATATAACATTAAAATTTTACCTCTTAAAAACCAAGTTTCCATTTCCTTAAACTTTTTTAATCCTAATCCTTAATCTTAAACTATCTATAACTTTAAATCCTGTACAGCTGGAAGCCACTTATTTTCAATCCAACATCACTCTAGCATTCTTTAATTTTACAATGTTTCTGCAGATAGTCTTTGAATTTCTTCCAATCTTCCTCCACCGACTCTTCTCCCTGGTCACGGATTCTACCAGTCATTTCCGCCAGTTCCATATAGTCCATCAGTTTCATCTGCCATTCCTCCAGTGTGGGAAGCTCTTGTGTCTTCCAATACTTTGCAATGAGTATTCTTGCTGCTGTTGTTGCGTACATAAAGAAAGTTCTATCCTTTTTTACCACCATTTGGCGGACTATGTCCAGGAGAAAGGCCTCTGGTTTCTTAGGGAAGGTATATTTGAATACCTTTTTTAATTCATTATATATCATTTCCCAGAAAGCCTTAATCTTTGGGCACGTCCACCAAAGGTGAAAAAATGTACCTTCAGTTTCTTTACATTTCCAACATTTATTATCGGGCAAATGATAGATTTTTGCAAGCTTGACTGGAGTTATGTACCACCTGTATATCATTTTCATAATATTCTCTCTTAAGGCATTACATGCCGTAAATTTCATACCTGTGGTCCATAACTGTTCCCAGTCAGCGAACATAATGTTGTGTCCAACGTCTTGTGCCCATTTAATCATAGCCGATTTTACCGTTTCATCCTGAGTGTTCCATTTCAGCAGCAAGTTATACATTCTTGACAAATTCTTAGCTTTGGGTTCTAACAATTCAGTTTCTAATTTTGATTTTTCCACCTGGAAGCCAATTTTCTTGTCCAATTTAAATGCCTCCATTATCTGAAAATAATGAAGCCAGTCTCGCACTTTGTTTTTTAGTTTTTCAAAACTCTGCAATTTCAGTCTATCTCCATCTTGTTCCAAAATTTCCCAATATTTCGGCCATTTGACCTCCATATTGAGCTTTTTCAAGGCTTTCGCTTCCATTGGTGACAGCCACCTTGGGGTTTTGTTTTCTAATAAATCCTTGTATCTTATCCAAACATTAAACAGCGCTTTCCTGACAATGTGGTTTTTAAATACTTTATGTGCTTTGACCTTATCATACCATAGATATGCATGCCATCCAAATACATTGTTAAAACCTTCTAGGTCCAAAATGTCAGTGTTTTCAAGAAGCAGCCATTCTTTCAACCAGCAAAAAGCTGCTGATTCATAGTAAAGTTTGAGGTCTGGCAGGGCAAATCCACCTCTTTCCTTTGCATCCGTTAGTATCTTAAATTTTATTCTGGGCTTCTTGCCCTGCCAGACAAATCTAGAAATATCTTTCTGCCACCTCTTGAAACAATCCATTTTGTCCACAATTTGCAAAGTTTGAAACAAAAACAACATTCTAGGCAATACATTCATTTTTATCGCAGCAATACGGCCCAGCAGTGAAAGCTTCAAATTTGACCAAATTTCTAAATCTTTTTTCACTTCAGCCCAACATTTTTCATAATTATCTTTAAATAAATTCCCATTTTTGCTGTCATGTTGATCCCCAGGTATTTCACTTTCTTAACCACAGTCAAACCTGTCTCATTCTGAAACCTCTCTCTTTCAATCGGTGTTAAATTTTTCTCTAAAACCTTAGTTTTTAACTTGTTCAATTTAAATCCTGCCACTTGACCAAATTCTTGAATCAGTTCTAAAACCCTTTTAGTACTAGATTCTGGCTCCTGTAACGTCAGTACTAAGTCATCTGCAAATGCTCTTAGTTTGTACTGTTTGGCTCCGACCTGTATACCAACCGGTCCCTTCTAATCATATTCAGCAAAACCTCCAGGACACTATGCCCTTTTCAGTGCCTGCATTTAGGCAAGTCTGTCCAGATATGTAACAATTAGCTTATTGTTTGTTTTAATTACTTTTGCATGTTTAAAATAGTTGTTTTTAATTTGTTTTTACTTACAATTTATTTGTTTTATTTTTGTAATTAATTTAAGGTTTTATTTGGGGGGGTTAACAGTCAAGCAGCATATAATTTTTTTGAAATAAATAAAGTAAATCAGACCATTTGTTGGAAGAATGTGAAAACATCTCGCTGTTGTTTGAAGTCTTGGGATCAGCTGATGCAGTTTGGGAGATGAGGCATACAGGGGTTGGTTTTGCAATGGATGTGGGCCAGGATTGCTGCTGAGCCAATAGAACAGGGATGGAGAGGGACACATTCCCTTGGGGGCTTCCTTTTGGGGGAGTGGGGGCATATGCCAGGGGTGGGCAGGGCCCAGAGGTATATATGAGCAGAGCAGTGGGCGTGACACTTACAGAAGGTCCACGCAGTGTAGTGGTTAGTGTGTTGGACTAGGAACTGGGTGACCAGGGCTCAGATCCCCACTCAGCAGTGAAATGTGCATTGGGCCAATCAGTCTCTTGGCCTAACCTACCTCACAGGGTTGTTGAGAGGATGAAATGGAGATGGAGGAGAACCATGTATGCCGCCTTGAGCTCCTTGGAGCAAAGGTGGGATGTAAATGTAAAAATAAACTAAAATAGGCTACATTCTTGCCATGCAAAAGCCAGAGATTTCAACACTCCCCCCCCCCCCACAAATGTACATGCTCGTCTCTTTGTTCTCCACCCAGTTCCCCACATCTGCTCTGAGATCCTTGGCACAAGAGTGGAAAGCCAGAGTATATTAAAATAATTGGTGAAGTGGAGAGTCTTAACAGCACTTTGGACAGCTCCTGCAGTATTTTTTTTTTTTTTTGGCAGTATTTGTTCGAAGCATAACAAAGTGCAAGTAACAAGTAAAAGGACTCTCTCTCTCTCTCCCCCTCCCCCCCCCCTTAGCATAGGGATAAAGTTGACTCCATCTAAAGTACAGTCCAACTTGTCAACTCTTTGCTTAGCTCAAGGTATTGAAGCTTAAGGTCTGGCCAATCTGCTGGAGGAGCCACCAAGAACCCCTCTTGGCTATCTGGCCTGAGTGCTGAAAGACAGAAGGCTCACTGTGCTACAATTTGGATGCATCCCGAGCAGAACTTTGTCTTTCATAGATCCTGAAACTAAACTTGGCACTTCTCCTGCAGTCTTGCAGACTCATTCTTTAAACATTCTTATAAGCACTGAACTGATTCAGTTGCACCCTAATTAACTAAGTGCAGTTTGCAAGGGGAGGAGGGGGAGCAACAACTGTGAAGGACACCTTGAAACGGGATTTATGAAGTAAGGCAGGTTCATTTTTGCATCTTCTAGTCATTTGATGAAAATAATATGGCAGTATTTTATTTATTTGTCTCTATAGAGCTAGCATGAGGTAGTGGTGTTGGGATGGGGGACATTTTGGCTCCGTGGAGCTGTTCCTTATTAGGATGGGCCTCAGGGGCCAAATTTGACAGGAGGGTGGGGTTGCTCACATGTCATTCACCTGGTGTCACAAAGGCGTCAGGTGATTTGGCACTTTGAGTCCTAGAGTGCTTGCTGAAACAGAGGAAAAGCCCTTTTTTAAGCTTGCAAAAGCCCTTCCTCATCAGGAAGGAATTTGCTCTGAATCCTGCAAAACTGAGCAGGAATTAACCTTAAAATCACACAAACCTTAAACATTAGCTAATGGGGGGATTTAACCTGCTATAGGGAACTGTTGCGCAGAGCCAGTGCAGAATTGAATGCCACCCACATGCCCATTGGAGTGGCATCGGCTGATTCAGAGGTGGGCATGGTTTTGAGAAAAAGGACTCATGGGCTAAGTTGTAACCCCTGCTGGGCCAAGGCTGGTCCTTGGGCCAGAGGATGACCACCCCAACTCTAGTGTTTTGACCTTGACTCAGAACCTCTGCATTTTTAACCACGCAGAGCTCCACACAAAAATGGTCTCAGGCCTTGAATTGCTGCAAAGCTTGGCCTTCAGAATTTTTGACAAAGGAAAGCATGTGCAGGACTTTAAAGCCTGCAAAATTTTACATGGTTTGGGAAATGCGATCTACTCAGGAGCCTATTGATCAAGACTATTGGGTCTGGGGAGATAGGAAATCTTTTGCAAGCTCAGACTGCAGCTTATGCGGGGAAATGCTGTTTAAGTAAGTGCAACGCAATCTTGGATGCGTGCCTTCAGAAACAAAAAACAAAAAAGTATTTCTGTATAATTGCAGTCATCCCCCCCCTTTTTCAAAAAAAGCATATGCCTGTAAGTGGTTCAATGGATTCTAATCAAGAGAGACTGTTTTAAAGAGGCTGCTTTGCTCCTAAGCACTCCATAAAAGTTTGTTCTGTCTCCATACTTAATTGCATTAAACAAATGACATTTGCCAGCCCTGGGAGGGAAGTTTCAATCTGCATTAAACTTAACTCATAATTTAAGTGTTCATCAAGTGGCCAAATGCCCTATTCATTCTTTCCCTGGGCCGCCGTGGAAGTCCTTGTCTGGAATAGTAAGTCAAAATATGTGGCAGGGGTTGCCAAATTTTCTGTGCAGTTACAATGTGTGGCTCTTGCTGCTGAGATTATTGTTGATAAGCAGAGTTTAATAATTAATTATTGATAATGAGTTGCTCTGTGTTTGCTTTTTTTCAGATGCCTTGAAAGAGCCTAGGATAAGGAGTAGGCTTTGGTTGGAAGTATACCAATCACAGGCTCTGTATTCTTCTGCTCGTCTCCCAATGGCCTTCACATTTTCCTGATAGCGAAATTAAGCCACACCCTCCGCACCCGATCCATGGTATTAGGCCCCTTGAGCCATAGAGGCCATGAATGTCCCTGTGGGGAACCTCATTGACTTTGACTCCGAACCTTCCACCACCGACACCTCCGAATCCGTCCCTGCCGCTCCTCCCTCCACCAATGGCAACGGGCTGCTGGATCACCTGGCGGGCGGCACGGCCGCAGTGGCGGAAGAGAGCGACGCGACGGAATCTGCCGACAGCGAGAACGACACAACGGACTCGCCCACCCATCACAGCTGGAACAACCACCGCCGCTCCTCCTCGGAGTCCTACTCATCTAACCAGAGCACAGAGTCCGCCAAGGACGAAGTGACAGCAGAGCAACGGGAGTTCATCAGGCAGTACGTGGAGAAGATCTTCACGGGAGGGTGAGTGTTTGAGCAGCAGGATGCTGTGAGCAGGTGCATGCTGGGGTTGTGGGATCGTTGGCCAACTCTCTCCCTGCAGGAGGTCCCCAGTTCTTTTTTTACACTGCAACTCCCATCAGCCCCAGCCAGCGTGACCATTGTTCAGGGATGCTGGGAATTGCAGTCCAAAACATCTTGAGAGGCACCATGTTGGGGAAGGCTGCCATAGAGCTTCTTTGAGCTTTACGTTGCTCAGACCAATCCAGAGCAACCTTAAATGTAATCTAGGCAACCATTCCCCATTTCCCCAGATTCACCCCCTCAAAGACTTCATTTGCTGGCTAAAGTACCAGGTTTTTCTACCATGACGCCAGTTTCCAACTTGTAAGATGGAAATAAACAGCCAGTATTATATCCAGTCAGAGTAGACCTACGTAAATTAATCAGTCAATGTTAGTTGTGTCTCCTGTTTTTTAATGGCGCTCCTCTGTGTAGGACTAACTCAGGGTACAATCCAGTGCACCCCAGAGGGTGCTGGTGGGCAAATGTTTTGTAAGGCCAGGAACCTGAATTTCTTTCATTGCATCCTCTTTGCAGAAAGAGGGGGAAGACAGCTTGTGCTGGATCCTTCACTCCCGCCCTGCCCCCCCCCCCGGTGCAGCAAGCCCCCTTCCCCCCTCTGTGTTCCCGTTGAAAAGAAATGTTGGCTGGCTGTGACACATCTCTCCCACTGAGTCATGCTTCTCTCTCGACTTAACAATTGCTGCCTGGGGACTTTGGGGCTGCATCACCCAGATGCAGAGTGGAGGCTTCAGCTGCTGCAGCTGATGTTGACTCTCTCCGTGTGTGTGCTTTTAAACAATTCCATTTAATTTAAGCAGTTTAGCAAATCTGCCGTGACTCACCGTGGCCCAAATTAAAACGATTTGAATGTCAGCACTGGGGGCAAGTGCCTTTCCGTTTGCTCCCTCCCTGCTCTGCTGCGTGGCCAGTTTGGGGATCAGACCCCAGAAGGAATGTTCTTGTGCAAAACTGACATTGGCAGCTTGCATAATCTCCGTTCACAGTTGAATGTTGCCACTTGGCGAGGTGGCCTGCCCCCTGCATGCAAAAAGAGAAGAATGGCAATGCTCGAAATCAAAAGCCTCAAATCCTTTGTTAGTCTTGCTACACGTTTAATAAAAATAAATAAATAAACTGGGGGGGGGGGGCGCATAACCCTTTTCAACCTGAGGGTCATATTCCCTTCTGGGCAATCTTCTGGGGGTTGCGTGCCAGTGGCAGGCGTGAGTGGAGGGTAAAAGTGGGCAGGGCAATGAATGTCAAAGTCGCTTTTGTGTACTAGGTTAGTCTCTGCACAAATTCATGCACCCCTCCCTACCCTCCATCCGTGGAAGCAAGAGGCATCAGCAGAGTTCAAGGACAAAATCCAGCCTGGCAAAAACACTCAGGGAAGGTGCAAAGTAGAGCCAGTGAGGGGAGAAGTGGTGTGGCCTGGGGAGACTTCCAAGGGGTCCCCTACTCCTGCTCAAAAGGATGATTTATTGACATGTGTTAATTCCCTGTTGGCTCCTGATAAAGAATATTGGTGCACTTTCAGACTGGTAAGAGCTGAAGCAGTTTACTTGAATTTATTTCCCCTACCCCAAGTTCACTTTTCATTACGTACTTTTTTCTTCCTCCTCTAAAGTTCTGCCTCCCCCTCCATTTAGTACATTGAGCCAAACGAGTTTAGTGCCACCTGGTGGCTGAAGGCAAAACCACAATTCAACAGGAAACCACTGCGTTTCCCCTAGTTTTGTCGCAAGTCGTAACATAAAGGAGAAACCAGAAGAAAAAGAGCAAATGGCAACAGCAAAATAAAAGAGGACAGTGATGCTCTGCACATACAAAATCAGATAAAATTTGTGTGGAGGATGGATTTCATAGGCAGCCGCAAATCCAATCAAGAGTGAGGCACAATGGCAGATTTACAAGCACAAAGAAACCAATGGTCCTTTCTCTTGTGCATGTTGATCTGCCATCATTGTGAGGCACACCTAAGCATCTTTTTTGCATACACAACATCCCTGCTTCAATCCCTAGCATCTCCAGGTAGGACTGGGAATGCCACTGCTGCCAGTCAGTGTCGACAGAACTGAGCTAGAGGGATCAATCGCCTGACTCAGTAGAAGGCGGCTACTTATGTATTTGAAGGTGTAGAAACTATTGCGCTTTTAAATGAAAGTGAAAAATGAAATGTTCCTGTATTCCTTGTGACAGCCTTGCAAGGTAGGCTAGTAATGACACTAAGCTCCTAAATTAGAAAGTAAGCTCATTGGTCAAGGCTTATAGTACACCTAGTTTTTATGCTTATTACTATTATTACTACATTGCAGAGTGGTGACACTTGAGAGCTGGCAGAGATTTGCCTACGGCCCCCTGGCAATTCTTGCCTGCAGTGAGATTTGCTTTGGGGACTTGCCAGCTTATAGTCTCAGCCCTCTGCATCACACTTAGTGCCAACTTGTTTTGTTTTGTATCTTTGTGATTCCAGAGAGGAATTTGACCAAGAGGAGAAAGCCAAGTTTGGAGAACTCTGCAGTGGGGAGAATGCAAAAGGCAGGGAATGGTTTGCCAGATACGTGAGCGCTCAGGTAAGGAGACGTTCAGGGTGCAACTCTGGCTGGTGTGGATTGTGCGCTCTTGAGGCCCTTTGCTTTTTGTGCTTGCATGTGCCTCTTGACACCTGATCACACAATCAAAATAGTGGGCCCTATTCCTAGTGGAATGCACAGGGCATTCCAGGCCATTTCAGAGTCACCTTTTGCTTTATTGCATTGCTGTATTCCTACATGGAACAGTCTCATCTGCATACCATCATTTTAAAAACCCTGTATAGGGTGAAACTTTTTCCAGGTCAAACAGAAGCCAGATTTGCACAACTTCCTGATTGGCTAGACCTTATATCAGTGGCAAAGCTACCTCCTCCCTTCTCAGAGCAAGGCTGTGCCACCAGGCTGATTGGCCAGCTCTTGCAAAGGCACCTTCTGAGAACAGCTTTTGAACCATGACAAGCACTCAGAGGGAAGAAAAAATGGAAAGCAAAGCAGATGGCCTGCCTTAAAGCTTAGGCTGGAGATGCCTGTTGACCCAGAGGCTGTATGTGCAACAACAGAGGAGCAGAGCTGTTTCCTCCACAGCCAAAAAAAATGTAGAACGGCGGCCCTACATCTGTTTCTAGGTACATCTGTTTCTAGGTACATCTGTACCCAGTCTTAACACTCTTGACTTTCCCTGTTTCCTCACAGCGCTGCAATTCCAAGTGTGTCTCGGAGCAGACTTTCTATCGACTGGTGCAGTCCTTTGCCGTGGTCCTCTTTGAGTGAGTAACAGCAGGCGTCGGCATGGAGGCCACAGGGTCTTCTGCCTTTACAGCAGGGGGTGGGGAACTGAATCCAACTGGCAGGTGGGATTCTTCCTTCCTCCACCTCTCCCCGCAAGCCACCTTGGACAGTTGAGTGGGGCTGATGAGAGGTGTAGCTCAAAACATCTGGAGGGCATCATGGTGGCGATGGTTGCTCTAACCACTGCACCACTTGGGCAACTGGAGATGAATTGCACATGGCTGTGATCCATGCAGCTCTCCGTAAAAGCCATGCATAGACCCACCTGGATGTTCTTCAGTGCTGGCAGCGAAGGCTGGTCTATGTACACCACCTTGAGATCCTTGGAAGATAAAGGTGATAAATAATAATAATAATAATAATAAAATTTATTTATATCCCACCCTCGCCAGCCGAATCCGGGCTTAGGGCGGCTAACAACAATAACATAGTGCAACATTCTAAAATCATTTCATTCTAAAATTAATTCAAATCAAAATGATGGCAACCATTGGGCTAGAGTTCTGTGAAGATTGCCAAGGAGGGAGTCAGGCTGTGCCCTGGCCAAAGGCCTGGTGGAACAGCTCTGTCTTGCAGGCCCTGCAGAAAGATGTCAAGTCCCGCAGGGCCCTAGTCTCTTGTGACAGAGCGTTCCACCAGATCGGAGCCACAGCTGGAAAAGCCCTGGCTCTAGTTGAGGCCAGCCTAACCTCTCTGTGGCCTGGGACCTTCAAGATGTTTTTGTTTGAAGATCATAAGTTCCTCTGTGGGACATACCAGGAGAGGCGGTCCCGTAGGTACGAGGGTCCTAGGCCGTATAATAAATGAAATGAATAAATATTAGGGAGAATGGGCACTGCCCCACTGAATTCCATTTGCCTTCAGCCAGCATCCACTGGCCTTCCTTCCTGTTTACAATATATCCAAGGGGTGGCCCTGGCAGTCTGCTTCCTCCTCCTTAGTCTCAGTGTTGCCCTTGTAGAACGCAGCACGGAAGAGAACGGGGGGAAACTGGAATTAGTTGGTTCTGCCCACTCCACTGTTGGACTCCCTACATTCGGCCCCATGGACACTAATCACCACTGAGTGTTGCTCTGTTTCTTCTTTATATTTCAGCAACTTTATTCTTTCCTTTTTTTCAGGTGTTACCAGATGGATGATTTCAGCCCTGCTAAGAACTTGATGACCATGTGCTTTACCTATTACTATATTGGTAAGGGGCAGTTCCTTCTTGCTGAAATTTCTTTGTGGAGTGAGAAAATGTGCTGGGGCAATTTGTTCGTCTTCAGCAAAGGAGCAAGAATACCTTGCAAGAAGCATCTCTATAGGAATAGCATCCTGGGAGTCGTTTGTGAGAACCTCCGAATGGTGAAGCAATCCTTTGCATTTGACCCACCATTGCACCCAATGTGTTTTGATTACACACAATTTTGGCTTTGGGCACAATCCCCAGAATGTAACATCTGCATAAGTTGCAGGCTTACTATAAGGTTTCAGAAATAGATGAGAGCCAGGAAGCATAATGATTTTTAGCTTCTTGTTGGTTGCTTCCATGTTACCAACCATGTGTCCTGGTTTTCGACATCCATTTTTAAGTGTGACACTAATCACTGAGGGCTAGTATCTTGCTTTTTAGTTAAAAAGCAAAAACTTAGGGTGGGGGAAAGAGAACAAAGATCGAGCATTGATCTTTAGGAGGAGTGGTGCTCCTTTAAGTCAGGAGTGGGGACCACTTTTTTTAGCTCAAGGGCCACATTCACTTATGAGCAACCTTAAGGGAGCCCTATGCCAGAGGTGCATGAGGCCAGAGGCTAAAGTGGGTGGAGCATCAGGTATTATTCTTACCTTGCTGCATTGAAAAGTCTGACCCAAACACCTGTCTTCCATCTGGGCAAGCAATGGACATTGTTACAATTCAAGAACACATTCCAGTCAGGAAAATGCTCTTGAGGAGAGCACGGAGCAGGGCCTGGGAGCGGTGAGTTCTGAGGGCCAGATCGAGAGGGCTGGAGGGCCACATTCGACCCGCGGGCCTCAGGTCCCCTGCCTTACTCCCTCTGTTTCTCTTTCCTGCTCCCTGGTTGCATTTTGGTAGGTAAGCCCCAAGCGCTGCCCATCGAGTCCAAGGAGAAGCCCACTGGCAGCATTGACTCCTACCTGAAGTCCGCAAACAGCTGGCTGGCTGAGAAGAAGGACATTGCGGAGCGGCTCCTGAAGAACACGTCGGCGAAGACGGAGAATGTGAAAGGCTTCTTTGGGAGCTTTGAAAGCAAGCTAAAGGGGCCCGGGCCCAAGAAAGCTGAGTGAGTCCAGTTCTAGGGGCAGCCGGATTTCCCCTGCACTGTGTTGAGACCATCCACAGCTCCTTTAGTGGAGGCACAAACCCAGACCTGGCTTAGGTACCCCTGAGCACCACTGCCTCTGCTCTACTCAAGATAGTCTTGTTTATATGCCGCTATCGGTCTTGGTCGTCCCAGGAACATAGGAAGCTGCCTTGTGCAGGATTGGCAGTGGCTGTCCAGGATTTTAGACTGCAGCTTTTGTCTGTCTCCCCTAGCCCTACCTGGAGAGACTGGGGATTGAACCTGGGACCTTGTGCACACAGAGCAGATGCTCTGCCACTGAGCTACGGCCCTTTCCCGCTTTATTAATTAACTGGTTGATTCAAAGTCACCCACCCCACCCCCTTTTAGGGCAAGTCTTCATAGCAGGCTAACTCGGCTTCATCTGTGTTGTAGTAAGACTATACTTCTAAGCAATTCATAGAACAAACTACTTGCAGTGCTTCCAAACTCCCTCCCAAAATGATGTAATGTTTAACTGAATAGTACCTGTGTGTTTGCTTCTAGGGATGATGAAGGCAAACCAAGAGAGAGAATCCACAAATCAGGTAAGCAGCAATAATAATATGTCTATGCTGTTGTTGTTTAAAAATCTGTTTCTAATGCTCATAGAGAACAGGTGTTTCAGCTTCTGGAGAGCTGGGATACCTGGCAGGAATCTAAGGCACTGTCTGGTCTTTATCTGAAGACTGTGTAGATGTGTATGCACAAATCCACCCCAAATATCAAATATCTCCCCTTTGCAGTTTCCCTGTACAGTCCTGAAGAGGAGGAAGAAAAAATAGGAGAGAAGATCTACCTGTACATGCACCTGAAACAACAGCCCATCTGGTAAGAGCAAGTTCAATAGGATGACTGGGGCACTGCCCCACCAATCTAAGCGTGTCCTCAGCCAACCCCCACCTGCCTGCCTTCTTACTTACAGCCAACCAACCTGGTGCAGCCTGTCAGCTCCCCCATTTGTTAGTCTCAGTCAGGGGTGCCAACTTGAATAAAATATTGGGTAAGCCCCGCTCCACATAATCACAAGATGCGGTGCATGCACACCATTTGAATAGCAATGCCCATGATTTGGGGGGGGCAGCATCCTCAAATATTTTATGGGGGGCAAAGGGACCTCAACCCCTAGGAGTTGTAGAACCCAGCAGGGAGGAGGAGGAGGAGGATGGGGCCTAAACTAGAATGAGTTGTCTCTGCCTTTCACTGGCTCTGGCGCCATCTACTGTTGGCCTCCCTGCCTTCTGCCTCACCTGTCTCAGTGAGCACCAGCCACCACTGGTATAACCTTATTATCCTGAGCCAGCTGCACTCCTGAGCAGGGCATTGAAGCAGGGGAGCCACCTAGCGTGCCCAGCCATAGCCCTCTCTGGCAGAAACCACCCCATTCCTTCCCACTTCCTAGCCACATTCACGAAAACATACCCTGCAGTTGATACAGGCTCAACACACACACACGCACATCATTTCCTCCCCTGTTCCCTAGGCATACCCTGAGGTTTTGGAATGCGGCTTTCTTCGACGCGGTTCACTGTGAGAGGCGGAAACGGTCTCCCACCACTAGGTAGGACTTCGCAGCTTCTTCTTCTTTCTTTTTTTTCACAGGAGAAAGGAAGTGGGGGACACGAGGGGTGGAGGAGAATAGGTCACAGTGCTGAAAAAGACTGCCTTTTTTTGTACACAAATGGTTTATTTTTCTGCTGTTCTCCCACTTGTCAAGCAGGCCAATGGAGCTTTTAAAGTTCTGCTAATTTGATGCAAGACTGGGTTTATATTCTGTAGGGAGGAAGCTTTTCTTCCCCAGCCCTTGGAAGTCATCCCCAGGGTTTTAGAGAAGCAGAAACCACCCAGCAAATGCAGTTTGATAACAACATCCAAGGGGGAGTCTGCCAGGCAAGAGCTTAAGGAAAGGGCAGAGTACTCCCTTTCCCCCCTTCCTGCTCTCATGTTGCTTTGTTGGGTTGGGGAGGTTGAAAACAACTAATTTCTCTCTTTCTCTTTCTTGACGTCTTTAATCTTTTCTTTTCTTTTTCTGGTCAATTCTTTCACACTTCCTCTCTCTCTCCATCCATACTTCTTGCATGACCTTAACATGTAACCTTCTGTTGACCCTTTCTGCTGCCACTCCAGAGGGAATGCTGGAGAGGAAGAGGAAACGAGGTGTGTCTGTCCGCATTTACTTTCTTACCTTTTTATGCCAAAGGCTCATTTTGGGTCCAAAACCTGCCACCGTAGTTGCACAGTATTCAGCCCAGCGCTGCAAATCCCACTAGTGTACCCTTCCCCAACCTGGTGCCCTCCAAGATATTGTTGGACTATTGCTTTCATCCTCCTTCACCATTGACCATCCCTGCTGGGCTTGCTGGGAGTTATAGTTCAGACACATCTGGAGGGCCACAGGTTGGGGAAAGCCTGCTTTCCAAGGTATATCTCTAAGCACATCAAAGCGGTTTTGAAAGGAGTGTTCCTTGTTCGTTTCAGTGCCTGCAACAGCAGGACAAAATCTAATATGGATGCTGAACCGATTCAGAAGCAGTGGGAGCCTACCACAAACCACTTTTGAGTCTCTTTAAAAATAAAAATAAAACAGTCTACGTTCTGTCTCCCAGCCAGAGTTTGCCATGCTGCCAATATATTATACATTGCTTGATTATGATGCACAGCTTCTGTATCAATGCCGTATAAAGCAGCTTGAGAAAAGCCTCTGGGCACGGTGAACTGCTTAAGTGAGTCTGTTTTTCTCTCGCCATTTTCTGTGTCAGCAGCTGTGGTAAGTTTTTGGACACAGGGGCCCCTTCCAGTCTCTGAGGAGTTCTAGATGTAAACGTTCTACTTTGACCTTCCCCCTTGCTTTGATTTCCTCCTGCTTTCGATGCCTCTGTGGAATGCTGCTGCTGCTGCTTGAGAATCTCTTCTCTTTCCTTCCCTGTCCATTCCTCTTTGATCATCTGGATTTAAGTACCTGCTTTCTGTGTTGTTTCTGCCCCTCTCTCATTTGTTATTGTCATGCTTAATTTTGCCTGTTTTATACCATACCAGGTGGTGGTTTTTTTGTGCGGAGCCTGATTGAGATGGGGGTGGTGGTTTGCTTTACATGCATCTGGAGCAGCTGTTCCAAATGGTAAATGGTCACTGTGCATATGCACTCTTGCCATGGTCTCAGAGGACAGCGCCACCGGATTTGTTCTTGATGCGGACCTCTTGGGTGCCTCCAGGCTGTCCCTATTTTGGGGGAAGGATTCTAGAGCATTCAGGAAATGTAGGTTTTTGCAATCAAAGCAGATTAAAGTGCTCTGCCTCCCTAGCACAGGTGTGGGGAACCTACAGCCTTCCAGATGTTGCTGAATGACTCCCATTAGCCCCTGCAAGAGTGGCCAGTTGGAGTTCAGAAACATTTGGAAGGCCAAAGGGTCCTTAGACATGCCCTAGCATGACAAATCCTCTTTAAAAAAATGATTAAAAGGAAGACATGTAAACGCCCTGCAAGCAAATTAGGACAAATGCTCAGTCAATGGGTCATCTGAAAGTGGTCCTTGAACTGTTGGCCTGAGAGATGACAGGCAGGGATTTCTCCTGCGCACCTTTGCCTCGCTCTGGCAAACGATCTGGGGAATTGCAAGGTGAGGGAGCCACCAAAGAAGCTACTGTGCCCTGAAAGGCCCCTGTGAGTCAGCTGATACTCCTTGACCCCTGTGAATGGATGACCAGCTAGGAGACTTGGCTAAGCCAAAGAATGTCCTCTGCATTTGCCTTGCCTCAACCTTGACCCTTGGCACATCTGTTCCCTGTGAGGATTGATTCAGGGATACACTCTTGAATTGCCTGCCAAGAAATCCCTCTGCCACTCTGTCTTCATATCCAGCATGACTCCGCCTTTTTAATTTCTCTTGTTTTCTTTTTATTTGCTGCTGTTGCTGCTTCTCCTCCCATTGACTTCCTTCTTCCTGTATTTCCCTGCCTCCCCTTTTCCTCCTGTTGACATATGGTCGGCTTCAGCCAACATCCTATTTTTCCTAAAAGGACAAGCATCTGAGGGCTGATCTGTGGTGAAATCAAGTGGCAGAATCCTCCTTACATTGTGCCCTTGTCATGTGGGGGAGATGGTGTTTTCTAACACTTCCCTGCTCAAAAAGAATCCCTGCATTTAGAATTCAATTGTAGACCAGAATAGGCTTGATGGACTAGTTTTCTCCAGACCACCTTTTATTTTATGTTTTGATTGGGGGTGTTAAGAAATGCCACTCCTTCCCCCCCCAACACCCCCCAAAAAGTTTACCATGTGATTTTGCTGAAAATGTAGCTCAACTTTCAGCAACCCCCATTCTTGATCACTCTTAACACATACTTACCCCATAGGGTTCAGTGAGAATTTTTGCATTAACCTGGAGGCATGCATTCCCTTGATTCTTTTTAAGGATGCATAAGTGAAAATCTAGAATGGAAGGTCAGCAGTTACATAAGAGAGATTGCCATGTTTGAAACTCCCACATGAGCTGTGCACCCAGAGCTTAAGGAGCCGTGTTGGTTTAAGTGTGCATGAATTGACCTACTAGGACCAAACCAGCAGGAAACTTTCATTAAGGGAGAGACATGCAAGAGAGCCTGTGTGGCATATTGGTTAGCGTTTTGGACTAGCACCTGAGGGACCAGGGTTCAAATCCCCACTCGGCCATGAAGCCTGCTAGGTGACCTTCAGCCAGTCACTGCTTTGCAGCCTTAAGGGTGAGATATAAATGCAATAAAAGCAAATAAATTAAGGACACATGGAGTTCTGACTGCTGCATCCCCAAAGCAAAGTATTGACAGAAGAAGGGAAAAGATCAGAGAAGGTGCCGTGAGGACTGTCTGACTATAAAGATAAATAATTGCACTAATTTAGCATTGCAAGCAGACGGTGAGCGGGAGAGGAGACATCTGTGTGCCTTTACTGAACTGGGCAGGGAGGGTCATACCCTTAAAATGAGACATTCACATGTATAAAACAAACTCAGGGCCTTATCTTCTCAGTCCTCTGGAAGTGCCTGCTACCAGAAGTAGTAGTGACTTAGAATATTACTGAGTTTCAAGGGTTAGAAAAACCCATGGATCATTGTAAATGTGCTGTTAGGTACATCTCCAGCACTTCCTTAGCATATTACTGATAACTATACGTTGTAGAGGCTGGGAAGCAGATGATTGCAAAGTTAAGAACCCTCTGTTGCATTGTTGGAAAGTTCACCAAACAGTGCACCCATGTTAAGCAAAATTGCTTGCTTTGTGAATATAATGAAATTGGCTCAGAACACCTTGGTTTTGTGTTGCGTGGCTGTTCCATGTTCCTCTGCCTCTAAACAATTTTATTCTTGTCTGAAAATGGTATACCAGTGTGGCAGAATTTAAGCCTGGGTGAGCTTTTTCTGAATCCAGTCCCTGCTCTGCTCCTGTTTTGCGGCCTTTGATACTTTTTCAAAGCCTCAGTTGCCTCCTCTGTGAAATGGGGTTGGAGTAGTCTCCCTTGTAGGTCTGTAATGAACAGTAACCCATAAGAAGGGTGCGAAACTTAGATGATAGCTCAATTTTTTTGTCAGGTTAATAGAAATACAGGTGGCGTTCGAACAGGCTTTTAGGAAAACATTCAGGTTTTACATGCTTACCTTCTGCCCCCCACCCACATCCCTTGCTATATGTTTGCCTACCTCCTTTGGAGATACTGACCAAATTGAATGTAGATTCTAAGGTTGGATGTAGAGTGGCAATGATGGTCACAGATTTAACGACCAAGAGAAAGGTGTGCATTTGGAGATTTTAGGTTGTATCCAAGTACATTCTACTAAGAATAGACCCATTGAAATTGATTAAGTTAGTCACGTCCATTAATTTCAGTGGATCTACTCTGAGTAAGATGGCTGTTACATACAACCCTTTGGAAGAAGAAGAACCTAAATGAAACGGAGATGCAAGCACATAAGCAAAATAGAAACTTCAGAATGATTCCAGCTTTGGCCCAGCTTCCGTGATAAAAGCTGCTCTAATATATAATCTGAAGTTGGCAACAGGCGGCCCATATAACAAAACTGGCATACCAACATCTGGCACATGGCCCACTCCTTCACTTCATCACAATAACCAATATGGAACGGGGAGTGTGTCAAGAGCGTGTTACTGACATTCCCAGCATCCTTCCCTCCTCCCAACAATCCCTAAGGTTTTAGCAGGTTGTGTGTGTGTGTGTTCATTTTCCTGGTTACAGGATCTGTCCATATGTTTGCAGGGAGAAATGGTGTCACATGACCCAAGAGGAGCGAGATGATAGTCTGCGGTTTAATGAAAATATCACCTTTGGACAGTTGGGGTAAGCAGAATGAAACTGGCCTGCTTCTGCAAAAGAACTTCTGTTTGTTTGTTTGTTTGCCTTCCTCCCAAAGGAGTTCAGAGACATGATAAAAGCTTTTACTACTTACTATGCTTAAAATAAAAATGTAAATTACAATGGTGATCACGATAGATGATCTTTAGAAATTTATACTGCGTGATGCACAAGAGAGAGAGATTTTTGTATAACATATCAATTACATTTATTTAAATCCAGTAATTTGCAACCTCTTCACCTGTGAGTCCTAGGGCAGGATTTATAGAAACCTTCAAAGCTTAATTAGCAATCATGGAAAACTCTATCATACAAACAAGGAAGCAGCAATACAAACCACAAGCCTAATGTGTGGATATCTGGATGGTGGGGGGAGGCAGGGAAGGAGCCACGCAGCTTTTGCAGGGGGGGGGGAGCACACCTCCACAGCTGCTCTTTGCTTGTGATGGCCCTACCTGCATGCAAAGTGTGCATGAATGGGGCTTCAGTATTATTATTATTATTATTATTATTTAATCAGTTTTAAAAGGAATAGGCAGCTTATGCCCAAGGAAACTCAGCAGACACGTAAGAAGCTGCTTCATACAAAGTCAGGCTATTTATCCATCAAGTCTCTGATTGGCAGCCGTAGCTCTGCAGGGGCCTCAGAGAGAGAGTCTTTTCCATCACCTTCTGTGACCTGAACTTCGTAACTGGAGATACTGCCAGGAATTGCAACAGGGACCTTCTGTGGACAAAGCGCGTGTCCTAACAAAAGGCCATACCCCTTTCTCCCCCACCCCATTTCTTCTCCCTGCTGCAGTACTTTCACTCACAACATGTTGGCTTTTGGGCTGAACAAGAAGCTTTGCAACGACTTCTTGAAGAAGCAGGCAGTGATTGGCAACCTGGATGAAGGTAGGACCATGGGTGTGAGGTTGCTGGTGGGGTTCCTTCTGCAAGGATCACCTCCCAGGGGTCAAATGGGTGGTGGTGGAAGAAAATGAAAGCAACTCCAAGTTCAGGCCACTTGCTCTGCCTTAGACTTGAGTGGGGTGGGGGTTGCGGGGAGATGACCTAGAATGGCTGCAAAATATGAGGGATTCTTTGCAAAACAGAAATAGGCTATAGACATCACCCCAAAACATCAATTTGCAAATAACATAGAAATGAACTCTAAATTTGTGCTACATTTCCAGAAGTAGCTTTTACATTGTGTGAAAGCTAACATATAATGCGGAAATTAACAAACAAGGGAAATACTGGAAAAACGGAATAAGCTGCGTTGTGAATGCCACCTGAATCACACCCTCATTGTTATTTGCTTCAGTTGCACATGGGTCTTAAACTCACAAGGAAAATGAAGAGTGTATCTTTCTTGGGGATGCTCTGCAAAAAGATGTTTGCATATGGTTGTTTGTGTTTTGTATTTTGATTATATGCCAAGCTAATTTTGCATACATGTATGTGTGTTTATCTGCGTGTGTACATTGCATAATTTGTTTCTCTTGCTTACAGAGCAGTACAAGCTGCTTAGCGATCACATCGAACAAATGGCTGCAGAATAGCACCGCTACCTGCCTCCTGCATTCAGGAACTAATAGAGAAGAAGCCAGTGGGGATGCAATGGTGGAAGAAAGCCTGTCTCTGAGACTACCTGCAATATAAAAGATGGGCTTTTCAAAAAAGCAAAAACTATACCCAACTGACACTGCGTTAAACCTGCATGATCGTCTTCTAACCACGTAGAGCTGCATCGCGCAGCCCGTTATAGACGTAGGAGCTCGGCAATCAAAGCTGCCCGCCCTCTTCTGCTGCCACCTCCCCATATGCCTTTTTCACCTGGACTGTGACTGAATGGAGACCTCTTGGGGGAATCTTCTGGGTATGAGGCAGAGTGCAAGTCAGCACGGGAGAGTCCAGCGTGCTCGTAAAGGAGGAAGGCTGAGCTTTGGGGATAGCCTCTCCCCTCTCTGCTTTCTGCTGATGAATTTTTTCTTTTAGCATCGAAAGTTTACAGAGCATAAAAAATAGGTGTGTGCGTGTGCAAGGGATGCAGAAAGGGGTGGGTAGGATGGAAGATAGACACCCTAGTTCCAATTATTACTCTAGAAGACTCCTAAAGTGAATACCAGGAGTTCTGTAGGCCGGGAGGCCAGATGCAAATCTTCCTGACGGGGGTTGTATTTAAGAAGATGGGCAGGAAATGGGTGGTTGGGTCAGTGATTCTGTGTTAGGCTGGAACAGAAGGCCTAGATCCCCACCACCACCACCTTTACAGTTTTTACAAGTTCTTTCCTGCAGTATCTTTTGATGCAGGTTGCTCTGATCCAGCAAGTAACGTTTTGCTAGGTGTTTTCTGTTTCCCTGGTAGCTGCTCCATTTGAAAGCGATTGAATGTTGCGTTCTGAGGCCAAAGGAAAGGACTGGACCCTGATTAACATAATACACGAGGCTTGACCGGCAAGGAAAAGCAATTTGAAAGCCCACTACTTTCAAATGTTCTGATAGATCTGCTTTCCTGAATGGTCAAGGGGAGAGAACATCCTGGTATACGCAGCAGCATATCTGGCTGGGCTTTGAGTGTGATCCTTTTGGAGTCTAGGTGTGATCAAAGCGAAGCCCACAGAAGGAAGTTGCCAATGCAGACTCTCTCCAGCTGCTCAAGTTTTCGTTAAATGAAAGATTATCAGCAGAGGTGGTAAATCTTCAGGGTAGCAAGCCTCTTCAGCTTCTGATTTTGAGAAGATTGCTCGGAGCCAGCTGTTGCAGTGTTTATGGAACTCCAACAACCTGTTCGCCATTTTTTAAAACAACACCAACCATGAGTCAATGTCTTTGTGTGATTCTTGCCAGTGCTGTGGTCTTGGGGGTTGTGATTCTGTATCTCACCAAAGTATCTGGGTTGCAACGATTGTTCAGAGGATTCAGTGAGTTGCATTTTCAGTACTTGACCAACGTTCGCAAGGTTGCTTTGACACCAGTTTGTGGTGTTGAATGAGCCCAGATGTGGCTAGGTTGTGTGAACATGCCATCGGATGTACTCTTCCACTATTTTCAAAGAGCCAGCTATGGGCACTGGTGCACCAAAGTGTAAGAATCCTGAACTAACAGTAGCTTATTGTTCCTTGGTAAATCTGTTGTTTCTATATGGCTATTGGGGTGCATCCACATCACTCACTTGTAAACCATTTCTGCTCTTTTGGGTTACACTGAAGAATTTTGGGAGTTGTAGGTCTATTGAGAAAGTTTAGTCTTTTCTGTTAAGAGACCTCTACCACCTTTTACAGGACTACAGTCCTGTATTGATTTATGTTTCTGGTGTCAATGCATCCTCGGTTGCCTTGTTGAAAATCGCAGTGCATTGCTTCGGTGTTTTCCAGCAGCGAAAAGTCACGTCATTTCTGCAGATTTGGTTCTCAAGTCCCTGCAGTTTCGTTTGAGTCCAGGAGAGGGTGCCAGGGAGCAGGTTTTGGGATAGATTTCTTTCTTTTTCGTGTTTCGTTTTGTTTCATTCTTTGCCATTTGCTTGATTCTGGTTAGTAGGTGTGATTGAATCAATGAGCTCTGATTAGCCAGAGTGAGTTTCTGCAAAGAATAAATGAAAACCGATACAGGGATCTTGCCCCACCGCATTTCCAGCGGCTAGCCACGCCCTGCTGCAGCAGGTTCTGAAGCAAAACTGCTTGTCACACCTTGAAGTTATGAGATAAGCAGCTTCTCAAAATTTCTCCCCATTGTGCACATGAGCACCTTTCCAGGATAAGCACCAGCCGTTCTAGATTTGACAAAGAAGGGAAAATCCCTTCATCCCCATCTCAGGACCTTTACGAGAACTTGTCAGGAACTTCTCCCTAGAAAAGCCATTCTGCAAGAGAATAAGATTAATGCTGCCTCTCAGGGAGCCACCCTTTTTCCTGTTGCAAATCAATGTTTATTTAATTCTCACATCTTAGCTGGTCATGTTTTTGCATAACATGCAGCCCTTTTGGGTTGAGTGAGCTTTAAAATGACTGGGTGTCCTCAGACCCTTAATGTGTTCCAGAGTCAGGTTTAAATATTTTATCTGAGTCTTGACATCTCTCCACTTTAGGTTCTGAGACTCTCAAGTCTATCCCTGCCAGCCTTTTGTTGGACTACAACTCCCATCAGCCCCAGACAGTATTGCCAACGGTCAGAGATGTTGGGCGTTGTAGTCCAGCAATATCTGGAGGGCTTTATGTTGGGGGAAGGCTGGGTTGGCCTTAGACCAGGGACATCTGAGTTCGAATCCCCACTCAAAGCTTATTGGGTGGGTTACTTGATCTCCCTTGGAGGCCACTCCATCATTTCAAGCCATTCTGGGAATTTCTGAGGCAGGGCAGAGTTGACATTTGGGGAGGGGAGGTGGTACCCCCTGAAAGAGGCTCAGTTTGGCCTAGGAACTATCACTTGCTAACCACCAGAGTGTGCCAACTCTGTGCCATGTGAAAGTAACTGCCTGTAGTTCTTTTTTAATGTCATCCCCAAAGCCAAGGTTAGCCAGCATGTCATACCCTGATGTTTTGGACTTAAATACTCATCATCTTCTACTATTGGCCATGTTGCCAGGGGCTGATGGGAGTTGTAGTTCCATGCTGGCTACCCTTGATAGAACCTTAAAGGGCAGGGCAGATACAGAACTTCTAGGATGGCATATTAAATGTAGCTGTATAACCACTCCGTGTGTACCTTTCTTAACACTGCAGTGCATTAAGTCTGCAGTGTAATCTTTCCTACCAAACATGAGATTTAAAAGATTTGACACCCAAGAAAGGAAAATATACTCTTTTCTTCCTTTTGGATTGTGGTGTTTTCTAACTCGCAGCATTGAAAAAAAGAAAGTGTTGGTTGGCAGAGAGGACAACATTTTCTGTGGTCCACCTCCTGCCTCTTCTGCTGCCATCCGGCCCATGATGCAATCAACATTTTTGGGTTCCAAACAAGGCTTTTGATGCCAGTGCCTAATGGGATGGACTATGCTTTGGCCCTGCACTTGCTATATCTCAGATGGGCCTTCTCTAATGCAATGGTATTTGAAGGCATCCAGTAAGTGATACATGACCTTAATTTAGCAAATACCACATTATCACATTCCAACGGCATTCGGTCCTTTTGCCATATCATCCTAAGTAACTTTGGTGTGTGTTTTTTAAAAAAGTAGGCTTCAAAGCTAAAAATGCACCTTGATAACAGGTAGCCAACATGATGCTTTGCAAATGTTGGACTCCAGCTCTCATCCACGTCAGCCATCACCATGGCAAGTGGTCCAGAATGATGGGAGTTGCAGCCCAACACCTTCAGGGCTCCTCAGTGGCTACGTCTGCTGTATACTCATTCTGCCACATCTTAGTTTTTGAATGTATTGATCCAGTGAGTAAAGATTCCCGCATCTGGAAGGGCCTCTGCTGACTTGAATGTCCACAATGCCTGCGGTGAGGCTGTTTCCTCCTCCTCCTCCATTTTGCCTTTGGTGAAAAGTTGGTGTGGATCTTCCACCACAAGCTGGCTTCTGATTGGTGGATACAGTTGAAAGCATTCAAGAAGCATGTTGAGCAATAACATTCCAGGGGTGGCTGCCTGTTGCTTCACCTTGGTTGCTTCCCAATGAGCAAAACCCAGCAGTAGTGTAATTTTCTCCCTTTGCAGATAGGACAAGTGAGAATCTACTCTCTTGGACAATCGGCCTGTGTTTTACGGTGGCTTTTGCCTGGGTTTCTTCCTGACTCCTAAACGGATGTTAAGGCCACATTGAGGGAAACACTATTCATCTGTCCACCTAGTGAAGACTGCAGAACCATGTTACTCTTTTTCTATGCATATCGTCATGTGGCATTTATACTTCAATCCTTCAGGGCTCTTGTACAAAAGTGCTACTGTGAATCTTAGACCCCCACCCCACCCCCGCATTATGCTGTTGAATTTGGACTCTGTGGATGTAGGGGAGAGAAGCACTGAGCTAAATGGAAACTGGAACCACAACCTTTGTTCCAAGGTGGGCAACTGGTGTGAACGCTGTGTATATGAAGCTGGGGCATTTCCTGCATGGACCGCCAGATTACAGATAGCTGAGTCAAAACAGCTTTTGCTGTTATGGAAGTGAAGGGATAGGGCTTGAGGGTTTTTTCCCTTGTACTTCCAGTGAGAAGTGATTTTATTGTCTGGCATTGAAAGAGGGACATCTCAGCAACAACAGACCTGTTGTCCTTTTCCCGCTGCTGAAGTTTCGTTAATAATGTGTAACTCCAAGGGGGGTGTCTTTTCTCTCTTTGTATGTCTCTTGCCTTGTCCGCTCCCACCCCGAGTACACCTCTGATGATTCTCATCCAACGCTAGAAGTATCTAGCTGTGTAGGCGCTCTTTGTTATGCAATCTCTAGAAGCCACATATAATATCAATGTAAACAGACCATTTCAGTGTCTCATTTCCATATATCTAATTGTGAGATTCATTGGGAGTTCAAAATTCTGTATTTGACTTGTTTGACATATATATAGATACATATATATATGATGAGATATATTCACCCAAGTTCTCTTGTTTTGTATACAAAGTGCTGCCATGTTCTGATGTCTTGGGTGCAACTGTTGTACTGACTGACATGTTGTACTGCGATTGTGCAATTTAGTATCCTTTGTGGAATACTGTTGTTTTTAAACTCATGTATTGAAAGCATTTCAAGTCCTGGTTATGAATGGATTGGGGAAGTGAAATAAAACTTGTTGTTTTTTTTTAAACCCCTACACTGAATTCTGTCTTTTTCATAACCAGCACATGCATTTTATTCCAGATCTATTTTGGCTTGCTGGGGAAGGAGGAATAGGTCAATTGCACTTCTCTCTGTCTTTCATTTCTTCAGTCTTAAATTCAATTTACACTATTCCTGTCCTCTGTTTGCAGTTTTTTTTTTAAAAATCACATAAAAATTTGCATGCATTTTCATGTCTGTTTCTCCCAATACATACATTTCTTTACACAGTTTTACCTAATCTGCACATTTCCCCAAGCAATTCCCTCTTGTGTAATGCTGCTTTGTACGCTATCTCTGCTAGTATATGCATTTCCCCATAATATACCGTACATTTTCTTTTTTTGTGGGAGAACTGCATCATAAAATTCAAAGATGTGTGTTTGAAAGGACAGTTGTGTTTTGGTGTGCATTTTGGTTTGTGAAATGTGAGGCAGGTAAGGTCACATTAAAATATGAACAATTGGATTTCTTTTCACTCTCTTAAGAATCTCCTCTTTTGTAGAAAAGGGGTGTGTGTTTTATTATGACCTAATTGGGGGTGGCATTAGTACCTTCTACAGGAGCTGCATCTAGCTGAGTGCTTACACCACACTAGCCAAAATGACACACACCCATACACCAATTTTGTTTGGACTCCGTAACTCCCATCAGCACCAACCAACATGACTGATCTGCGAATCACCCAGAGATCTACCAGTATATCCTGATCTAATTTCTGCCCTACCATGACCTAATTGACATAATAACCAGGTGGAGTGGCCACTGAACAAGAAAGAATCTAGGAGAAGAGGTGCCAAATCGCCAATGGTTCAACAGATGCAATGGAGTTACCAGGATTGCTCTGTCAGACCTTTCCCAGCATTCTGTCAAGTTGGAACAGCTGCTAACAGAGACAGTAAAATAAAAATTATAGTAATTTTTTAAAAAAACAACAGAGTTGGCAATGTTTGAAATGGGAAACGTAATTTAGGCATTGTACACCTCTTTATTTAGTGCTATTTCCCCCACCCGAGTGTTTCCAGATGGAGACTTAATGTGCAAATAGATCACAGAGATATTGCAAGTGAGTAAATGGAAATAGGTGGTTTGTTAGTTTGTTTTTACTTACTTGATTTTCTAGGGAAAGAGTAAATCCAGATTAAATTTGAGGGGAGGGAGAGAGGCCTGGCATTTTCATGCCATTTTGCAGTAGCATTTTTGTAGTATGGCATTTTAGATTGCAGGGATTGCTAAGATACAACAACTACATAAGGAGCACCCAACACACAATAAATAGCTGTCTGGAAGCACCCTAAGATCGCCTTAAAGACATTGGATCCAACCCCAAAATATTGTCTGGAAACAATCACATACCGGCAAATAAATGTTGTGTAGTTAACAATGATTTGGCACTCCTGTGCAAAAGCCTATTTTCCCCCTGCTCTGGAAAAAAATATTTTTGCGATAAGGAAAGTGATGCAGAATCGCACTGAAAAGTATGGACTCACCCTTTGTTGAAATATCCTCTAAACTGCCTGCAAATAAGCCAGAAGGAATACTCAATAAATAGGTGACATTATCTAACATTCAAGATGAATGTTCAGTAAACAGGTTGTTTGGAAGTGACCTTGGAGGTATCCAAAGGTATCTTCTTTCTGCTGTTTGGTTGTACAGTACAGACAAAAAGTTATTCACACAGCGCATAATTAATCTATGGAACTCACTCCCACAGGCGACAGTGTTGTCCACCAACCTACATGGCTTTAAAAGACGATTGGACAAATTCATTGAGGAGAGGGCTATTGAAGGCTACTAGCCATGAAGGCTTTGTTATTTCTTTGTGATTGAAGGCAGTAACACTTCTGAATAACAGTTGCCAGAAGCCACGGGAGGGGAGAGTGTTCTTGTGGTTGGGTCCTGCCTGTGGTTTTCCCGTTGGGTCCTGCCTGTGGTTGGCCGCTGTGAGAACAGAATGCTGGACTAGACGGGCCAGAGGCCTGGTCCAGGATGCCCTTCTTACATTCAACCCCAGGAATCTCAGCCACTTCCCTTTTGTATGGAAGAAGCCACACCTGGCTTTGGTTACCATGGATGCCCTTGTCTGTATACACTCTCCAGCCAGCCAGGCTTATCCAGTCCACAACTCCTTTCTCCAGAGGGAATAAATATAGGAGAGAAACTAACACCTAACTTGGTGAAGAAGGAGCCTGAGTTGAGAATGCCACTTCACTTGGCCTGCCTCCTCCTCTGTCTCTGCTTGCTTTACCTCCCTCACGGCTCCACGCCTCAAATTATCGGGGTTCCTGTTTTGTCAGGCCCACCAAGGAAATGTGGGACCGAAGAATTCTTCAATATTGAGACGGGCCAATGTGGCTCCTGCGCCCAGAAACAGATGCAGAGCCCTGACGGTGAGTGCGAAATGGATGCAATAACATAAGTTGCAGGGAGCAGGGTGGCAGTGGAAAGAATAATCCCCATAACTAAGAAGCCAAGCAAGAGGGAGATTTTTTATATAAAAAAATATAGTTTTGAACTGCAAGCACTTGATGTATCAGGATCTTAAGGAAGGACCCTTAAATGAATCACTGCAAGGTTTTTGAGTGTTCCTCCTCTTTCTAGGCTTGGAGTGCGTTTGTGTAGCTGGACTGAATGAGACAAATAAGCAGCCATCACCTCTCGACTGCCGTGGCTGTGTAAGAACACATTCCTTCACCGTTCCTTTTTTCTCATATGCAGGCAGGCTCTTTCGATGTTGAATTTCCCTCTCCCCCTCTCTGCCCCTTCCTCTCCTTCAGAGTAACCTGCCACCCAGCACACTCTGGGAATCCATGTTCCTTGACGACAGTTTCCTGAGTTGCAACGTAAGTGGGGTTGGGTTTTTGCTCCACTTCCTCCTCCTTGCATTGCCAACTTACACTATTTTGCGGCTTTGCTTGGTATCCTGGGAATGTCCCTAGAACAAAGAATGCTCTCCCCTGCTCCCTCCCATGAGCTTCTGGGCAGGATCAGAGCTCTGTTGCCTTTTCACAATGCCTCTGCACTCACTAGTCAGATCGCATGAAGCTGTTATAAAGCAGGTCAGGCTGTCCGTCTGTTTAGCCTGGAAGCTCTCTAGCCAGTGTAGAGTAGTGGTTAGAGAGTCAGACTAGGATCTGGGATATCAGGGTTCAAATCCCCACCCAGCTAAGAAGCTCACTGTGTGACCTAGGGCCAGTCACCAATTTGCCGCCTAACCCTACCTTAGAGTTGTGAGGACTGAACCGAGAGGAGGGGAGAATAATGTATGGCACCTGAGCTCCTTGTAGGAAAGGTGGGTTATAAAATGTAATAAAAGGGTTTTCTGGCAGATGGAATATTTTCCCTCATCTGCAACCTGATCCTTTGAACGGATGATGCTGAGGACTGTACCTAGAACTTTCTGCCTGAGTTGAAGGGGACCATTCAGCAGGGCCAAAAAATCTCATTGAGGGTACAAAATTTGGGGTTTTAAAAAAATAATAAATAAATAAATTGGTAGGTTTAAAGCAGAGTTAAAAAGCTTGGAAGCTGGAACTACCCAGTGACATCACCACCTGTTCTTATCACATGCCCACATCACACGAGAGCAAATAAAACACACAGAGCCCCCATTGGTAAAGAAAGGTTCTTTACTTACAGTTTCTTCATATTAACAAGGATGGCTTTGGAGTCTAAGCCACCTGGGAGCTAGTCCTCATGGCTGCTTCTTGCAGGAGAGAAAGTGGGTGAAGTTTAAAAGCTATCTGTTAGTCTCAGCCCTGACCTCTACTGGCTGGAGGCAGGCAAGGAGGGAATGGGGCCTACAAAGACTCCTGAGGCCTGGATAAACAGTCCTGTATTTGGGTCTCAAGTTCACCACCCCCTGCTTTACATTCTCTGTCAGCGACCCCACGACTGACACACATGTCATCTTCTGCAAGTTGCTGTCCCAGCTGTCCTGTGTATTCTGTGAGATTCCTCCTCCTGCATCTGACATCTGTGTTAATGTTTAATGCCAAACAGAAAGACCCGGGAGGCCTTGCAAAGGCCTTTTCTCTGGATTTAGGTGCTCATCTATCTCCAGCTCTCCTTCAAGCTCTTGCGCAGGAAAGTCTTCACCTTTTTTCAGTTTTACTTTTCTCTAGAACACCTGCAATGTGACGGCCTGCCAAATTCTCACAAACATGGTTATTATGGAAGCCTTCTCATTACAAAACCGGGCCTATGATCTCTATACGAAGACCAAGTAAGTATCCATCAATCTTGGTGCAAGGAGGTATTTATAGCCTACTCGTAATATATTTCATGTGTGGCATTTTTTGAAGTAAACTGCATATCTGGAGGGCCTGATCCACATAGGGAATTGGCTTGTGGGGCCTTAATCCTGCCCCTTCTGTGCTGCAGTCTCGGTCTGGAGGAGCCCCATGGCTGGTGATTTTGTGGGACCTTCTTTCCTAATGCAAATATACCAGCAGTAAGGCTATATAGTCGTACCTCAGAAGTCGAACAGAATCCATTCTGGCAGTCCGTTTAACTTCTGAAACGTTTGACTTCCAAAGCACAGCTTCTGATTGGAGCTTCCTGCGGCCAGTCGGAAGCCACAGGCAGACATTCGGCTTCCAAAAGAACGTTCGAAAACTGGAACACTCACTTCTGGTTTCCGATTGTTCAGGAGCCGAAACGCTCGACTCCCAAGGCATTCAGGAGCTGAGGTACTACTGTAGTGTATGAACTGGCATCACATTTAGCCTGACCTTAAAAGTTTCTATTCGTATGAGAGCATTGCTGCTTCTCAGATAAATCCTCACTGCATTTTCTTCTCAGAAGCCAAGATCTTCCAAAGCTGTGGTACGGTAGTCATAGAGGAACATCCCCTCGGATGGTTTTTGGGAAGACTTCGAAGGCAAGTCCAAGCAGGCACAAACACTGGCATTTGCTGTGTTTATGTGTGTGAGACACACACACACAGAGAGAGACAGAGACAGAGAAAGCAAGCAAGAGAAAATAAATTACGATTGTGTACACATTACAGTAACACATGGGGTAACTAGGGTGACACGAGAAAACATTGCTTAGTTTAAAGGGCCTGGATGGAAGAATTGCTGGGGGATTAATTGCTGCTAAAGCTCAGCTCTGCAACCTGTTCTTAACTCTGGGACTCAGCAATCATAAACTGGAAGCAATAGGGGGTGTCTCTAAGCATGTGCAGAGTGTCATTGACTTCTGAACAACCTCAGCCCATTTCCCAGCACCTAGGATTATGACGCAAACGTTCCAGGATGACATGTGTTGCCTCAGGCAAGCTTGAGGTCTTATTCTCTTTGTAGATATTAATTACTGTTGTCTAGTCTGCTGCCAGTCATTATTAGCTTTTTTAAAAAATTGAGCTGAATAGACTATAGGACTGTTTTTGCAGAAGGGCCTTTTAAGGTGTACAGAAGCTGGCTGAGAACATTGGCCTCCAGTTACTGTCTTTCCCCTCATCTCTACAGATTGACTTTAAGGTCGTAAAGTACAATGTGCTTGGAAAGTTCTTAGGCTGGGAAGACGTGAGAGGAGAGACGTTGCAAGTGAGTCAGTTTCTTTCTGTTCTCGGTAATATTGCTGTTTTTGCTGCAGTTCCAATGGAATGTCAGCTTAGAAGAGAGGTTGGAGAATTTTTTTATATAGTCACCCCCACTGTTTATCCCTCAGCTACTGTTATTCATTAGTAGATTGCCCTGAAACTGGAGGTTCCATCTAACCATCATGCCCAGCAGCCACTGATAGACCTCTTACTCCTTTCCTCCCCATCCTCCTTCCCCACTTCATCAATGTCTCTAACCCTGTTTGAAAGAGGTCTAAGCCAGCAGCCACCTTCATATCTTGGCCAGCAAGTTCCCTGGGGCAGCTCCTCAGCAACTAACCTCCTTGCACAGGATGGTTCTGAGAATAAAATGATACTGTGTGTATGTCAGGGAACTGCCATCGGAAGGAAGGGAGGTGAAAGGGCTCACACAGGTTGGGAGAGACTCAGCAGCTGAAGAGGGAACCAGTAGGGGAGAGGAGCTGAGCTGAGGGAAAGTGAGCTGGAGGGATGGCTCAGAGACACTTCCAGCGAAAACAGTGGGGAGGTTTCAGGACCTCCTGTAGGAACACCCACTCCTCGCCGGAAACTGTCACGCAGAGAGTCCAGAAGACGTGTTTCCGTTAAGGAGCTTTTATGTTGGAAGCGATTCCGAAAGCAACCACTGTCGGAATCTGCTAGTGACTAGAGGAGCCATGTCTGAGGGCTCCGTCACAGACAGAGGTTTGTGGACTTGAACAAACTCTGAGGGGATACTATTTTACGCACAAGCAGCTCATCATCCCATCACAGCATTCCGACAGTCTTTGAAAGCAGCTTGTGCAGGAGAAGGCATCATGAGCAACCCAGCCGGAACCGGAGAAGCAGGAGCTGGAGCGGGTCCAAGCCTGGAAGAAAGGTACCGGGTGTTGGAGGTCCAGCTAGCGCTGCAGACGGCGAGGCTTGAGGAGAGGAGGGCTCAGGATGCAGACAAAAGGGAAAGCCACCCAGCTCGCCAGAAAGGTACCAGGATTGGTGCAGAAGTTTGGGGAGCCCAAAGACTATCATGGCTTTCGGACAGAGATGCAATATGCCCTCAATCTGCAGTTTGATGAATTCCCTGACGAGGAATCACGAGTGGGTTTCGTGATTGGGCATCTTGAAAAGGGGCGAGAGACTGGGTTAGACCCCTGATGGCAGCGAATAGTGACGTCCTAAAGGACACGATGAAGTTCTTTCGCGCCATGGATCTGATGTTTTCCAGCGATATTGAACAGGGAGTGGTGCGCAGACAGTTAATGGCTTGCAAACAGGGGGCCGATCTGTCCGTGAGTACTGGACTGAGTTCACCATGCTGGTTCACAGATTGGGGTGGGACTTATCGGCGGAACCCATTCAAATGCTCTTTGAAGAAGGGCTTTCTTCGGCTGTGAAAGACGAACTTTCCCGGGCGCCCAGGGCGGAGTCTATGGACCAGCTGACCAAATCAGCGCTGACCATAGGAGCGCGCCAGGAGGCGAGAGCATTGGAGAGGCGGGAAGGGAAGGGGAGCGTTGGAAGGAGTTCCGCATTCCAGACATTCCAGAGCCAACTTTCCCGCCGGCAGAGCCGATGGAAATCGGAACAGCGCGCGCGCGCAGTTTCAAAGCCCAGTGAGGGGAAAGAAGGAGGGAAAACGCGCCCGGAAATGCTATCTCTGCCAACAGCCAGGTCACTTTGCCAGAGTCTGCCCCCAGAGGAAGGAATGGCAAGGGATGGTAGGAGCTGTGGAGGGAAGAGAGGAAGAAATACCGGAGCAAGTAAAAGCCAACGCCTGGCTGCCACCGTCGGGGCACAGCAGCCAGGCCAAAGAGCAGTGAGAGTGCCCACGCCAGAACCTCCTAAACCCGCCCTAGTGATAGAAGTGGCGCTAGAGCTGCCAAACGGACACCCTCTAAAGATAAAGGCGCTGTTGGACTCAGGCAGCTCCTGCAATTTCATGAGCAAAGAGTTTGCAGCTGAACACCAGATACAGACGATCCCTTTAAGCAACCCCTGCAGGTGACCACGATCGATGGCAGGGAGCTGTTGGGAGGAGAAGTCAGCTTGCAGACCGTCCCAATGATAATGAAGGTGGCAAGGCACACCGAACTGATAGCGTTTAATGTGGCCACCTTGGGAGGAGCTCCCATTATATTGGGGATGAGCTGGCTAGCGTTACATGATCCGCTGGTGGGCTGGCATCAGAGAGTGGTTTCTTTTGGTTCAGCACATTGCTTAGAACACTGCAAAGAGGAAAGGGTTTGGCAGGGGCCCAAGCCACCCTAGCAGGGACTGAAGTAACGGAGAACGTGAAGGTACCACGACAATACGCAGATCTCCGCGACGTCTTCAGCGAAAGGGAAGCTGACCAACTACCCCGCATAGACCCTTTGACTGTCAAATCAATTTACTCCCTGGGGCACAGCTCCCTGTAGGCAAGCTGTACGCCATGTCAGACAGAGAGATGCAGGAGCTAAGAGAGTTCATTGACAAGAACCTGAAGAGAGGGTTCATCAGAGAGTCCAGGGCGGTGGGGGCAGCCCAGTGTTTTTGTGGATAAAAAAACACGAACAAGCCGAGGCTGGTGTGTGACTTCAGGGCCTTAAATGCAGTGTCAGAACCAGTGGCCTTCCCTATGCCCAGGATTGACGACATTTTGACAAGGGTGCGGAAGGGAAAGATTTTCACAAAGCTGGACCTAAGGGGGGCGTACAACCTGATACGAATAAGGAAGGGGGATGAATGGAAAACCACCATGTTCACCCCTTTAGGGGCATTTGAATATTTGGTTATGCCCTTCGGCCTACAAGCAGGCTCCGCATGCTTTCAATCGTTATGAACCACGTCCTGGGGCCTTTGCTTTACAAGAATTGTGTGGCCTTCTTAGACGACGTGTTGGTGTATTCTGAGAATGAGGAGCAGCATGTGAGAGACGTCAGAGAAGTGTTGAGCAGGCTGCAAGCCAACCAGCTGTGGGTGAAACTGGAGAAGTGTCAGTTTCATACCAAGGAGGTGGAATTCCTGGGGTATCGCCTGTCAGACAAGGGATTGGCCATGGATCCCGGCAAGGTCCAGGCGGTGCTGGAATGGAAAACACCCAAAACAAGGAAGGATGTGCAGAGGTTCCTAGGATTTGGGAACTTCTATCGTAAGTTCATCCGAAACTTTGCCCACCTGACGGCGCCCATTACGGACTGTCTCAGCAGTAAGAAGAAGTTCGTTTGGACTGAGGAGGCGGAGCGAGCATTTGAGGAACTAAAAGGGCCTTCGCCTCGGAACAACAACTCCTGCATGTGGATTTACAAAAACCGATGAGAGTGGAAACTGACGCATCAGACAGAGCGGTTGGGGCGGTGCTTCTGCAGCCAGGGAAGGAGGAGTCAGAGTGGAGACCGTGTGCTTTTTTCGCGAAAGCTGAACAAATCCGAGAGGAACTACACGGTGTATGACCGAGAACTACTAGCCATTCATGAGGCGTTCCGGAGATGGAGGCACCTGCTAATTGGCGCACAACATAAGGTGCAAGTGTGCACTGACCACAAGAACCTAGAGTATTGGAGGACGGCACGAGTGCTCAGCCAACGGCAAGTGAGATGGGCCCAGGAGTTCTCCAAATTTAACTTTGAGATTGGTTACGTGCCAGGCCCAGAGAACATTAGGGCGGACGCTCTCTCACGCAAACCTGAATATTTGGAGGGAGGGAGCACCCGAAGAGAGACATGTCATTCCAGAGGACCGCTGGGTGTGTGGGGCGGCATTGGTGGGACAAAGAGAACTGGTAGAGGAAACAGAGAATGATGAATACGCCCAGAATAAGCTCAGAGGTCTTAGGGGTGAGGGAGAGGAACCAGGGGTTTCGAGGAAAGAAATGGACCTTTCTATTACAAAGGGCAACTGGATATACCTGAAGGAGCCAAAAGGGGCAGGGTACTCAAGCACTTGCACGACAGCCCTAAGGCGGGGCATATTGGACAACACAAAACCAAGACGATTGTCACCAGGGACATATGGTCGCCTAAGGTGATGGAAGAAGAACGTGAGTATGAAAGACGGAGCGAGCAATGCCAGAGACCAAAAGGGGAAAGGCGGGCGCCGGCGGGGCTGTTAGAACCCTTACCAACCCCAGAGCGACCTTGGGAGGCAGTGTCGATAGATTTTATGACTGATCTGCCGAAGTCCAAAGGAAAACAGCCATCATGGTGGTGGTAGACCTACTAACAAAGATGTGCCACTGTGTAGCTTGCTCGCATGCAGTCACGGCGGAAGAGACAGCGAAGTTATTTGTAGAACACATTTTTAGGTTGCACGGGGTGCCATTGAGGGTGGTCTCAGACCGAGGAAAACAATTTACTTCCAGGTTCTGGAGGAAGCTCATGAGCTTACTGCAGGTGGAGGTCAATTTTTCGACTGCCCGGCACCCTGAAACCAACGGGCAGGCGGAAAGAGCAAGCGGTGTCCTCCAGCAATACCTGAGGTGTTATGTCAATGACAGAGAGAATGACTGGGTAGAAAAGTTGGCGCTGGCGGAATTTGCCTACAACAATGCCGAGAATGTGTCCACAGGGATGAGCCCCTTCTTGGCTAATTATGGGTGTCATCCCAGGGCTTTACCAGGGGGAGATGGGGAGGGATGGAGCGTCCCGGCAGCCGAGCATTTTGTGGAAGAAATGGAAGCAATCCATCGTCAGCTCCAACTCAACTTAGAAAGGGCGAAGGAAGAATACAAGAGGCAGGCAGACAAGAACCGAAGGGAAGGTGAAACCATAAGGGTGGGAGATAGGGTGTGGCTGTCAACCCAAGGGTTGCCGTTCAAAGGAGGTTGTAAGAAATTAAGACCCAGGAGGTTGGGTCCCTTTGAGGTCATTCAACAGGTCAACCCAGTGGCTTTCAGGCTCCGGTTACCCAACCACATGAAACTGCACCCAGTATTTCACAGGTCGTTACTGTCACCGTACGAAGGGGACGAGAAGGGATGGCCACTCGGGGACCGGTCATAGAAGAAAGAGAATGCAGCAGCCATGTGGCAGAAATCCTCGACGCCAGGTGGAGGGGGATCAGGTGGAGTATTTGGTAGCGTGGGAAGGAGAACCGGAGTCAGAAAACACTTGGGTAATGGCCGAAGATATCAATGACGAGGTATTGGTAGAAACGTTCCATCAAAGGTTCCCAAGGAAACCTCAGCCTGTGGAGAGGTTCCGGAGGGATACTTTGGGACCACTGATGAGGAGGAGGAGTTGGAAGGATTCCCGGACTCGGAAGGGGAAGGGGATGGACTCTGAGGAGGAGGAGTACTTCGAGACCAGGAACCGCAACAGGTGGAGAGAAGTGTTCGAGACATCGGAAGATGAAGGAAGTTCATTCCGGGGTTTGCCTCCTCACCGCCCGTAGAGGAGGGGGCGAGAGGGGTGAAAGGGGCCCTGGAGGGAGGTGGATCTCAGGGAACTGCCCTCGGAAGGAAGGGCGGAGACAGGGCTCACACAGGTTGGGAGAGACTCAGCAGCTGAAGAGGGAACCAGTAGGGGAGAGGAGCTGAGCTGAGGGAAAGTGAGCTGGAGGGATGGCTCAGAGACACTTCCAGCGAAAACAGTGGGGAGGTTTCAGGACCTCCTGTAGGAACACCCACTCCTCGCCGGAAACTGTCACGCAGAGAGTCCAGAAGACGTGTTTCCGTTAAGGAGCTTTTATGTTGGAAGCGATTCCGAAAGCAACCACTGTCGGAATCTGCTAGTGACTAGAGGAGCCATGTCTGAGGGGCTCCGTCACAGACAGAGGTTTGTGGACTTGAACAAACTCTGAGGGGATACTATTTTACGCACAAGCAGCTCATCATCCCATCACAGTGTATTCTCTGCCCTCCTTGAAGGAAGGACTGGATAACATAATTTAAAATTTAATAGAAGTCTCAGCTTATCTCAGTGCAGCATACTAGTTTAACACGTGTAATTAGCAGGATTTGCATGTTCGTTTCATGGGCATTCGGGAAGAAAAAGTATGTGTGCAAGGCTGTGTGCAATTTCTGCCTCTTCTTTTCTTTCCATCTTCTTAGCTCTGCCCAGACAGACAGAGTGTCATGGATGCTGCCTTTGTGTTTGGAACATCATACAGCCAGTCTGTAAGTGTTGGCTTTAGTGCAAGACAGCTTTCCCCTTCTAAGATCCCAGGGGGGTGGCTAACCTTTTTCAGCCTGAGGTTTGCATTGCCGCATTGGAACCTCTCTGGGGGCTGAATGCCAGTAGTGGGTGTGGCCCCCACCAGGACCGGCCCACCCATGAGGCAAGGTGAGGCGACTGCCTTGAGCACTCAACACACTTTTTAGACATTCATCATTTCGCGACACAGTAATTCAGTTTTGCTAGCAAACCGGAGATTAAACTAATCCCTTTCCAGCCCTGGGAGGAGTGTGGGAAGCGTTTGTGCAACACACTGCAGCCGACACACTAACACACAATTTGGAAAGCTCTGCTTTATGGCATAGATTGGGGAGGGGGGCCGTTCAGCCCAATGGCTTCATTCCACTACTGGAAAGCATTTCAAGGGCCAGATGCCAGTGGTGGGTGGTAGGAGGAGTCAGAGGCAAAAGTGGGCAGGGCAACAGATGTAAATATTACCTTTGTACAGTAGCCTAGTTTCTACTGCCACACACCTCTCTGTCCTCCATCCAGACAAACAGGGGCCATGATCAGAATTCAAGGACACATTCTAGCCAGGCAAAAACACTAAAGGAGGGTGTGAAGCAGGGCCTGGGGGAAGGGTGTGTGGCCCAGGGAAAGTTCTGAGGGCTGGAGAGAGACGCCTGGCCCCAGGGCCTGGGATTCCCTACCCTTGGCAATGATAGGTTTAACACTACTCTGCAGTATGGAAGAAAAACGGCATCTTAACATAAGGAAATGAGTGGGTGATAAAACTGGCATCTGTTGCAGCCTTGAGCCATTGCTGTAATAATTCATTTGAATCAGAGTCTGTGCAAAGTGTTTTTACAACACTCATCTCACTTATGTATATGTTATGGCAGAGAACCCTGACTGTTGTGGCATACCCTCTCCTTAAAGCTAAATCACACTCTTTTCAGTGAAGATGACTGCTGTGTATAGAACTGCAGGCTTAATTCGTTTTTGCATGGGGCGGTAATCTATGTTGTTCTTTTTTTAACTGAGTAAATAAATAAGGACAACTCAGAAGAGTAAATAGATTCACCCTCTCCCCTGCAGAATCTTTTTTTGGCACAGTGAAGAGATATGTGGTAGTATCTAATAATTTTCCATTTTATAGTGCACCCTCGACGTCTTGGCCCTGCTGCAAGGTGTCCCTGAACCTGTCTTTTATGAGATGTTCTTACAGTATGAGGATGAAGAAGGACATGTCCGACTGTGGCCAGTCCCTGTAGAGAATCCAGCAATACTTACAAACAACCAAGGTGAGCCTTTCCTTGGCTGTGTACACACAAGATACATTTAGAGCACATTTCAAGCACTCAGCTTCCCCCCCATAATCCTGGGAATTGTAGCTTGCCCATCATAGAGCGGCAGTTCGCAGCACCCTTAAGAAACTAGAGTTCTCAGGATTCTTTGAAGGATGATGTTTCAGAGGGTTAGGGATGGGGTTAGAGAGTTAGGAGCTTTGGGTATTATCACCCATACAAACCTTTACTTCTCCATCATCATCGCTCTCTCCTCAGTCTCTTCCCCTCTTCTCTTCCCTTAGCCTTTGTGCTCCTGACTTTTGGATGCACAACTAATTTCTTTAGTTCTTCTACCCCACTTTTCCAAAGCGGAAAGCTTTTAGTGCCATCTTTACAACCTTTAGTGATCTTTTTGAAGCACACATCCTCTGGCAAGGTATTTGCAGCAGGCTATACATAAGGGCAATGAAGCATTACATGCAGGTGAGCGAGTAGGCTGGCGGTGGAGGAGGAGGAATGAAGTGCTCTCCCGCTCTGTGAAAGCAAGCCAGCTGCCAAATGAGAGAAAGACCCCTTTTCTGCACCCAGTACACAGGACAGAACCCCAGAAGACTAGTAAACAGTTGTGCAGGCTAGTAACACTTTGTGGGGCTGTTTACAAGACTGATACTTGACGCATACCTTGCAGCCTCAGCTTTTCAACACGCACTCACTAGATTTGAGTCCAGTAACATTACAACAGTTTTCTCTAAAGCCATGACTGTATACATGCTACCGTTTACTCTGCATCAAACAACATTAGCCACCAATCCATGTCGATCCTGTATTTATCCTGTTGTTTCTTATGAAATAGGGACGCGGGTGGCGCTGTGGGTTAAACCACAGAGCCTAGGGTCAGAAGGTCAGTGGTTCGAATCTCCGCAACGGGGTGAGCTCCCATTGCTCGGTCCCTGCTCCTGCCAACGTAGCAGTTCGAAAGCACAACAGTGCAAGTAGATAAATAGGTAGCGCTCCGGCGGGAAGGTAAACGGCGTTTCTGTGCACTGCTCTGGTTCGCCAGAAGCAGCTTAGTCATGCTGGCCACGTGACCTGGAAGCTGTACGCCAGCTCCCTCAGCCAGTAAAGCGAGATGAGTGCCGCAACCCCAGAGGCGTCCGCGACTGGACTTAAACGGTCAGGGGTCCCTTTACCTTTCTTATGAAATACTGAGTTTAGATGTAAGTTCCCCTCCCCTCAAAAGAGCCTCCCCCCAACTTTAATCCAAACTGGGAAAAATAACAACCTAGCTGCATCCTAAGCTGGCAATGTGTACACATCCTATTTAGCTTAACATTTGCAGACTGCCACAGTGGTAGCTAATCTTTTCTTTGGGCTAAGGGCCTCATTGACTCGTGGCCAGCTCTTCATGGTGAAGTGGGTGTGGCAGAGCTGGAAATGTGGATGTAGTCAGTAACGTTAGAAGAATCATAGAATCATAGAGTTGGAAGAGTCCTGCTGGATCAGGCCGATGGCCCATCTAGTGCAGCATCTTGTTTTCACTGTGGCCAGCCAGATGCCTATGGGAAATCCTCAAGCAGGATCCGAGCACGTGAACACTGTCCCCTTGTGTGATCTCCAGCAACTGGTATTTGGAAGCATTACTGCTTCCAGCTGTGGAGGAAGAGCATAGACATCATGATAAGTAGCCTAGCCATCAATAGCCCTACTCTCCAGGAATTTGTGCAAACCACTTTTAAAGCCAGCTAAGCTGGTGGCCATGACTGTCTCCTGTGGGAGCCATTTCCCTATTTCGACTATGTGTTGACTTAATGCTTTCTTTAATTACAAAGAATACATAGAATTGACTACTCAGTATACAGTGTGCTGCATCATACAATACATAGAACACAATATACAGTGCATCTTTGTCAGATGCTGTGTTTCATTATTTCCCTCTCAATGGTACAAAGGGCTGAGTCTTCAGCATATAAAGGCTTTTGCTCTCCACCACCCCCACCCCCAATGATTTTTCCAGCATCCCATCTCCGAAGATTCTTTCTGGTTGACGGGCTCTCTGGCAGAAAAGTAAACCTGACGAATGTCCCAGCAACTGTTACATTTGCAGCAGAATTGATCCTCAGGTAATAGTAGTAGTAGTAGTAGTAGTAGTAGTAACGCGCAGACGTGTGCTGCAATTGCGGGTGTGGAGTGTGGGGCAGGGATTTGGAGAATGAGTGTTCCTGCAGTTAGTTCAGTAATCAAATCTCCTACCCATTTTAATCTTCCTTGAAGGTCTTGTCTTGATGGGTAGGTTAATCAGGAGATTGTGTGGATTTTAACCGCTGCAAAAATCCCTGATTCTTGCATTAATAGAGGGGAATAAGCAGTTAATTTGGGCATATCTGGGACAAACAAGGCTTGTGTCTTGGCTAAATGGAACAAGCACTTTTTTGTTTGTTTGTTTGTTTGTTTGTTTGTTTGTTTAGAAATGCAAATAGCAGCTGTTGTGTGTGTGGTCATTATCAGGCTCTCAACAAGCAAAGAGGGAGAGTTTAACCCTTTCCTCTCTGCTGTAGTCCTGATTATTACCTTTCCTTTGAGGAAATCCTGTTTTTTGAGGACATCGCCCACTGGCTCCCAAGAGTTTCCCTTGAAATGCAACCAGCTGCTTCAGAGAGATTATTTTTGTTGGCACCCAGGTGGGGAGTTTGTATTAAATTTTCCCTCCCTACCACCCCCAGCCTCAATGATGCTATTTACATAGCAAGAAACATGCAGATAAGCTGCATTTACGCAATTACGGTAATTTGACTTCTCAGATCGCCCCCCCCCCCAGGCCAAATGCAGCCCTACAGGCATCCTCACTGGACCTCCTTTATGCCTTCCTCTCCTGATAATTACAAGGGGAGGCGGATTGGGACGAGAGGGTGGAGTTGCACCCTAGTGAAAGGCCGGAGGTCTGGGAGGTGCTGATCTGGATGTTGGGGGTGGGGAGCAGGTTGTCTGGAGAGAGTCCTACCTCAGCGTCATAGAATGCCTATAATGCAGGGGCTGGGTTGCCTGGCGTGACTCCAACACTGCCTCAGGACGCTGCTTGCTGAGTCAGACTCACTGCTCCATCTATCTCTGTATTGTCTACACTGACCGGCAGTGCTCCTGCAGTGTTTCAGGCAGGCAGTCTTTCCCTGCCTTGAGATGGTGGGGATTGAACCTGGGACCTTCTGCATGCAAAGCAGATTCTCTGCCACTGAGCCATGACCCTTTGGGCTGGATAATCTCCCCCACCCCTGCTGCCCTAAGGCATCTGTGCTGGACCCACCAGCATCCTCTGATTCTGCACGTTTTTAGTACATTGACCTTGGCTCGCTTCTGCCCAATTAGCACCTTTTTCCTCCGCTGCAACTCGTTTTCTCTGCAGAGGCAGAGCGATTCATCACTCCTTCCTCTAATTGCTGGCTTTGTCCTCCGGTTAACCTTCTTTTCCCTCTTCCTTTCTCCTGGCTTATACAGTGTATACCTGCCAACCGGGACTCCTGGAGGAGACAACCCCCCTTTCCTGCTGACAGTGAAATATGCAAGGCGGAGCAGCACTGGAGTCGCTCAGGCAAGGGGGGGCAAGGGGGGGCTCGTCCTCCCCTTCACCCACAGCTGCTCTTCCAGGAGGGAGAGAAATACATGTGTGCGGCAGCAGCTGAAACAATAAGGCTGGCTCCATTCCCCCCCTTCCATTTTCCCCTTCCCTCCAGCAGCTGTTGCTTCAGCAGGTGTTAATTAGAACCAGGTTTGTGCTGGGAGATTGTCAGGGCTGAAAGCAAAGGCGCCCACCTGCCTGGATGCTGGCCTGCCTTTCCCCCTGCAAGGAAGCTGCCTCTGCCAATCAGATGAGAAGTCACCCAGGAAACAGGCAGCGCAAGTGGAGGCAGGCTGGCTAAGCAAGGCCATGTCTGCCGTAGTAGCTCAGCAGTAGAGAAGCTGCCTTGCATGCAGAAGGTCCCAGGTTCAATCCCTGGGATCTTCAGTTTGGGGCAGGGAAAGCTGGCAGGTGATGGGAAAGACTTTTCTCTGCCCAGGACCCCAAAGAGCCACTTCATAGTAGATTAAGAGTGTACAGGTGATAAAGTTTTAAAGGAGGGTTAGACAAATTTGTGGAGGATAAATAAGACTTAATGGATACTAGCTGTGATGGCCATGTTCTGCCTTCACTGTTAGAGGCAGCATGAGAATCACAAGTGGGGAGAGAGCTGTTCCCTTCAGATCCTGGGGATCAGCTTCCTATAGTCCAAATTAAAGTTGATTGGGAGTCATGTGCAACAAACCTGCTTCCTCCAAAATGTCAGGCTTCTTGCAATAAGGAGTGTGAGAGGAAATGCACTCGTAAGTGTGGGATAACACTTGCTTTGATGCTATCCAACCCCCTGCAACAAAATTAGAATGAATGGTCAAAAAGTCAATGTTGTCTAATCTCCCTGCAGATAATCTCCCAACCAGTAAACTGGTTGTCTGGAAGCACCATCAGACCCAAAACCTTTAAGCATCATCCAGCATGCAGCTCTCTGTCCCTTGAGTCTTCCTCCTTCCCTTGCCTGCCTGCCCGTCTTCAATCGGTGCTCTCACTCCTTCCTTTTGCACACTCTGCTGTTCCCCTACAACTCAAGTTGGTTATGCATAGCACAGGAGGATTCCCTTTGCTACTTGGCTTCGACTCTGCAGTCTCATTGATTTACTTGGTGTGATGGGTTTTCAGCAAGAGGAGAGAAATGCTGTCTCTGACAGTGTGGTTTGCTGAACAAGGGGAAACACTGATGGACAAAGTCACTGAGAAATGAGCCCGCCATTATTTCTGTTAACGTAGCATGCCAGGGATGCTGTTCCTTGCATATGCAGAAGAGGAAAATCCTGTATAAATATACTAATGCTGAGTGTGGATACTTCCCTAGCCAAAATGGCACCAATCATGCTCAAGCCAGAGGTATTAGCAGGCTTAGAAGAACTTTAAGCTTGTTGGGGTGGTGGGGGAGGGGGAAGAATGCTTAAGAGGGATGACCCCCAAAAGTTAACAACAGTCCAATGAAAAACTGGGCACTCTCTGTGGGCATGGAATTGTGACTGGCTGTTGGGAGCAAGGGGAAAGAAAACTAGGATGGGGAAATGGAATGGAGTATCCAGGGCAAGGGCCTTGCTGGAACACTGAACAGTAGCACTCCACACAGTTCTCACGTGCATGTTGCAAAAAAAAATAATCCATGCAGAATCAGACAGGTTGTTTAATAACATTTTGAAATGGGTTACAAGCTTCCAGGGTTTCAAGAGTGCGAAGATCCCAGAGCAATTCAGATTATGTCTCCTGCCAGCTTACCCAAACTTTGCACGATGTTTTCCAAAGCTTCTGACAATAATGACGTCAGCTGAAGCTGTGCCCACAGCCTGCAGCTAACAGGCCTGCTTTCTTCCTATTATTACTTCTCTGTTGTGCTATTTCTTTTCAGGTGTCATTTTCAGTCTCTTATATTCAGGATCCTGGAACGGCTCAGCAAGCTACAGATGTGAGTAACTCTCATGGCAGGATTCCAGAAGGGTAGCTGTTCCTGGGTTTGCTCTTCCTGGGAAGCTCTTCCTGGGTTTGCTGTGCAGACTCATAGGTTTAGGGCAGCTTAAGCTTTCATGGGCCCACAGACAGACTAGTGAAAATAACACACAAAAAATTGCATTATATTAGGAAAGAGTGCTTAGCAAAAATGTGTATATTTGGAGAAAATCACACTAAAATGGTGGTGCATTTTATTGAGCACTTAAAAAAAGAAAGAAAGAATTTGCAAACCAATGTGGAGAGGATAACTGAAGAATGGAAAAATAAGAAACAGAAAAAACCAAAACAAGACCGGTTCACTCATCCCTATGGATGACACATCTGCTTCTGTCCTCCATCCCTGCCCTCTCTCTTGATAGATTGCATTTGGAGCCCTGGGATTCCTTGCAATCATCTATGCCTTCCTGGAGACCAGCACCTGGACCCGACGATCTCGACTTCCAAACATAAGTTTTATGGTAAGTTTTCCTTTCATGGGTGAGCTGCTGGAAATTCTTGCAGTCGCAAGAATGATGTGTTCCTTGATTTCCTCTTCCTTTGTTGGGCAGACATGGCAGGTATTTTTCTGCCTATTTACACTTTGCTAGCAGAAACCTGGCTATAGATGATAGTGCAGGTTCCATTTTGCTCCATTTGCAGTGCAGTCCTTCTCTTCCTTCAATATTTTCTTCCCTCTCGAAATTTTTTTTTATTTTCTTGCAGGTCATAGTGAAATTCTTTGCCAACTTCAGTGGATCTCTAGCAAATGTCTTTTTCATGGTCAGCCTTGGAATTGGCATTTATTGGCTCATAGTTTTCAAGGTAAGTAACTCTTGGAACTAGAATATTCCTGCAGGTATCTGCACTGCATCTTTCTTCCACTTGGAGGTGATGTCAGATGCCGCTGGAGGGGAAGAGGTGTAGCTCTTGTAGAAAGTCCTGTTCAGTCCCCAGCATCTCAAGGCAGAGGGGGAAAGACTCCTGTCTGAAATCCCAGAGAGTCATTTCCAGTAGACAATACTGAGCACAACAGGCCAATAGCTATATTCAGTTTAAGGTAGCTTCCTGTGTTCTTTCCAGCCAAATCAGTAATAGCCAGTGTACTTGAAACATAGGAGGCTACCTTTTAAAGAGTCAGACTACCTGGTCCACATGGGCATAGCTGCCCCAGCCCCCAGCAAAAATCCTGGCTACACCCATGCTGGTCCATCTAGCTCAATAGTGTCAAGACTGGCTGACAGCAGTTCTCCAGTCTCTCCCAGCCTTACTGGAGATGGCAGGGATTGGACTGGGGGCCTTCTGGTATGCAAAGCATGCACTCCGCCATTGAGTTTGGTTCTCTGTTTGTTCCCGTAATGAGGTTGCAGGTTCTGTGCTGGAACAGCCATTACCTAATTGCAAGGCGCTTATGAGTTCTAAGCCCTGAAGAATTGTCAGTAAGTAAAGGCCTTCAGAGGGACGCAGGTGGCACTGTGGGTTAAACCACAGAGCCTAGGACTTGCCAATCAGAAGGTCAGCGGTTCGAATCCCTGCGACGGGGTGAGCTCCCGTTGCTCGGTCCTTCTCTTGCCAACCTAGCAGTTCGAAAGCACATCAAAGTGCAAGTAGATAAATAGGTACCACTCCAGCGGGAAGGTAGACAGTGTTTCCATGCACTGCTCTGGTTCGCCAGAAACGGCTTAGTCATGCTGGCCACATGACTCGGAAGCTGTCTGCGGACCAACGCCGGCTCCCTCAGCCAGTAAAGCGAGATGTGCGCCACAACCCCAGAGTCAGCCACGACTGGACCTAATGGTCAGGGGTCCCTTTACCTTTTAAAGGCCTTCTCTGTTCCATCCTCATTTCCAGTCCTTCTTCCCAGGGTCAGCAGTTTTCTGCAGTTGAGAGGACACTGCCCACTGCTGGGAGCCAAATAGAGACCAACTTTATCATCTACTTGTTGTCTGCTCTTGTGTTAAAGGTAAGAACATTGGGAGATACGGGCATTTGAGATGTCTCTGGCATTGCATCTCACAGAGAAATGTCAAAGTTTTAAAAGATGGCATATGTAACCACAACAAAAAACACTGACGGGAAAGGTTGTTAGGGCTGCCCTATCCTGGATGGAAATATCATGCTGCTCAGTAATTCAAGGGATTTGAAGAACATCAGTTGCTTTAGCAAGACTGAGACAGACTGGCACAGCTCCCTGGAGAGCATGTCTAGGCTGTAGACCTAATTTAGTTCAACTGGCATCACTTTCCTCCAAGCGGCCCTGGGAATTGTACCTCTGTGAGTCTTTTGCTAGCAGGTAAAAAGTGATAGGTTTAAAAAGAAAACAAACCTTAGGTCCTGGGTAACAGCAGTTTTTATTTACCCCAGCCTCTTTATTCAGGCTGCTGTTGTTTTCATTCTGCCACTGCTGCTTATTTATAGAATGGTAGAGTTGGAAGGGACCCCAAGAGTCATCTAGTCCAACCCCCTGCAATAGTATTATTATTATTTCACTTAATGCTTTTTTCAAAAGATGTCTGTAGCTCACTTGCAAATACTGTATTTTTCCGTGCTTAAGCCAATATATTTTCCTTAGAAATAATCAGCTAAAATTGTGGGTTGTCTTATAGACGGATATCAGAGGGGGGACTGGCGATTGGTGATAGTAGCCAGCAGGAAATTATCTGTGGTGATTGTGCGTGTGAAGGTTGCTGCGGCAAGGCGTGCTGATGATTAGCTGCGGCTTTGACAATTGGGCGGGCTATTAACAGTAGCGGTGAGGCATGCGTGCAATTGGCTGTGGTTGCGTTGAGTGTGCTGCTGGGTTTTCTTCAGTGAGTGTGCAGATGATTGTTTGCCCCCCTCCCAAAAAAGCTCAACAACTTTGGACAATTTCCCCCTAATATTTTTTGCTGCGGTCCCAAAAATAGGGGTCATCTTATACATATATAAAATAAGGTATATACCATGTTAGTGTTCAGAATGGCTTAACTTATATTATTTTGTTGTAATTTCGAGTAGGGAAACCTGACTCACTCCAAATGTTATTGGACTATAACTCCCATCCTTCCTGACCATTGGCCATGCAGGTTGGGCACAGTGGGAGGTTTAGTCCAACAGCATATGGAGGGCCACATGTTTCCAGGGTAGAGAGGCACCTCTTTGCCGTGGCCTTTGACACTTGAGGGGTACGTTTTTAGGAGTCACTCTGGGGAGAGTTCCAAGGGCCAGATACAAAGGTCTGATTCTGCCGTAAACCCTGCCATAAGGTACTGAATTTAAAGGGACCGCTGGCATTCAGGCTTGGGGTACACCTCTGCCTAAGGCAATGGGGCCAGTGGTTTGAGAGCTGCTATTGGGAATGTCACACTCTAAACCGCTGGACAACCTATATTTGCATCACTGAGAAATAACCCTCTGTGGATGATTTTGTTCCAGAGCTTGGACCTCATACATATTCTGATAACCCAGTTAACAGTTTCCATCTTCCTGATAGACTGGGAGAAGCCAAAGGAGAGAGGAACAGCAAAAGCATCTATGGGTAAAAGTTTGCCTTTGTTTTCTGATAGGTGGTGTATAGGGCTGTGTAAAGGATGTGATTTGAAGGCAGCAACTGAATGTTGCAAATTTCAAAACAGACAAAAGAAAGCATCCAGCCATGGAAGCAGAACATAGTTAATCATGGCTAGTAGCCATTGATAGCCTTTACCTCCATACATTTGTCTAATCCATTTTAATAGTCATCCAAGTTTGTGGCCATCAGTGCCTCCTGTGGGAGTGAATTCCATGGTTAAACTATACGCTATTTGAAGAAGTACTTTGTTTTGTCTGTTCTGAATCCTCCAACATTCAACTTCATTGGGTGTCCACACATTGTCGTGTTAGGAGTGAGAGTACAAAACTTGTCTCTGTCCACTTTCTCCATTCCATCTCTGTGCAGGGCATGTATAGACAGAGTGGTGCTCTCCAGACATGGTTGTACAGTCAACTCACATCTTGCGTATGTTTAACTTGCATGATTTCTGCTTTTTGCACTTGGTGGCCAGCCAGCTAAAATCGCACAAATTAAAAATACAGGGGGCGGAGAGCTTAAAAGCTTTTTGTGTGCAGGGTTTTCCTGGTGTGGAAAGAGCTCTTAAGCTGTCTGCCTTGCTCACTCGGCTCTTGGAGATCTCGCGGGAACTCGGGCACCTTGAGAGATCTCTCAATAGCCTCCTAGAGCCCTGTAAGCAAGGCAGAGAGCTTAAGAGAGCTCTGCCTCGCTTGGCGGGTAACACCTGTTTGCTATGCCGGGTCTAGAAAGGTAAGGATGTTTGTGTAGGGGTGGTTCCAAGGGGGTGGTTTGACTGTACATGTTTTTGTGTATATGTACCATCCTTGAAGTGTAACCCCCCCCCACAAGGTTCAAGTTGACTATACTGCAACTCCCATTATCCCTGATCAATGGCCATACTTGATGGGACTGATGGTCATCCAGCAGTATTTGGAGAGCACCTCACTGGCTACCCATGATCTAGGGCTAGCCAAGGAGGATAGCTGCTAGGGCAGCATGCCAATCAGTGCTCCATCTACAAATCTCTAATTAGCTAGGAAGAATCATCCGATGGCTTTCCCTCCCAGTCTCCTGTGACTGCATCCAGTTCCAGGGTTGCGCTCAGCCATTTTAGTTTAAAACACAGCCAAAAGTAAACCCCATCTTATCTTGCATCCCTTCACATGCCCTTTCATTCCACCTACTATTGTATTCAGGCAAAAAGGGGTGGCCATGGGGCTTCCTAGCATTTTGTGGGATGGAGCATGAAACGTTTGACACTGCGTGCTTGCTACCGGAGGATGTTCTTGAAGATCTAAAGCTTTGACTCCCAGGAAAATGAGGGCAATGTTACCTACAGCACATTCGCACAGCTGTTGTGTGATACTTGCTTGTTTAATTAGTGTTGGCAAATCACTTTGAGGCCCTCGGTTCTTCTGGGAAATCAGCAGGAGCCTGTTCCAGGAAGCAAGCTTGCTTCAGATTGTAACGATTTCATATCAGGAGAGGTAAATTAACATAAGCAAGGGCTCAAGGAAACCCAGGGGCGTTGAGCTTTGCACTTTGCCAAGAATCCGATAAGCTCATGTGGAGTCTTCAAATAAAGCCAATTGTTTCAGCTTCATTGTGTGTGTGTTTTAACCTCCCTCCCCTGCTTCAGGATATCAGAAGGCTACTTCCTCTGTGAGTGCCTGGAGAACTTTTCTGATCGCTAATGAGTGGAACGAGATCCAGACCCACAGAAAAGTGAACCCTTCACTCCAGTTGTTTGCCGTCTTGCTGCTACTGGAGGTGAGAGAGAGCGAGAGAGATTAAGGAAAGAAAGTATCTGCTGTGCAGTCTCTGTGCTCTGCTACTGATAACTTTCCTCTTTCTCAAGGTCACTGATATAATATACTTAGGACAACAGCATGCACAACCTTCTGCACAGATTGCCAGGGGTGCAAAAACTTCTGCCAAACTTGGAAGACAGTTAGATTTTCTAAGGGCCAGCTCAGAGGCAGGAGGAGAGGAAGTGTCCATTTGGATTGGTAGAGTAGAAGGCAGGGAGACCAGCAGTAAGTGGAGCCAGAGCCAGGACAGGCAGAGGTAACATGCTAAATTCCACAAGGGCAACACTGAGACTAATGGAGGAAGAAGCTAGAAGGCAGGACACGGAGGTTGCCATCATCTTCTTCTTTCTTCTCTGGCGATCACCTGTAGCCAAATAAGATTGTTTTAACAAAGAGTCCGTAAGTGACTGTGGAGGCCAATTCTGGACCCACACGTCCTTCCACAGTGGGGACATTGGTTCCCGGGCGGGATTTGATCATGGTGTGGATTTGCCAAGCGTGCCTTCCTCTTAGCACGTTTCTCCCTTGCGTTCTGAGTTCGAGTGTTTTCAAAGTCCATGACACCTTTGGTGAAGGCTGGTCTCCAACTGGAGCGATTGCAGGCCAGTGTTTCCCAGTTGTCGGTGTTTATACAACATTTTTTTAGATTTGCCTTGAGACAGTCTTTAAACCTCTTTTGTTGACCACCAGCATTATGCTTTCCATTTTTAAGTTCAGAATAGAGTAGTTGCTTTGGAAGACGATAATCAGGCATCCGCACAACATGACCAGTCCAACAAAGTTGATGTTGAAGAATCATTGCTTCAACACTGGTGATTTTTGCTTCATCCAGTACACCGATATTAGTTCGCCTGTCATCCCAAGTGATGTGTAAGATTTTTTGGAGACACCGTTGATGGAATCTTTCGAGAAGTTGAAGATGGCGTTTGTAAGTGGTCCATGTTTCACAAGCATACAGCAAGGTTGGTAGCACAATAGCTTTGTAAACAAGCATTTTGGTTTCCCTGTGAATGTCCCGGTCCTCAGACACTCTGCACTTCAGTCGGGAGAGAGACGCACTCGCAGAGCTCAGGTGATGCTGGATTTCGGCATCAGTGTTGACCCTTGTGGAAAGATAACTGCCTGGGTAGGAGAAGTGATCAACATTTTCCAACGTTACACCACATAGGGCCATCATGACTAATAATCCTTGGTAGGCCCCTCTGCCTACATTAATTTGTCTGATCCCCTTTGTTAAGATATTTAAGCTATTGGCCAACACCACATCACCCTTTGCCCATCAGTTTTTACTGAAGTGTTTGACACAATAAAGACAATTTAAAATAATCACTGTACTTCTAGTTTTTATAAGACCTTGCAGTGTTTTTAATATGGTGGTGCAGTTTAAAAATATTTAAAGAAAGGAAAATAAAATAAACCATGGGCCTAACTTATGACCTTACAGTGTCTTCATGTAACTTATAAATTGGGCATTTCTAAAGCTTTTTAATTCTCCAAATTACAATGTGGTTGACTCAGCAGCCCTCTCAACTCTTATGACTATGTAATCAATCCAGTTTTATGGGGGGTGGGGGAGCCATATCCCTGGGCCCACTCAGTGAGGTTGAGAAGAGACTTAGGCCCAAATCCCACTATGTTCTGTTGAAGTGGGGACCAAACAGGCTTCTTTTAATTTCTAGGTGGTGGGGCTTAAGAATCTCACATCAAGAGACCTGAATGTGAATCTGCATCCGGGACCAAATGCCTATCATGCTCCTTGGAGCCCAATTCTTCGGTTTGGGATTGCTGCTTCTGTTTGGCTGGCAGTGGGGATTGTACAGGTAATCTTTCTCACAGAGTTTGGTTTAACTAAAGCTGCGTACACACTATAGCTTAAAAGCATATTTGAAGCACATTTTGTCTCTCAGAATTTACGGCATTGTAGTTTGTTAAGGGTTTCTGGGAATTGTGCTCTGTGAGGAGTAAATGACAGTGCCCAAAATTGTTTGAGGGAAAGAATGTGTTTCCAAGGTATAGTGTGTACACAGCCTAAGAATATATATATATCCTTGATGCTGTATTAGAATAAAGGGCTATCTAGGTCATTCTACATCTCCTCTTCCTTTAGTGCTAGTGTGGAAAAATGTAACAAATGCAAAACCAAGAGCAATAGCTAACCGTTTTTGAAAGGTCCTTAGGTAGGTAACATGACAAAAGAAGTCAGCAATCTTATTGTGTGCATGTTGTAGGACACCCTCAAAGACCTCATTTGCTATATTAAGAAATAAGGCCAAGGTCGCCAACCTTTTGGACTAGTGGACCCATTTTGGATTTTGAAAGAGTGCTGGCTTGGGGTGTCAGTCACAAAATGGGTGCCATGGAGAGGTTGTGGCAAAACACAAAATGGTTGCCATGGGGAGCATGGCATAACACAAAAATGAGAGAGGCAGCCATCCTTGGCAGCCTAACAGAGCACTTTAATTGTGCAAATCTAAGTTTCCAGTATGCGCTTGAACCCCTCCTGTAAAATGAGGCACCCTTTGAGTATTGCTGCTGCTGAGGAACCTAGCGTGTGTTCTTGCCTACCATAATTACAGGGTGATTATAGGCAGCATGCCTTTTTTTTAAACAGGTGCTGTTTTCTGTTGGGTTATATGAGCGGTTTGTAGAGGACAAGATTCACCAGTTTGTTGATCTTTGTTCCCTGAGCAATGTGAGTCGCATTATATTTATTTAACAGGATTTCTATACAGTGCAGCTTAATCATTCAAACTGCTAAGCAGTTTATGTTCATGTACTTATTTACTATATTCCTTCACCAAATGGTCCCAGTGTGGATTACAAAAATATCACAAATTTAAAAAATACACCTTCATTAAAATAACAAATTTTTATTATTTTATTTGAATGCTATGAGAGCCCGTGTGGCATAGTGGTTAGAAGACAACCTGGGAGACCAGGGTTCAAATCCTCCCTTGGCCATGAAGCTCACTGGGTGGCCTTGGGCTATCACTGTCTCTCAGCCTAACCTACCTCACAGGGTTGTTGTGAGGATAAAATGTCAGGAGAAGAGAACCGTACAAATGTAATAAATAAATATGAAAATTACAATCATAAGGCAAGCCAATAACAAAACAGTGCAGAGCAACAAATGGCTGAGCTGCATAGAGATAAAAGTTTGGCCATGCGCCATTAGCCAAAGTCACCACAGGACCAGTTTGTTCACTATCCTTCTCCAAGATGGGCAAGCAGGGTATTATCATAACAAATTAATTATACAGGCCTTCTAGTGACTCATAACTGACTAGTTTATTTAGTGTATTTACAATCTGCTGTTCAATTTGAATAGAATTTCCAAAGCTGCTGCTGATGGTAGTATTTGTTGTGGTAGTAGTAATAATAGGAAAACAAATTTTAAAATTCTTAAAACAACAACAGCATTAAAGCACTGGGGCAAAGTAAACACCAACACCAGGTAAAATCAGCAGATGAAATGCATTCAGTATGAAAGCCATCTGATCATTGGTAAATTAAAACCATACTAAAATGATTGAGTGGTGATTTTGTAAAGTCTTCATCTGCCTATGGAAGTCTGCCTGGGGAGAGGACATTCTTTAACTGGGGCACCTGCCCCCAAAAGGCCCAGATATGTTGGGTGTGGTTGAATTGCTCTAGAGTGGAGTCTTAATTGTGCCATTGTTAATCAGTAAACAAGCTTTGATTACAATCGTGTTCAAACATGTTCTGAAACTGTATTGCCCATTTGAAAAATGGTTGCGTGCTTCATTTGCCTCTCCCTGTCCCTCTAGGTGTCAGTGTTCATATTGACACACAGATGTTATGGTTTCTACATCCATGGGAGAAGTGTCCATGGACAGGCAGATGTGGGCATGGACACCATGCTCACCTATATCAGGAAGGAGGAGGTAATAGTGTCTACTGGTCCATCCATCTGTCCTTTCTCTTTATGACAATTACTTTGTGCACCTGGGAAGGCTATATCTCCCTGTTGGATTTGCCCATTTTCAAGTGAGCTTGCCAGGATTTAAACCCCATTAGCTACTATTTTTACAAGGCTATGGCGATCATGATTCAACTGAAACCGGAGGGAGTTGAAAGGTAGAACTTGTGGATTTTATAGTCACCACATCACCCCGCCCCCCAATAAATAATAGGAATTCTGGACAACAGCCATACAAGAAATATGTAAAATAACTAAGCAAGTAATAGACATCACCCCAGAATTGGCCCTACTAAACATCTTCCAAGACAACAATGCCCATTTACACCACAAAGAACTCATAACCCACCTACTTTCAGCAGCCAGAAACACCATAACCAGACACTGGAGAGACCTGTCAGGAGTAAGCATGGACCAATGGTACCAAATAGTATGGGAAACAGCCCTACTAGAAAAATTAACTAATAAACTGAAACTGACACGGGGACAAACAGAAGAAGACGCCTTCACCCCGGTATGGCTCCCCTTTATCACATACACAGCCCAACAGGACAATGACAATAATCCACCAATAGCATACAAATCAATATGGCTAACCTGATCCAAAACACACACCCACCTCACTCACACACGAAAACAAAGATCACCACAGCCAATCACAAGCAAACAATCACACCCTAGACCAACCCCAACCTCTCTCACCACCAAAGGAACACAAGTGAACAACACAAGCAACGCTGACACCAAAATCTACATACATTAAACATAATAGAAACACCGTCACCCAACCCCACCCCCATCCATCTTCCCTCTCTCCACCCCCCCTTTTCCTTTTTCCTTTTTTTCTTCTCCCCTTAATGCCTCAACAAATGAAATGGATTTGTAAAAATGTTACATGGGAAAAAAAATACGAGGCATTACACTTACTTCTGTAAAACAAGAAAATCCTTAATAAAATATTAAAAATAAAATAAAATAAAAAAAATAATAGGAACATTGTTATCAATTCCATTAGGTCTTGTGCAAAAATAAGGCATGGGGCAAGGTTTCTATGACTCTATTCACACTCCCATTTCCTGGGCACTCGCTGGGTTTTAATCCATGTTCACTTGATGTTATCTCAAAGGCATATGTATCCTGTACTTTGTTATAAAATGCTAGATGAGTTGTTTCTCAAATCCACTTTAGGCCTAGTCCTTAAGCTGTTTGTATGAACATCTTGGCAGAGGGTCAAGACATCCCCTGCCCAGTCAACACTGCCTAGTGTCTACAGAAACAAATCTGACATAAATAAAGCCCTGTTGATGTGAACAACTAGGGGGTAAAGAGCTGTGAAATGTGCAGGGGGCACGGAACAACTTCACTGTGCTTTAAGATGGTAATGTGAACACACCCTTAGTCAAAGGAATGTGAACTCCAATATGGTTTGAGCCTTGGCTGGCACGTCTCTCCCTCCCTCTCCAGAAGAGATCTCTGATGTCAGATCTCTGATATTTATGCTTTGTACTTCCCAATTATTATTCTTTCCACCCCTTCCATTGGTTCTCTCCACAGGAGAACCTCTGTGCTCTGAGAGGCCTGGAGGCCTACTCTGATGTGCAAACATTTGAGGTGCTTCTTACTGACAGGACTCGAGCATTCTATGACAGAATAACTCTATCTTTCATGGAGGTACAGTACCTAATCCTATTTACTCAGTAATTGTTAGACAATGATATTGGTCAGCTGTGCAAAGTATTACTTAGAAATGATGATGCCTTCGAGGGTGGAAGCTGTCAGGCCCGGGGGCCACATGCAGACTCTGGGACTCTCTGTCTGGCCTTTGGGATGCTCCCCACAGTCTTCAGGGTGCCACAAAACTTGGTTGTTTTCACTTCTTGATCAAAAGCTAACCTTAGTTGAGCTTTCTTTTGCTGAGCTCCTTCAAGGAACAGCAGCCTGCTAGGCTACAGGCAACCCTCCCGTTTTCCCCTCCACTTTTTAATTTAAAACTCTGTCTGTGCATGGAAGCCAGCGCTCCAGAACAGCAGGTGAAAATTGAGCCAAGATCCCTGCTGCCAAAGGCAAGATCTGAGTGAAAACAAATAGATGTATTTAAAAAAAACCTCTTCAATTGGGAATGCCAAGTAACTGGCACAAACTTTAAAAGTCTGTGCACTTTTTCTGTGACAGGTTCCCAGAGGAGCCCACATCCGACCTGACCTTCACAAACAGAGACTAAATGGCTACTTTGCCTTGAATCGCTTTCTGGTCTCCTTTTTTGAACATGTGAGTCTTTGGCTACCTCTGTCTACTCTTTGTCTACTATTGTACTATTGTCTCCTATTTGTACTGGGTATTTGTATCCATGGTGTGTTCTACACAAAGTGTTTTGCTTTATATACAAATAATGGGGGCCAGCGTCAAGGACCAACATAGTCAGGCATCTACCAAGGGACCACTGACAAGAACCTCTTGGAGCTGCTCTTTCATCATTGCTCACTCACCTTTTATTCTGACCCAGACAATGGTGAGGGGGAGCTTAAGATGTCACTGCTTGCTTACTCATTGGGACTATTTCTGCCAAGCAAGCCAGTGATAACTCAGATGAGGAAGGTAGAGATGGACCACTGCCTGGGTGGTCTATCAGGTCTTCTTAAAATAATAATAGGAGGGTAGCCTAGCCAAACCAAACCAAACCAGGGCTGTTAAGAGAGTCATGGCGGTCGCTAACAAGACAATGGAACATCTTGCTCCAGGTGTGATCAGAGACTGGAGATTTGGATGGTTGCCACGGTAACTGCTTTGGGGCAGGGCAAGAGGCTTCTGGGAAGGAGGAAGGCTGAGATTTATCTTGGTGAGGGAGGACCGCCTGCAATGCTTTGGGCCATGCTGTAAGATCTGGACCCCCTCCATGCAGACTGAGGGTGTAAATAGGCAAATAAACCCTATTTCCTAAAGCACGATCATCTCCACAGTGTCTTCTATTCTCCAAAGGGGCACAGACCCTGTGTGGTTGCCTGTGATCCCATGCGCTCTGGCCACTGCTTGGCAGAGAGAGGGGGCAGGCACCAGGCTTTTGTAACATAATATAGGAAGCCATTTTGATGGTGATGTCATGTGGATGCAGCCCACAGCTTCTTTACATGAGCAGCAACACTTGAGTCCACAGTAAACTGCCATGTGGAAGTACCCTTAGTTAATGTTTCCCCCCTTGTCTTTGTGCATTTAGTGTCATCGTGCAGGCCCAGCTGTGTTGGAAATGAATTATAAGTGAGTCATCTTGTACTGACATATTTCTTTCACTTTTAATTATCTCCTAACTCCCTCCACCCTTTAGAGATACAAAGATATGGACTACATGGTGAAGGACAAATTTTTCCTGGAGCGGATCATGGACATGGAATTCCAAGAACCAGGGGACATTTCCACTCTCTATAATGGTATTCCAAACACTTACCAGTGGGAAATGGTTTATAAGCTTCTGCACTGGGTATTGCCTTTTATTAGCTCACATCCACACCATATATTTAGAGAACTATTGTGCTACTTTAACAATATATTTATTGGTTTATTTCATTTATATCCCACTGATTTCTCCAAGGAGTTCAAGTTAGTATAGTTGGTTCTCCCTGTCCTCATTTACTTCCCAGAACAACCCTGCGAAGAAGGTTAGGGTGAGAGATAGTGAGTGCCCACAGTCACCCACTGAAATTCATGTCTGAGTGGGGATTTCAGCCTGGTCTTCTTGGTCCTAGTATGACACTCTAGCTGCTATACCACACTTGCTGCCACAGGAATTTAACTTTGTTAAGGGTGCTGACTTCACAGAGCTACCAGTTCTTAACAGTCCTGGGAGATGCTGAGCTCCATAATGAGATGAATGAGCCCATGACTGCTCAAACAGAAACCAATCAAATGCAAGGAATGGATATGTGCTATTTACTGTACCACTGATGGTTGAAGTATGTCACTAACCATTATACCAGTCTGTGAGACATGCCCACATTTAGGATACTGCTCCTTGATATTTGTAGATGTTCACACACTCTTAAATTATTTTCCTGTGGCATGGAAACTAACAGGTGGACAATAAAAGTGGACCCTGCAAGACCTTATGGTTATAAAGAGGCTTAGATCACATGCACACCATACATTTAAAGAACACCTTTGCCACTTTAACCGTCATGGATCATCCTGGGAACTGTAGTTTGTTCAGGGTGTTGAAAATCGTAGCTCTCTGAGGTCAGCACCCTTAACAAATAACAGTTCCCAGGATTTTCCATGACTGTTAAAGTGGTGTAAAAGTGCTTTAAGTGGTGGCTGGTGTCTGTTAAGACTGGTAAAGCAGGAGGCAGGGAGTCCACCAGTAGATGGAGCCAGAGCCAGGACAGGCAGAGACACCCCCTGGCTGACTGTAAGTAAGGGTCATAGGGTTGCCATATTTCAAAAAGTGAAAATCCATGCACACAATGTCAAAATTCACCAAAATCTACATAGCCGAAACCCAGCTATATCTGGGAAATTCTGGACGTATGGCGACCCTAGTGGGACAGTGACCCATTTGCCCTAATGGTCCAGCCTCCACTGTATGTTTCAAATGTGTGGTCTGGATGTGGCAATACAGATTCTATTTTGGGATGCATTTTTTTTCTGGAAACGGAGTAATTGCTGTGAGAGTAAAAAGGGTAGAAATCTGAAAAAGATATTATTTTCCTCTTCCTCTAGATGACCGTGCTTTATTTAGCAGAACACTTTTCTACAGTCATGAACTGGTGCTGCTGCTCTTTGAAATCCTTGTCTTCTCTGCTGTAGATTTGGCAGCGCAGGATTTTGTATTGTCAACAATTGTGACCTTTGTCGTGCAAAAGGTAAATGGTTTTGTGACACCAGGTGCATGATATATCTCTAAAGGGTAGGGATTGGGGTGGTGATTTGGGTCAGTTCACATTTTCATACATACCCACCTAATTCTCACTTCACAAAACAATACACAAACTGAAATGCTGCTATGCTTTGAAATTCACAGTTCTCCCAATTTAGTGATGGACTTCTCCAACCAATGCATACAAGAATACATATATTGGGAGAAATACCCACTAAAATGGTGACAGATTTTCATGAGGCCTTAAAAAGAAAAAAATGCCAATTGATGCAGAACTAAAGTTTGGAGAAAGTGAGAAAATATGAAATTGACAGCTTTGTCCTTAGAGGATGGGATGTTAATTTTACTCTCTTAAGAATATGCTTGGAATGGGGAAATCAGTGGAGGGTTCTGCCCCTCTCATTTATTGTGAGAGTGGGTAAAAACTGAGGGTTACGGAATGGTATTGTCAGGCAGTAGACACAAGCAGGGCTGTCTTAAGCATATCCGGCGCCGTGGTGCAAATATCTCTCCGCCCCCCCCCCAATTTCCCAGAGTTGTCTACCTTTTTTAGGGGGGGGGGGCTTTGGTCCGGCTTGTTTACATTGTGTGGTCCTACACGCACTCAGCACTGCACGTAAGTAAGAGGCACCCAGATCGCAGCCCAGACAGCCTCCCGTGCCCTCCCGCAAAGCCTCCCTCTAAGCGCCCGGCGCCCCTTACCTTCCCCCGTCCAGGGAAGTCTGTGCGACAGGAGGGCCAGCAAGCAGATCAGGTGGCTCGCCACCTGTCCCATCCTTGCAGCGCGCTCCGATGGGCAGCTGAGGAGAGGAGTGGACTGCCCCAGAGCAGGGAAGGGAGCATGCCCTGACTCTCCTTCCTGGACACTCAGCCTGTGGCGCCCTCCAAAATCTGGCACCCTGGCATCCCACGCCACTAACGTCTATGGGTAAGACACCCCTGGACGCAGGAGAAAACCAAGAACATGTTTAATGTGATGGGTGTGTTGCCTCCCATTTTAACCAAAAATCCACAGACACACCATGAGCCACCTGAATGCAGCTGGTGGACCACTGGTGCTCCATGTGCCACAGTTTGGGTACCTTCACAATAGACATGTGTCTTTATTGCACTCCTTTGACTTTCAGTTTGTGAAGATGCTTCGCAACACACTTGGAAGGAGGAACCTGGCTGAGAAAACCTTGGTGGAGAAGCAATTCCTAATCTAGTACTGAACAACAAGCTGTTAATCTTGAATCTACATTCCCTGGCTGTGGAGTTGCAGCTGCTAATTGAAGATGTAGTGAAACATTTAGGACACCTTATCTGTTCAGCCCCAGAACTGTGGCATGCACATCTTTCATATGAATTACAGAACTCTGCCCAGGGAATCTGTTCTTGCTGTCAAAGTTCAGTGCCAAAGCATGTGAAGTAGCATAAGTACCTTTGAGCATTGGCCATGCATCTTTCCCAAAGTAGCAATGAAGTGACAGTAAATCTTCACATACCTATTTTAAGTCGCATGGCTTCCCAGCACACATGGGCCTTAGCACTTCTTGGCTTGAAATTTTCAGCACTAGTGGGTGTGAATTGGTAAAAAAGCAAAACGAAACAAAACACCAATACTGTGCTCCTGCATGTTCCAACAGGACAAAAACAATCACAGACCATGGGCTCTGCAGTCAGTTGCTGAACAGAAGGTAGTGGTTGGTCTGCAGCAGAGTGGCTTAAACATGACTCATGGGCTGCATATAATAGTTTTTTGTGGCTCAACACCCACAACACTGATTATTTAAAAACAAAATTTTAAAAAATGACTGCTCCCATGGATCCCTTGCTCTGATTCTATTAGGCTAACAGTTGTTTTTCTTATCTTACTCGCCCTGCAATGTTTTTGCAATGTTTCCCTTCTTCATCTTAGTAGTAGTATTAGAAGTATATTGACTTTTACACTTTGGTCACACATTCTGGCATGCAGCCCCTGAAGGACTGACCATGTGTTGATGCAGCCCTTGGTATGAAAACGTTTAGCCACAAGCGGAAGAGGTACTGTTCTTTTGTGTGAGAGAGCATTAAATTACACTTCTAAGCACATATGGCTGGCCAGTCTAAAGGCCTCCTACGAGCCAGCCAATCTCAGGTGCCCGGTTTTACACAACACCATTCTCTTCTGTGTCTAAAGGGCAGTGTCTAAAATGGTGTCCCAGGCAAGGAATATCTTCAGCTCTCCCCTTCCAATTAATTCAGTGTTTCAATACATTGAGTTGTCCCGGCTGCAACAAAACATGACTCTCCCACATCAGTCTCTACAGCCAAAGCAGGCGTGTAACCTTCCAGTTGTTTGATTTCACCCTCAAAAGCACACTCCTCCATTGTATCCTGAGATAGACGGATGCCAACAACAACACATTGAGTTTTTAAAAATCATGTTTGTAACGCATTTCACAATTTATACTTGTATGAGCTGATTTGTGCACATGGATCTGATCACAGTCCCTTACAAACACTCTGGCACACGTACCATTTGTTTACTGGGCATTGATGTGATGTTGTACATTTTCTTAAAAATTAAAAAGATTTTAACGTAATGCTGGCATCAGCTTTACAAGTGAATGTGAACTTTTTGTGTTGCTTGTTTCAGCTGCTGGATAGTTATTGGATACATTTAGAGTAATAGTTAGCTTCTCAGTCTTACACACACAGACACACACACGAGTTCAGGTGCTTGTTTGGGTCACCTGCTACTGAATCCACCTTTGCTGAATAGGACCTGAGCACATACTAATGTAGGATGGAGCATAACTCATGGTGGGCATTGCGCACAGAAGGTCCTAGATTTTGCCCTTTGCATCTCCAGTTAAAATAATCACATAACAGCTGATGGGGAAATAACTCTCTGCCTGAGACACTGGAGATCCACAGAATACCAGGCTAGATAAGTAAATAGTCTGACTTAGTACAACTCTGACCTGAGGTTCTTGGTTCAAGTCCTAGTGTCCTTGACACTCCTTAAAATAATGAACACGAAATCCTTGTGGAGTCAAAGCCCATTTGCTACTGGTGTGCAGCATAGCAAGTTTGGGGTCTTATTTCCCAGAGGAGGTGGGGAAGACTGCTACTTTGATTCAGTTGTATAAATTAATAATGATGGTAACTTATTGGACTGCTGTGTATGTGTATATTAGGGTCCTGTGTGTGCTTCACGGCACATCACAGGTTGGTATTTGCTAAAGACAAAATTAATCTCCTTTTGTCTTGAGAGTGATTCTAAATTACTGCACTATTGACCACAGCAGCCCACAGAATGAATGGGCCAGTTTTAATAGCTGTTACTGGGGGTGGGGGGAGGTCTCGCGAACAGAGTTTGCTGCTGAACTTTGCGGGGAAAGTAGCTTAAAATCTGCCTTTACCCCAAACTAGGAGCAGAATAAAAGCACACAGCTGAGTGGTTGTCTTTGAATTTGGCCACGTGATTTAGTGCACCTCCAGGCTTGTCAGCATTTTGCAGGAGCAATTCAATTGTAAACCAAAATTGTAGGTTTGTGCATTTAAAGTGGGTTAAATTGATCTGCTGCCCTAGCACCATAAATCCACTTTGGGGTGGGGAGGACTTTTTGCAGTTTGGAAAGTCTCAGGGAAATGCATTGAAAAGTGTGGGATGAAGGAATGATTAACACGAAGACATGTAAACATCCCACAAGTAATTCAAGATGAATGCTCATGGTCATTTAACAGCCCCACAAACAAATCAGAATGAATGCTCAATAAAGATTGGATATGGCCTAATCTTTGCTTAAGCTTTGTGCAAGCAAATAGGTCTGGAGGGGTCATATCTCACTAGTATCTCTAGATGATGTTGAAACCTTCTCTTTTTGAATGCTGTATTGTGGTCCTGATAGAAATTTCCCCCTTTATTGAAACAACAAACAAACTGGTGTGTTCTATGATAATGCACTTACCATATCTAGTTTGGCCCTTCTTAACTTTTTCTTTATTAAAAAAGAAGGTTCAGAAGTAAAACAAGTTAACACAAAAAGAGAGAAAATAGCAGTACTCTTTATTCTATCTGAACTCTCTCTTACTTGCACTGAAAATATATAGCTCTTCTACTAAAACATCTTAACAATGTGCCCAATAACAGGCAATCATCAGCATCCTCCACCCACTCAATGACACTTAATGGCTCATCTGAGACACTGGCCTCAGAATTCTGACAAATCACTAAATCACAATCCAATGTGGCACATTTTATTTTGCTCAGATAAAGTATGTCATCAAGTGTGAATTACAGACCATGGGGAGAGCGAAAAAGGATAAATTATCATTTTTTTCAAAACACTAAAAACTGGGAAAGGCAAGGTCAGGAAAACTGATTGGAAATGGAAAGCGCACAGCTACCAATTAAATTATGGAGTTCACTGTTGCAGGATTTTGTGATGGTCACTAGGTCACTATCATATGGAAGATAAACTTGTGGAGGAGAGAGTTTAAACCTAATTATTTGCTTTGAAATAGCCCAGTGATTTGAGGTGGCAAAAATTCAAAGAAAAATGGGCTGTACCTCTTCAGGCAGGGGCAATGCAGTATGGGGTGGCCACTCCTGATAATGACACCTGAACTGCAAATGTACTTGTCTGCTGAGCTGTCTATGTACATCTGATGTACAAATGATGTGTGGGTTTGTGATAATCATGATACTGTTGGACTCAGTGTCCACTTCTGATCTAGAGGAAACCTGCATGAAAATGTAAAGCATAACCAGGGAGTAGATAAATAAATCCAGCACAGCTTCATTAATCAAGATAGTTGGTCTCATGTGGTTCTGCTGGTTACCCACTGAATCTGGGTGTATTCAGCATCCCTTAAATCTTGCAGCTGGTCCCCTTCAGATTCCTTATCACTCTCCACTAGCTCCAGCTTCTGAAGAGTGCTTCGGATGCTCTGGAAATGGAAAGGTGTGACAATGGTTATTCTTCCAGCCAGTCTAAGGATGATTATGCTGCAAACAGAGGCATGCCTAGGGTCCCTTGTGTCCTTGTTAAGGAGCTGAAAGGTGATTTTTGCATGGTGTGGATGTGACCCATGTCAGAGGACTGGGCTAGTAGTAAAGCTTTAAACCTCTCTGCCCACTCCACTGTCGCCTACTTTTAGAATAAATTATTTTAGCTGCACCAGACTCATGTAGTCTTGTGGGGTAGGGACAAAAAAAATTGCTTCAGGGTCTGGATACAATCCCACCGACTGGTGGTTAGCCACCCCTGGACTATAGTGCCAAGTGATGGCTGCATGTATGCCATTTCCTTAGTAAACTACTACAGACTGTAGACTGTAGAATACCATAGACCAAGCTTCAGGACTTCCTTCTGCAAATTACTAGTAATAACAGGGAATGCGGAGTCATGTGAGTACCAGCAGTCTGAAGTAGTTTACCACCAGTGTGTTATAGTGGACAGAGTGCTGTACAAGGACTGGTGAGACCCAAGTTCAATTTTCCACTTCCCGTGCAATCTTAACCATGTTTACTCAGCAAAGTAGCTGGTTTTTTAATCAAAGCTCACTTATTACAGTAATAACTCTGCTTTCTCACCTGTGTGGACCATGGGAGGGCAGCAGATTGGCTTGTTGTCGTAGTGTCTGGTCTCGCCTCATGGAAGGTTCCAGAAGCGATGTGTATTTTTGCTCTGAAATCCTAGCAAGGCAAGAAATCCTATTTAGGGCAATTATCACACAGCCAAATTTTGTTAGCAATCCCTACCAGGAGACCTGAAAATGATGCATGTGTGATATAACAAAGGTGCTACAATGATCAATAGGCATTAGTGATCTGGCCTCTGCCAATACACTGACTAATTAAAGTACAATGGTGTGACTGGGTAACCAAGGTGATATCTGGTCACAGTAAGCTGCTTGGAGCCTGTTTGTTTTGCCTTCCTGGTAAGGAGAACAAGTGTAATGCAGCTTTCACCAACCAGGTACCCCCCCCCCCGTTTTGAACTATAATTCCCACCTGCCATGCGGGCTTCAGTTTTTGGGACCAAAACATCTGGAGGGCAACAGGCTAGTGAATGCTGCTGCAACGTGCCAGTAACAAGATGGCTGTCACTCCAGTCCTAGGTGCTGTGGCCTACTTGCCACTGAGGGGCTAATCCTGTGAGCAAAATGAGTGCTGATGGGGCTCCCATGTCTAAATACTCCAGGCATACATGCAATTTATTTTGTTTTTAAATCTTGACATAGGCTGCTTACACACTATGACTATACCTTTGCAAAGCACCCCCCTGCACACAAAGCAAAGGATAATGGGAATTGTAGTTTACTCCTCACAGAGCTACAAGTCCCAACATACAAGTCCCAGAATCCCTAACAATCGACAGTTCCTAGAATTCTCTCACTTGTGGGAATGTGCTTTTAATGTGCTTTATAAGTATGGCATGTGTATGCAAACTTTCTGTAACATTTTAGCTTTTTGTTTCCCAAAGCTTGAGGAACGAACTTTCAGTGACAAAACCCCAACCTGCAGTCTGAAGAGGTATATATAGGCCAGGTACAGGTTTATTTATTTATTTCCCTCAGTGAAAACTAGGCTTCTTCTGCTTCCTTATGACACTGAGCATATTCACAGTGGTGGAGAGGGAGAGGGGTGAGGCCTTCTTGGCCCTCTCAGAGAGGCCTAGCAGGTTTGGAAAGGCCTCAGGTCCTCTTCAGAGGGAGCAGGGCCTATGGCCTCCTAGATTGGCCCTCCTAGATTCGTGTTTTCTAAATCAAAAGATAGCAATTTTTAATTTACTCTGTTATGAGTGAATTTCATTTTTGTATTATTTCACAGATTCAGCTACCTCCAGATCTTTCTCTGCATCATAGCTTTCAAGGGTTTGGAAGGCATTGGAATAGACCTCTAGGGCTTTTGCATGGAAGGTCATCTCAATGGTGACAAAGTCCAAGAAGATCTTCTGTAATGAAAGGAGACAGCACATCTTGACATTACCCCCAACTTGGTTTGTGAAGCCCCCCCACAAAGTGACCTTGCTGGGTGAGGAATCTTGAGACCTCAACCACAGAAAGTGCCGATTTTCTCTTCGTTTGAACAGGATGGGGTAAGCCATTTTATAAATGCACTTTCCCCTCCTCTTAAGGTGTTTGAGTCTCGTTGTTTAACAGAAAATGGGAAGTAAAAAAAATAATATCACAATTGAATACACACTAATTCTTGCTTAAAGCAGTCATATCCTTTGGGTTGATACAACCACTTCAGAAGTATGGAAGGTAGAATAAATAAATGGCAAAAGATATAAGAGCGTCTATCCAGTGCTTTTTTAAATGGAGGTACTCAAGGGTATGCAGTACCAGCACTGTTTTTCCTCCAAATGTTAAAAGTGTGGCATTTACTGTAACAACCTCATGGTGAGTACCAGCACCTTAAAAAAAGAAGCACTGCTTCTATCCATTTCATGCATTTATTTGCAAGCTTACTGGAACAATCTAATAGATCTAATACTCTCTGGAGAGAATAATACATATTCCATTTTCAGTTTAGCTTTTCAATTCATTTTCAATTTGTGTAACTTGAACATTGGCAAGATTTAAAACTTCATTTCTGGCAAAGGGGAAAGGTAATTAGCAGCCAACTAATTTTTTGTCTGTGAAAATAACTGAGACTTCATTTTGGTTGCCAAGGTTTTTGGACCCCATGGGCACATTTGGAAATTTGAGAGTGTGTTGTGGGCACCACCCATTCCAGTTGCTTATTTTCTCTTAGTGCCAGGTTTACCCTCTCACTCCCAGGGAGACAGGAAGTGAGAAAGTGTATGTGTGCACATGCATTGATTCTACTGGATCTGATTATTACTGAGCCTCCTTGGAAAAGTTTATTTGCTCTTCCATGGAGTCTGGGTAAAAGTTGGATCAAGCAGACTTAAAATGCATGCTCTTGAATTTGCATGATTTTACATGGATCCCCCCCCCCCGCACTATCAAAGTTAAACATAAAATGGTAGGCTGGACAGTACAACTCTCAGACAGGGTGTTTACTGGCATTATGGAAACATTTATCTAAGGCACAGATCCTCATAGATCTCCATGATTTTTTTACATAGGATGACACAGCAAAACCACTAACAAATCACAAAATACATATATAAACAGCAAAGACCCTTGTTATTGTGGTTTTGAAGGGATCCCTTAAATAATTATGAGGATCCATGTTTTTGTGCCACAGCAATGCTGGAAAACATAAGTTCTGTGATTTTTATGGTTTAGTCAATGGAGACAGATGTGATTTGTTGGTTGATGGGAAGTGTGTGAAAAAAGTATGCAGTTTCAAGTGAATCCATTTTACTGGAACAAACATGCATGTTTGTGTATGCATGTGTGCACCATTTCTCTCTCTCTCTCTCCCTGTCTGTCTGTCTGTCTGTCTCTGACACTCTTTCCTGATTTCTGTGGCACCCCATTTTCTCCCCTCTGGCTGCTTATTTTTCCTCCTCCCTCCCCCTATCCCCCAGATCACTTACCTTTCCTTTCAACCCTCTCTTAGTTGCTCTGCTTTCTAGTCATCTGCTCAGGTACTGACCTGAGCTTTGAAAAGTTCATAGAGATGTCACTCTTTCAACTTTCTTCTTCAGCTCTATATACTGTTTAAGGAGGGAAAGGGGTAACCATACTTGTCACCTTACATCAAAGGAGGCAATGGGTGTGTGTGTTCATTTCAGGGATTTTGTGGGCACCAGGGCAAACCTCTGGTTTGCTATTGGCAACTTCTGGGGATAGATTATAAAATGGGAGTGAAAGAGGCTATGCCACACTTCTATGTTTTCAATCCTTATTTTGCCAGATCAAAAATTTAATCATACTCAAAACATTGTCATTACCTTTAAACCATGATGACAAACCTTTGGCCCTCCAAATGGTGCAGGAGAACAATTCCCATAATAATCATTTACCATGCTGACTAGGAGTTGGGAGTCCACGGGTTTTCTATTCCTGTTTTAAACTTTCCATTTAAATTAATATGTGTTATCATAGATTTCCCTCCTTTTCTGTGACACCAGAGTAATTTGCATTCCCCATCACTATATTATGTTTCATTCTTATTAATTCCAGAATTTGATTGATTAGCAGAGTAGAAGTAAATAGTTCTTCCCAGCCTGGGTGATAAAGGTGGTGGTCACAATCCTATGGGCTTTTGAGAAAAGGAGTTGAAAAATTAGGAGGGCTTTTCTGAAAGAAAACCCATTTCCCCAAAATAATCATCTTTATTGCTCTCAACAACTGCGGTACCCACACGTTAAAGTTCATGTCTGACATGCAAATTTTCCACTAAGTTTGATGATAATAATAATAATTTATTTATTATTTATACTCTGCCCATCTCGCTGGGCTTCCTCCCAAGTACATGGATGTAGAATTGCAACCTTAAGCCTCATGTTATGATTACCCACTAAGAAGTCCTTATTACCTGAATATCTTTTAGCTTTTGCTTCTGAAACTCATCCATGGTCTCTTCAAGTTGTTGTGTAGTTCGGTTCGCATCAACAGAGGCTTTATGTACTTGAGACTCGGCCTAGGCAAAGACAGGGGTGTAATGTTAAGCTTTGAGGCTGTGATTTAAGTATCCTACCTTTTAATCCTGAGTATCTCACTGAGCCTAGGGCTTGCCAGTTGGAAGGTCGGCGGTTCGAATCCCCGCGACGGGGTGAGCTCCCATTGCTCGGTCCCAGCTCCTGCCAACATAGCAGTTTGAAAGCACGTCGAAGTGCAAGTAGATAAATAGGTACTGCTCCAGCAGGAAGGTAAACAGTGTTTCCGTGCGCTGCTCTTGTTTCGTCAGAAGCGGCATAGTCATGCTGGCCACATGACCCGGAAGACCTTTCTGCCGACAAATGCCGGCTCCCTCGGCCAGTAAAGCGAGATGAGCACCACAACCCCAGAGTTGTCCACAACTGGACTTACCTGTCAGGGGTCCCTTTACCTTTACCTGTCTTACTGACAGAGGATCTTTAGGCAGATGCACATCATACATTTAATGCATACCCAACAAACATGACTTCCCTCAATCTTGTGAACTATAGTTTCCCCCAAGCTACAATTCCCAGCACTCTTAACAAACTACAGTTCCTCAGATTCTTTGGCCTCAGGATGTTGCTGTCCCAGTGATGCTGAATTTCATTGTATCTTTTGTTGTAGTTGGTCTTGACAGCTTCCATCAGTTTAGCCAATGCTTTAAATGTGCATTGGATTTACTTTAAATGTATTGTGTGACCTGCCCTCTCTGCTAGTGAAACGGGGAATCATGGCCATGTGTTCTGTTGTGGGAATTGCCAAGGAAAAGTTGCTTTCTGCAAACCTTATGGCCATCTCTGTTAATAACTTTGAAGCACATTATTATTATTTAAATGTATACCCTAGCCTTCCTCCCAGATGAGCCCTGGGTGGCATTCACTTTTTAAGGGCGTAAATTAATTCTTCATTTATATGCTCATTGGGTTATGCTTTAAGAAATCCAAAACTTACATTGCTGCACCAAGGTGTGTGAATGTGTGTGATTGCACTGTGAAAGATCCCTCTAGCAGGTAGCACTGGAAGGCAGTGAACAGATAAGGGGCTTAGCTTTGCATTGCAGGGAGAGGTTGATTTGTAGGCCAAAAGAAAGAAAAAAGGATTAATGCTGAACTGTTCCCAGTGTAGGAAAACAAGCCTTTGGCCTTATCCTGAGGAACATTCGCCTCCTGTGAAATCTGTTTCCGGAAGCATCTGCTTCAAGTTGCTTCATGGTAAGATCAGTCCCAACAGATTTTGGTAGCACCAACTCCTCTTTCCCAAAGTATTTGTGTAGAATAGACACTGTAGGTTGCTGATGAGTTAAATCAGCTTCCACTCAGCACTGCCTTGCTGTGAGCTGTTAGAACCCTAATGAGTGTTGGATGCAACTAAGCAAAGTAGATTTACGACAAGAAGTGCTATTTAAGATACAGTTGTAAACAAGTGGTGTGTGACTTCTGGACCAGCAGAGCACAGTGAGTCACTCTTGCTTATCAGGATGAGCGACGCCTGACAGGATAAATGTATCACTCTCCATGGACACTTATGTACATTTATTTGCAAGGTGGTAATTCTGCCAAAGTTTTGCAAGGGCCTAAGTAATTGTTATTCACTCTCTTTTTAAGCGACCTCCCTCCCCTGATTATGGGGGAATAGAAGCTTGACCTTTGTGTATAAAATATCCTACTGTGAATGCTTTGGAGTTTTGCCGGATTTGGCGGAGCATAATTATAGGGCCCTGTCTCACTGATTGCAGCATAATATAAATATAGGGAAATAATTTGTGTTGCATGGGTCATGAGAATCTGCGCATGTCATCTTAAATGCATTTCATTTACTGTTGGAGTACAACTGAAATCTGCTCCACCAATATTTTAAGATTGCAGTGGCATAAATATTTCCGAGTCCTGGGCTATGAGAATTAGTACAACGTCATAGATACCACTGTAAAATGTAAAATAGGATGTCCCTTCAAAATTACTTCAGCAGCCATGAATTCACTAGGTGCCCTTAAGCATGTTTACCACCCTATCTACAATATGGTGCCTACCTACTTTATTAGGCTTTTGTAAAGATTACTGGGGAAATGTACATTCACACATGTATGGGGCAGGGAAAAGCTAGTTTTTCAGGGAAGAACCCAACAGTGTTTTTTGTTTATTGGAGAGGATTAAAAGTGTGATTTACCATTGTGAAGTCTGAAGTTGTCCCGTGCACTCTGTTATTTCAGGTCAATGTAATTCTGCGTCATGTATGGGCTAGGCCTGAGTGCTTTGAACTGGCTGGGTGCATTTCTTGATATGGATGGAGATTCCTTTCTCTGTCTTCTGCCATTTGTTGCTGTGCACAATAAGTTGTGAGCAAATGAAGCTGGATCAAGATCCATGCTTTTTGCTGGTGGTGCTGCAGGAATTGTGCTGAGAGTCACAATATATATCTTGTCTGTGAGTCAGTCCCTAATCCCTCTGAAATCAATGGAACTATTTACAAATACATGTGAAGTCTGAAATGTAAAACTCTGCTCCAGTGTGCTTCTCGAACAGACTGAAGTCAAGCGCAAATGCTATAGTATAAGAACTTACCCAGAAGTAGTGCCAGCAGAATGCCAGTGCTTAAACTGATGGTGTGAATGCTCTTACTGTTGCACTTGTAGCCAACTTTTCTAGAGCAAATGGGGAATGGTAGCTGTGGATGCCAGTGTTCATACTTATGCCTTCACTTCAACTTGCATGTTAACGTACACACAGTGGTGATCTAATCCCTTACCTGTGACTGAGTATAAGAGTCAAGGGGGAAAAAATCAAAAGGGGAGCAAAGAAATACCAGTTTGAGTTGTTGGTGCCTTCTTGACTGAGGCACTGCTAAAAGAACACAAGAAGAGTCTGGCTGTTGGATCAGGCCAGAGGCTCATCTAGTTCAGCACTTTGTTCTCACAGTGACCAACCAGATACCCCATTGGGAAGCCTGCAAGCAGACACTTTCTTCAGTCTTCAAAAAAACAAACCAGACTGTTTTTATCAACACACTTAGTTATTCCCAGACTGTTCATCAGATAGGCATTTTGTGACAGAAAGGACAAGACTTTGTGACATATGGGAAACAGGAGGCAGGATCCTGAGCAGGATTTCAAGCTAGAGGCTATTGAAGAGGATAAATTTCACATACAGGCAACTCTCCATTTGCGCGGGGTTTGCGTTCCTGCCCCATCCCCATGTGTTAGTGGAGCATGCATAAGCCCACGTGGCCCCTGCCCTGCCCCTATGTTTGAGCCACTTCTGGGTCTGGGGTGATGAGCATGTGTGTGGTCGTGCATCAATCTTTATAAGCTGGATACACTTGACTTGCCTGGATACCCTCTGGTCCCTCTTTAGGCCATCATAATATTTGTTACAAAAGTGGTTTCTGGAGTGGTAGTCCTGTTAGCTTGTTGCAGCAAAAGAAGCAGTGTCTTATGGCACCTTAAAGACTTCCAGCTTAAGTTTTTAATCTTTAATGTGCCACAAAACTCTTTGTTCTTGTACAGACAGATTTTGGTAGTGGTTTGTGGTGAGAGGGGCCCATGTTCAGTTTCAGCACCAGAGGGCAGTCAAATCCATTAGTAGATCACAGAAACTGTGGCATTGAGGAGGGGAAGGAAAGGGTGTGGGGAGTGAGACATCAATATCACCTACTGTGCATGTATTATAATTTACTCTGGCTCCAGTGTTTGAAGCTGAACATATGTAGCATTAGCCACAATCCGTATGCATCCTGTAGTTTCTTGAGAATATTGCTGTTTGGTGTTTTCCCCCCTCAATCCAGCTTCCATCCAGTTTCAAAACATATGCTACCTAGAGGTAAGCTGAGTGTGTACGTTTGAGAGACAGCCATTGAGCATGCACAGTTTATAGTGCATGCACAGATGACAGCTTTACTGAATAGGAGTTTGGCAGGGTTACAGGCAGGAGGAAATAAATCAGGTAATGTGCATCAAGTGAAGATACTCCTTCCTCTCTGATGTGCACAGACTATGCTGCCTCTATATTGCACATGTGACACTCTTGGCATGACCCAGGGGATCAGGCATTATAGTTGTTCACACCGATTTTCTAGAAGATCTCTGCTGACAAGAGACACCTAGTTGGTGTGTTTCTTCTACAGAGCTCCCTGAGGGGCAGAATAGGCGAAATGAGTCTAGGTCCGGAGCTCAACATATGGCAGCTAGTTGGTACCACTGAAAAGATGAGTCAGGTAAGGGGTGGGGGGACATGCAAGCTCCTTTTGGTCTTCCCTTCTTCTGGTGTCAGCCATTCCATCAAGCTGTTATTAGAGAGATGGGAAACAGGGCTATTCCATCAGCTCTTCTGAGACACCAGCCTCATTTGGCTCTACCCTCAACTGTCGCCTGGCAGCTCTGTATTCTATCAAGCTCTATCAGAGGAAGAGATGGGACCCTTTTAAGTCGAATAATGGGATAAAAATGCTTCAAATAAATAAAAATATTCTGCCAAATGTTCAATAAGCTGCTGGACTCTGCTAAATGGCTGTGGGCCTTGAGTCCATAAGTTTGAGAATTTGGTAATAGGGTGGGAAGGAGGATGCAGTTTAATCTTTTCAGTTCAAATGTGCAGGATTGTCTCCTGGAAGAAACAGCATTTTGCCCCGCACAATCTTCTGTGTGCCTCTTGGAGGGAGGGAGGGAGGGAGGGAGGGAGGGAGGGAGAGAGAGAGCGAGCGAGAGAGAGCGCGCTCTTCTACCTCCCTGGAAGATTGCTCCACAGCTGCCTCCTGCATCTTTCTGTCTTTCCCTTGTTTTATGGCTGCTCTCTCAGCAGTTGAGTTTAGCACAGCAGGGATTAAGAGAATGTCAAGCCTCCTCTCCTCCCCTTGAGAATCTTCCTGAGGATTTTGCTGCTGAGAGCTTCTCCCTTTGGAAGAAAAGGGATAGTTTTTGAAGAAGTTCCTGATTAAAATATCTTTTGCCAAGGGAAGGAGGAAAAAAAGGAGGGAAATCTTTTTTTGAGCTGCCTGGATTATGATGTTTTGCTTCTTTCACCAACACAGGACTTATTTCCCCTTTGGGTGAATGTTTCATGAAATAAGAGGACTCACATTTCTCTCTGATATTTTAAACATACTGATGCTAGGAAGCTATTTGGATATTTAGATTAGAATATCAGACCCTGAAGGAATTAGGTGGCAAATCTGGGCCCCTGGGAATAATGAAGACTAGTGAATTGGGTTTGCTGCAGTGTGCCTGCACTCAAGATCTAAGGCTGCATACACACCATACATTTAAAACACATTTAAAGTACATGGCTTTCCCCAAAGAAACCTGGGAACTCTTGTTTGTTCCTCATAGAGCTACAATTTTGAGATTTGTTAACAAATTATGGGTGTGTGCGGTGATGGGGGAGGGGTTGTACCTCTGGTGGGAGACACGTCATGCTCCTTCTAGGGTTTTCTGTCCACCTTTGGTTCCCACCCTGCACTAAGCTTTCTCCTGTGGCTCCTAGAAGCTGTCAGCATGTGACAGTGGCCACATCCAAGGAAACAGCTTTAACTGGCCTTCTAAACCAGGTGAGGGTAGCCAATGGGTCTCAAACCCTCTGTGAGCATGCATGCAAAGACAGGCTCCAGCTGATTGAGTGGATGAGACCAGTGGTGGGTCCAGTGGTCAAGAAGGCAGTTTCTGCACAAGCTGTAGATGGAAGTGAGGGGAAGAAGGGGCTTGTTAAACTGGGAATGTAGCTCTTCTAGAAGAAGGAAAACTCTGATCCTAAACCTCTGCTTCCTTGTGGGATATCTTCTGAAGAAGAAAAGGCTAAGGAGTAAATCTTACACAAATCCAGAACGGAGTCTCTAAGATGGTTGGATGGGGCCTTGTACGTCTCCTTCCTGCAACTCTGGCAGCCAAGCTGGTGTCAGATATATTGCTCTGCTTTCCTTTGGACTACATCAGTGAGGCCAAGAGGGGGGTCTTGTAGTCTGGGCAGCCCAAGACCTCCATACACAGTGCCCAGGCTTGCATCAGAGTGGTCACTTCAGTGCTGCTAGCACAACTGTTTGACCCCCAGATCCTCACTACATGGTCTCTTGAGACAGATGGATGCCAACAACAAAGCAAGGTAACAAATGACAGTTCCCAGGATCCTTTGGGGGAAGTAATGTGCTTTAAAAGTATGATGTGTACATAGCCTAAATCAAAAGGTGCTTCTGGAGAATCTAAGATGTTGATGCTCTAGCCCTCTAAGATGGCACTGATTACTCAGTGGTGACAGGCCCTCTGCACATGTGCGGGGGCTTTCTCACCTTTGTGAAGTAAATAAATTCCAGGGCGCAGCCTAGCATAGCAACAGACTTGAGGCACAATTTTTTGCATGCCCTTACTAAAATGTATGTCCAGGGGTCATGTGTTTTTATCTCCAATTTCATGTTTGCAGGTCTGTGACAAGGAAGTAATCGTGCAGTGCAGGGTGTGTGTGCTTTCAAAATCTATGCTTGTTATCTGAGCATTATTCATACTATTTTCATCTCATCAGGGCCCCAGTTCCCTCTCCAGAGAGCCGATTGTGAGCCTGCAACAATCTATTTTGCTTTTCCTTATTCAAGGAGATGGTTTTCCCTGTGTATGTCTGTTTCCAATAGGTTTCATTGAATTCCACTGCTTTGTGGAACGCTGAGAAGGAAACCTCACTGTAATAAAAGCCACCCATAGCAAGGGCTTGTAACTTTGCCTTCCTGATCTAGCTGCATTAAGAAGGCCGGAACTCTGCAGTACTGGGGGAGCCAGGACTGTTTTTGCCAGAGTAGGGAAGAGATTGAAGCGGCAACATGCTGACAAGGATACAATCATCTGTCGGTCGGATGGTGACTTCTGTCGGATCTTCTCCAACTTCTCTAGCTGCTTTATTTCATTGTTTCGGGCCTTGTTGAATTTCTTAATCTCGGCCTGTTTAATGTAGCAAAATACAACAATTTTATTGGTATATTTTAAATTTTAAAAAGCCCTCACATTATAAAATATCAGAGTATGGTTCAAAAAAGCAAAACTAAGTATAAAATATACAACAAAAATAATACAGTTAACAGTTCAACACCAGAGAATGCTCAGTTGACCATAATTAAAATTTTCATTAAGCTAAAGCTTAGGGAAATATAAGGTCTTAAGTATGCATCTGAAAGAACTGATTGTGGGAGCTTGTCTCATCTCATGTGATAATGTATTTCATGTTAAATAGGCCACAACTCTAGAAGCCCTACTATTGCTAGACAGAAGGCAAATATAGGAGTCCTTGGTACCACCAGGGGTGGTTCTGTGTCATGGGGTGTAAGGGGTGAGATATTGTCTAAAGGAGCTATCTCTCAATTTGTTTACAGCTTTGTAAACAAGTAGACACCTTGAACCTGGGTTGGTAGCTTATGGCAGCCAGTGCAGATGCTTCAACAAAGGTGTAACATGTTAATGACTGTTAGCTCCAGGCAGCAACCTCACAGCAGCATTTACCAGTCAAAGCTAATAGAAGCAGCTTCCTATGTTCCTACACCTGCTTCTGCATGAGCTTGTGTCCTAGTTTAGAAAGTCATTGCAATTCCACAGTGAATTTGGTGTGGGGTTGTCTTTTAAAATAAATTATTTGCTTACCCTAGTTTGCTTGATGAGCACCCCATACATCTTCAGAGGTGCAATAACCTTCACCTCCAGTCTCTCCACCTAATGGAGAAAGCAGGACAAGCATAAGGAAACACACATTTTAAGAATTGCTACATTGACAACCATGGTGCACCGTTAGGGGTTTTTTCATTTGTTTTTGTTATGTTATGTATTTTTATGCTGTATATCACCTTGTGTTATTCACATGAAGGGTGGTATATAAATTAATAATAACAACAATAATAAACAGGTTGCACCTGTTTGATCCCTGCCAGTTATGCAGTTGATGAAAACACAGTTCTTCTGCCACATAAGGTAAAATAAAACAAGTCATCCAGAATATTAGTTCGAGAGGATGTCTGTGTTTGTCTGTTGTAGCAAAGAGTCTTTAGGGCCCTACAAGAATCTTTTTTCTGATCTTAATACAGAATGGATATTCCCTTGCTCTTACTTCATGCACACCCACTGCTCTGGATTTAGGTTGTCAAGGTCAGCTTTTCACCTCTGCCTGCCTGTAATCCTGCACCTTTGCCAGTTCCTCAGCAAAGTTTTTCACAGTGGTCCGCAGCTCAGGATTCTCTGTGTTTCCATAGTCAATGAGCTGCTTGACCAGCAGGTCTGACTTGTCTCGAAGCTTTGCAGTCTTGCGTGTGTAAGCAGCCATCAGAATGCAGAATTTCCCAAAATATTTCTCTGCATTGGTGACTATATTCTCCATTATCTTCACTTGGGTGTCTCTGGAAAAGGGAAACAAGTTCCTGCTTTTTTATTTATTTAAGGCTATGCACACAATTACCCTGTTTACTTCATCTTCAGTGTGCTCCCACTGCTGGTGTTTGAAGCTGAGTAAACATGATGTTAGTTATAATCCACATGTATCCTGCAGCTTCCATCCAGTTTGAAAATGTAAGCTACAGTTAAGCTGGCATGTGTACATTTGAGAGACAGCTGTTGTACATGTGCAGATTCATTTTATTTAATATATTTGTATCCTGCATTTCTCCCAAGTTGGGGTTCAAGGGAGCTTATGACCTTCTAAAATCATCATTTTAAAATACAAACTAAAAAAACCCCACCAGTTTAAAAAATAGTTAAAATACAATAAAACACATTCATAACCAACATTAAAATACCAATTGTCCTGATAATGGCCCAGTTGTCAACATCGTCTGAACAGGGCAGTATTAGCCTGTCTGTGGAAAGATAACAAAGAGGGAACCAGTCTAACCTCTCTTGGGAGGCAATTCTACAGTACAGGAGCAGTTGCAGAAAAGGCTGTCTCTCATGTCACCACCAGCTCTGCCTCTGATGTTAATTGGACCAAAAGAAGGTACTCACTCCCCTGAGGATATTAGCACCCAGCCTAGGGTCCCCCAAAGTTGGTGAGTGCATGTGTGCCATGTCATGTGATCATATATGCAGTGTGGGGCTCACCTGCCTCCCCCCAATATTCCATTCAAGTTGGCACACCTGGCACTCAGGCAGGAAGATATGATCCTTCAAGAGCCTAGGCTCAAGCCATAACAGCCCTTGCAAAGATGTCAGCTTCATTAAATGTTTTGGGGTTAGGAAGTTGCAGGCCCGAAAAAACAAATTAGGTAATGTGCATCGGGTGAAAATGTCATCGCCCCCTCTCTGGTGTGCACAGCAAGTGCAAATGAGACTTAAAGTGCAGTGGGGGAAAATGAGTTTGTTGTGCTGTAAGCTGTAGACATTGTGTTTCTCTTCTTCCCTCATTTTTTCTTCTTCTGGTGATGTCAAAGACTACCCCCTCTCATATTTACCTACCCATGTGCAGAGATTATTATTTGCAGCAGGCCTTCACGTGCTCTCCACTCTCAGGTGAGTTGAGTAGCAGCCAGGTCAGGCAAAGACCTTTTTGTATTGTGGTATCATATCTATGGACTTCTTTCCTAAGGGAGAGGCTTGTTTGGCACTGACACCTACATCTTTTTCACACAGCAACATATTTTTTAAAAAAATCCCCAGGCCTCTTTTTAAAAAATTGATTTCCTTCTGTTGATTCCCTAGTTCTAGGTTTGTCGTCTTCTATCCCTCTTCTAACATGGCACAAAAAAATCTAAGCAGGTGAGGTTTTCATCAGCACTGCAGCTGCATGCAAGAAAAAGCTTCGCCTACTGGATTTTGGGCTGCAGTTAGAGCTTCAAAAGCAGGGGTGCTTTGAGGTAGATTAGAGGTAAGTTCCTCCTGCTCTGACCTTTTATTCTTATATACTTCTCCCCTAGACATTCTTTCTCTCCCCCACTTCCCCACTCCGCTATCATTCTTCCAAAGTTCTCAGGAAGGCTGATTGGCTTTAATTGAAGAATTTCCGTAAAGCATCTATTCAGTCTACCATTGGTGGGTCTTTGTCATCAGGGTAAATGGCAGCTTCCTGTCTTCCCCTGTACAAGCTGACCTCTCCTGTACATTCATAGCTACCTCTTCTGATGTGTATCTTCCTGTTCCTTCTATGCTTAGCTACTCCATGTTTCCTTAGCTACCTGCCGTCTTCCAAGCATGCTTGGCTACTTCCTCTGGTACATATTTTCCTATGCTATGCCCTCTGTGCTTAGTTACTACCATCCATGAACCTATAGCTACCTCTCTGATGTATATCTTCCTACCCCAGTGCATACTTAGCTATACCTCTCATGCATATTTCATATGCTTATGTACGTATTGTCTTGGGTCACTGTGCCTACGTAGCTTATCCTCCCCCCCCCATAGAAGCTTATCTGTCCCATACATATTTACCTAAGCCTTGTAGGTTATCCCATGTGTATCTTCTTATATCCCTTATACTTAACAATCTATGCATCCTCTGTGCATGTCTTGCTGGTGAAGGGGAGTGCTTTGCATTTTTTCTAGGCCAGGCATAGGCAAACTCTGGCCCTCCAGATGTTTGGGACTACAATTCCCATCATCCCTGACCACTGGTCCTGTTAGCAAGGGATGATGGGAATTGTAGTCCCAAACATCTGGAGGGCCAGAGTTTGCCTATGCCTGTTCTAGGCCCTCTACCTTTCTTCTTAATCAGCCTTAAATATCTTTCTACACTCTTGCTTTTCTTCTTATACCCCTGAACATGATTATTTCCCCTCCTTCTGTGAAATTAAGCCAAAGTACAACAGCGGCATTGGTTTACATTCATACCTTGCAACTGTCGCTTGTCCTATTCATCCATTTTTCTGTTGCCTCCTTCTTTGTCAAAAATTAGCTTGTAATCTTTTTGGGGCCAAGGCTTGTCTTTCTGATTTATGTTTTTCTGTATTGTGTAATATGTGCTGTTGTTGCTGCTGTGTTAATAATAATGCTGATGTTAATCACAAAAACTCCAGTCAGTGCCACCCATGCCACCCTGACTCATAATTTCCTGAACGTTCTGCACCTCAAAGAGCAGATTTAAAATCAGACTGCAAATGGGAACATTTCTAAAAAGAGCAAGCTAGTCTTTCTTACCGAGAGAGGATGATATTCATGTTTGCAGGAATCAGCTGGTCTTCAGAATATTTACAGCAATAACAGGGCTCTGGTGGAATTGAAGGAGTGGCTGTACCAGGCTCTGCTCAGGTGGCACTCCAGGCCTAGTTGGTATAGTAACCCCACCAACAAAGGCATTGCCCAGGAGAACAAGATGGGTGATGGTCTCCAAGGGTAACTGTTTCTTGGAGCAGGGTTATTTCTGGAGCCCAGCCCAGCTGAGTATTTGTTTAGACTAACGTGCTCAACGTAACACTGCCTAGGGAATCAAATTACTTGTTTGTTTTGGTTCCATTATTGTCATTTGTTTTATTAATTATGGCAAATACCGTGCTGGTTTGGTTCTAATTCAGGGTACTTACAGTTCAGATGAGACTTTTTCCAAATAATGAGATTATCAGGGAAATGAATGGTTTGGACCAGATTTCCATGCATCTCCAAGAGCATGGTTGGATTAGTTCTATAATTCAGTTGGATTTGTTGCATAAACCCACTAAAATGTATTTGTTTGTGTTTTTAAATCTATACCCTGCTTTTCTTCAGAGAAACCCAAAACAGTAGCAGAATAGCAGAAAAACATTAACTGGCATTCAGTACCTGTGATTTTCAGAAAGGGCTTCTAGAAAAGCAATGTGCTTTTGCCAGGCAGGCTTCCTTGGAGAAGGCATTCCCTACAATTGGAGCTACAACTGAAAAGGCCCTGCCTGTTGGCGGGCCCTTCCAAGCATCCTTTTTACTGTGCTTTCACAATGATTTGTGCTCATGATGGTACCAGGGTGCTTATATGTAATTCCACTTTCAATACAGCTTGTACCTGGAAAACTATTGGGACAGACATACTGCTTTGTTTCTATTCAGTGCATGTCTTGCACCTTCCTGCTGAAGTCCTTTAACTTTTCAGACCAGTTGACTGACTGGGAGGTCTTGTGCAACATACCCGCTTCCCAGCAGATTGGATGTTTTGTGATAAAGAAGATGGTGGGAAAGTGCAGTGGAAAGTGTGGGGTGACAAAGCCACTTCCGGCCTGCCCAGGAGGTGGGGTTGCGGGCTTCACGCCCACCCCACATGGGGTTTCAGCTCCCGCGAGAGCAGGGGAATCCCGGCCGCGTAGTCCACCCAGCCAGCCAATCGGGTGACTGGGGGGCGTGGCCTGCCCTATTTAGGGCCGGCGCGGCCGGGGCTCGCCCTCTTTTGCCGGCTAGTAACCACCCTGATACCATCATGAGTACAAATAATCACGGATGCCCAAGAAAAAGATGAGTGGAGGGGCCAAAAATGTATTGGGTCTGCATCGTTGAAAGAATATCATTAGCGCTTGCTCATACTACCATGACTTGCTTTCCTTGCGTTTAGATATTGCTTTCTTTTCTTCCAGCCTTCTCATAGTCTGGAGTTAGAGGGTGCTTCCTGAGGGCATGGAGAAAGCTGCTAAGAGGATAAAGAATCTCTTCTATCTGTCCAGATGTGATAGGTCAGCAGGAAGTCTTGTTTTCATTGTGTTGCAGCTGGGCAGGCAATGCCTGTTGATGTGCCCCAGGGTCTGGCTCAGTGGATGTCTGAGGATTAAGTGTAATCGAAATTCAATATATTCTGTAGCAAGATAAGAAGGGAGACTGAATAGAAGACCTATATATATGCACACGTATATGCTGCTTTTACACACAGAGACAGGTTTTCTAAAGTGGGTAAGCTAGTCTGTGCATGGCTGTTTGCGGAAGACAATGGGCTCCTCCAGACAACCTGTTTATTGAGCATTTATCCTGATTTGCTTGTACAGCACTTATGCACTGGTTAGATTATGTCTGGCCTTTTTATTGTTAATGGGGTGATTATATGACAATGAGCATTCATTCTGCATCCATGCTTATTTCTTTTGCAGGCTGTTTACATATCTTCCGGTTAATCATTTGTTCACCCCACTTTTCAATGTAGTTTCCTGTCACAATCCTAAAAAGTCATTTTTTAAAAAAGGGGGATTTGTTGTGCTACAGTGACAGAATGTTTTAATTCACTTCAATTCTGCAATCCTAAAATTCTGATGTATGTTTGAATCCCTCCTGCAAAATCACTCCTTAGTGCTCGAAATTTACTGTGTCTTTTGGAAACGCTATTTATAGATTGCGAAGATAGGGATGCAACTGCAAGCTCATAGCCAGTGCACAATTCCCAAAGGAGTTTCTGCATGCCCCAGAGGCCAGCAAGCTGAGAGCATAGTGTTGAGTCACACTGTTCTCTTGTGCCAAGCAAAGAGGTGGGGAATCTCTTTCTAGGCTCATAAAGCCTGGCAGTTGATGGCAAATAATAAACATTTTTACAACACTCCATCAAAACCTCAAACCGAGCAGCCTATTACAGATGGCCCAACTGCATGCAGGCTCCAAGGGTGTATAAAAACTTCATTTGTGGTGCTTGATCTATGAGGATGGTTTCATACATAAATGTTAGTTCTTAATATTGCACTCATTGAATGATGGTTGTGAAAGTGTGAATTAGCCTTTAATAGGATCCTTCCTGCCTTTGTGGTTCTGCATCAAGAAAGGTCTGAATGTGGGATAGTGTGCCAGGTGTACACACTCTAAGAAAATGTGGAGAAATCAAAATTATGTCCTTTCTATGTGTTTAGTTGTGCAGCCAGAAGAGGGCAGGCAAAAGCTTTATATTCAGGATAATCTTTCCAGCCCTGTGCTCTGGACTTTGTTGAATAACAGCAATTCCAGGGAGGCACTGTAACTGAGAATGGTAAAATTCTCTGCAAGCATTTTGATTTCTCAGGGGATGCTATATTACTAAGGGTGTTTGCATATGTGAGCCTTGAATTGGTTGTGCTTTAAATTAAGCTCTAGTGCAGCTACAAAACTTAGAAGCTACAGTGTGGATTCAGATTGTCTTCTAAACTCTCTACTACAGTGAGAATATTTACAGATGTCTATTTCTGCTCCTATAAAAGGGAAGTATCTTATGTAAAAACAGAGGATTTTAACACAGCCTTCCAAACCTGGTACTGTGCAGATGTTTTGGACTACAAAACCCTTCAGCCGCAGCCAGCACAACTAATGATCAGGAATGATAGGAGGTGTAGTCATACAACATCTGGAAAGCACAAGGTTGGGGATGACTGACTTAGAATATTGATCAAGTTTTTGGAGGAGACCCCCTATAAACCCAAGAAATTGATGAATGTCAGAATCTAGCTAATATTTGGGGATAGGAAGGGAAAATGCAAACTATAGAATTGTTCCAATCAAGGAATCCCTGGGTCCCAACCTTGCCTTGAACGCAAATCATTATGAAATTATGGCCAGACATCAAAGAAGGTTCTCAGATCTGTGCAAAACAGGGATTGCCAAAGTGAATGTGGGTGTTGTTTTATAGGAGGCTTGGGTTTTTGGAGAGAGGTGTACTGGGAAGGAGGAGGACAAAGGCTAGAACTCCATGAGGGGCAGGAGGTCAGAACTTTCTTAGCTACTGGCTGGTGAAGGCTGCACCAAGACACCTGAGGCCATGACTGACTGCTGCTTTGGACGCAAGCTTACTGAAGCTATGAGGAGGGGCAATGAGAGACACTCTTGAGGTATAATGTTCTGCATCCTCTCCATTGCAGACTTCCAGGTGTAAATATGTATTAAGAAACCTTAATTCTTAAAGACACTAGCCTCCACTGTGCCTCAGTCTTCTCAATGGAAACACAATCTTGGGTAAATGCCTGAAACTCCTAGAATCCTGAAACACTGCTCATGGAGATTGGGCTGGCATGTTACAATATGTTAGCACTTCATCCCTGAATGATTGCAGGATCTGGTTTGTGGAGCTTACAGGGTGGGCCACTTGTTTTTTTGCTGTTTTTGGAGCACGATGGATCCTGGCTATTAAATTAGGAGTATGTCATAAAGAAAAATACACAGCAGTGTTTGGGATATAAAAGCAGGGCTATTTTTGAGAGATGCTTAAGAGCAGGAAACCAAAGGGCATCACAAACAAAATGCTGATCACCTGCACATGCTCCCTTACCCAAAATAAAATGCTATCTGTATAAGAAATGTATGTTGAAAAAAGAGGGAGGAGAAAACAAAGAAAGAAATTAAGAGCTTTTCCAGATTTCTTTTTGTGCTTCATGATTATTTGTTGTCAGGATGGTGTTGGGACTGTTATATGTGATCCCACATTCAATACAGTGGTACCTCGGGTTACATACACTTCAGGTTACATATGCTTCAGGTTACAGACTCCACTAACCTAGAAATAGTGCTTCAGGTTAAGAACTTTGCTTCAGGATGAGAATGTTTTTAACACTTGATTGGGAGCCGCCCAGAGTGGCTGGGGAAACTCAGCCAGATGAGCGGGGTATAAATAATAAATTATTATACTATTATATAACAGAAATTGTGCTCCGGCGGCGCGGCAGCAGCAGGAGGCCCCATTAGCTAAAGTGTTGCTTCAGGTTAAGAACAGTTTCAGGTTAAGTACGGACCTCCGGAACGAATTAAGTACTTAACCCGAGGCTTTGTCAGTCATAATGTTTGCCAATTAGGTGGCATGTTTTGGGTATTCAAGGGGCTTTGTGTGCATTATCTTATTATTCCTTATATACCTTGTAAGCAACTAGGCCAATATTGTCACTCCCTCTTACAGTGAACTGGGCTGATGATTAGTGTTATTTATTAAATTTATATACTGATCTTCATCCAATGATCACAGGGCAGTTTAGTGGAAGCAAAACAGGCCACAGGTATCAGCAAGTGCGAGGAACCCTGAGATTTACAGGAGTATGAAAAAAGCTTTCAGATCTAAGAAACTTGGCATGTTCAGTAAACACAGAATGTTGACTGTTGAATGGGAAAAGAAAATTGAAAATTGAAATGGGGAGTGGAATGCCCTGCTTGAGCCTCTAGCTACTTAGAGACTCATGGAGGAGGACGTGGCCAACAGGAATCCTGCTTATGTTGAAGAGACTATACTACTACATTTTGTTTTAGATCCCATTTACTAGAAAGAAAGAAA